GCGCACGCAAACAGGCAAGCATACCTAATAATACTAAAGGAATTAGATTAGATACGCATACAGATTTAGGAAAAGAACTGTTCTTTATCGCTATAGTTGTACTGATCAGTTTGCAGGGATGGTTATCACCGCTTCAAACACACTTATATCACCATAAATATGGGACAGACTGTTGCGTTTCTTTGCTCAAGTACCTCAACAAGTTCAATTTCGTCCACACCCAACTATATTGCTGTCGTTTAATCGCATGTTACACGGGCCAATGCTTTCAAGTATCCTGACGTTATTAAGCAATTTGTTTTGTTCCCATCAACAGATTACACTTTGTTTTGAGTTTTATTGAGAAGGTTGCAACAGTAATTTAGAGAGAGACGAGCAATTCCTTGAAGCATGGCAATATGTGGGTCTTAATAATGCTATTAAGTATAAATCAAAACATCGAGGGTTCCTTCCTCGCTAATCTTCTGCAGCTCGAACGAAAGATCGCAAGAATCAGGTGATAGTAGCAGGCTCAGTCATCGCGGAAAATCATTACTAAAGACTAAAATGTCGATTGACCCAGCTGAATTATCAATTTTTTCCGCCTTCGCAGCCTTTGCCATCTGGGAGTTTGATACAGCATGATCAGTATTTGCTTATCAAACGTAATATTTTCAAGAACATTTTCCCAACTTCGGAATCCGAAGCATTGAGTTCGATTCCTAACAGGGATTTCCACGCTCGTGACAAGACGATAAAACATCATTCTCTCTTTTTTCATACCGAGCTCAAAATTTACTATCTTTCTCATTCTGTTTACACATATGACCCTTTTGACATTGCTGATCCAAGCAGTATGTAGGGCACGTGTCATAGGTCAATCTGGTGGTGGCCAAGCTCTCCCCTGAGTTCCTCTGACCCAGTGGTAGAACTTTGGAACACAGAATTTGAAGGTCTGATGTTTGATTCCTCACGAAGACACGTCGAAATGACACCTCTTTCTATCTCTCAAGTTGTTAACAATAGTTAATTCAAAAGAAACTGTTTCATCGTGTCAGAATTGAAGCCTCCTAAAATGTCCAAGGCCGCAAAGTTAATTCTGACTCGTTTGTTTGTCTTCACTTTTTGCCCCTTACTCGTAATCACATTAATAAAACAAGTTGGAATTTATCTAAATGAAAAATTTTTTTGCACGCGAAATAATCTATTGAGTGATCAGCTAGCCCGTTTAAGCTTAGGGTTCGATTAATGGAGAAGAACCAAAAGCGTGCAGTCGTCAAACTGTGGTTGCAGTTATAATTGTCAGGGCAACGGTTGCGGAACATTTTTTCCCTTTGCCTGATCATTGCCTTTCACCGCCCGTAAACTCCTGCGATCCGTAAACCGATAGAAAGTGCTCGATAAAATAAACCTAATTTTCTGCGGGTTTAGCGATGCGGCAAGCGGTAAGTTTTTTACCAATCAGAGCGCTTGTAGTATCGCATTTTTTTTCATTGTTTGTTTATATCATTCAATATACAACAGACGACAACAAATATCTTTTTTACCTCTTGATAATCGGACCAATTTGCGTAAAACACTAAAATTACGCTTTCCGTTAGTCAACTTCACGTCAGCATTGTGGCACTTACTTTTTTACGTAAATTGTGGCTAGTTCTTCAAGGACCTCGTTTAGTTCAAGTGATTTGTTTTTTAAACGAAGATTGTAATGCCTCCAACGGGGAAGGAAAACAAATAGTTGCCAACACACATGTCAAATCACGCACTTTAGCATTAAACCCCTCATTTCGTAATTATTCGTTTGATCATTGCGGTTTAAGTCGATAGCCGATTGGTTCGGCAAGCATGCCACTTTCTTGATCAAGTGATTTATTCAGCCGTCTTCAACGTGTGTTATTTGCGGTAAAACGCTTGTAAGAAAATTAAGGTATACTCAAACAAAGTTGAAGCGTTTATCGGTCTCTTTTTGTTTGCGTGTTGTTGTTATAGTTAAACGTCATTCTTCACCTTGCTATTTTCCAACGCTCTAAAAACCGCTCTGTGTAAATCATTAAAGATGCTGAGAGCAGACTCCTCGTCTGTTTCCTTCCGGTGTGGTCTTTATTTCAGGACTGCTTTGCGAAAATTACCCCGAGTTTGTCTGAAGAGTGCAAACAAAATTTTCACGAAAGTGGTTGACTAGACTCATTGTTGTGAACTGTAGAAAGGCAGGACGGCTTTTAAGAGAGTCTCTATTTCAATCTCTTTTTTAATTCAATAATGCCTTAAGCAGAGTCTATTCTTTACGAAGTCTATTCTTTACGAATTATCCAGGTTATTTAAAAGATATGTTCACGGTACGGTCTTCATCCTACAATTTGCGCGGAAATCATATCATGTCCCTTCCCAACCCAAAAACAACGACATACGGTCTGGACTCTTTTTCATACTTAGCTAGCAAAATATGGAACTCTCTCCCAGACACTTACAGAACATTAAATTTTCTAGAATTCAAGCAGGAGATCCTCAGATATGAAGCTTTTCCAGAGAAGGTCTACAAGTTATATAAATAATATTGAAATTGTAAGATAGCATATTTTTATTTCATTTTCGCTTTTTTTTCTCGAAGATATTAGCTCTACAGCTACACTGAATTTTGAGCTTAAATAAAGTATATGTATGTAAGAGCTGAGGGACAAATTTGATCGTGTGATTTGATCGCCCCGGTTGAGAGTAGCGCTTAAAAGGACTGATGCCGCTTCTGAGAGACCCAAGTTTTGATCATGATAGGTTGCAGTTTTGAAGATATGAGCCTCGTAGCTTCCAGGAAAATTCGGGCTTTCGATCCCGTCGAAGCCTAAATATCTTTCATTGTTTCCTCTTCACCCACGGGAACCATATCTTCAATTGTATTTCATTAGCGGGTCAAATTATATTTTTTTTCTTTTAAACTTGTGTTCTGGACCATTTTTTTTCTAAGTTTGTTCAAGGTTCCGACTCCTTATTTTTCCACTTAACACTAACCTTTCAAAGAACACGTAATTTGATTGTCCATCACAATGGACTTTAATTTTCGTTTTACTTGTAGTTTAAGAAAGCTCTTAATCTGTTACCGGCGAAGAAAAAGGTGTTAGCACTACCGGTTTTTACATTCTTCTATCTTTCTGACTAGACATAAGAGACGCTAGTTAAAGGAGGTGTCAGAAGTTTGCAATTCATCAGATGGCAATATGGTGTTCGAAGCATCTTCACATATAACGAGCTGAATATATGATCTTCCGTAGTTGATATTGATGGACTTTTTTGAGACTAAGATGTAAGACACGTAACTTCTTTCAGATTAAGTATTTCTTTTTTGGGAAAACGCCTCTGCTCGTTTGAATTTCATTACAGCATAAAATTTGGCGGTTTTTTCTATTTATAGCCGCTGTTTGTTCAAAAGAAACTGTTTAGATCAAGATCTTTCAAAGAATATACATTTCATCAATTTCAACGACTAACTGAAAATTACTTGATTAAGCTTTCGATCTTAAGAGTCTTAAGGTGATCAATTACATTCATTCTGATGGTCACTTGTTAATTGTCTCAAAGGTAAACTGCAGTTACCAGTAACTTAACTAAAGATGGCCCATTTCCTATGCACCAAGCAGCTAAAAATGACCTGTAAAAGCAGTTTTTCGAATTTACACAAGAGACGTGATTTCTGCTTATTTTGCTCGAAACAATCAAGCGCCTTCCTGGTCTTGGCTTTTAAACGCAGATTTCATCTAAGAATTTGGTTGAAATATTTATAACAAATTTCTTGCTGATCACCCATAATACCATTTATTTCCTCTACAAGAAATTCTGACTAAAAGAAAAGTCGTTTATAATTGATTAATCTGAGGGAACTAAAGACTTTTTTGCCAAAGATACTCCAAAAAGACCATTATCACAATTATCACGTTATAGAAACGCCTTGTTTGAACAAAGGGATCTTTGTTTCCGTCATAAAATATTAATGGATGGAAATGACAACTTAACTTGTATTGTTTGAAAGGGTCGAGAGTCTCCTGTACATAATGATGTGTGTGTCATTTACTACTCTCTTACTCGATGCAACTCTGACGGGATCATAACTGTTCCCCAGCTAAATAGATACCATGTCTTCAGTTTATTTCTGTCTGCTATTCCTGGCGCTTTGCTGCATGATAGTTGGGGTTCTTACTTCGCAAGGTAAATATCAGCCATCGTAACTGCTTAGTGTTTGATAAATCAACGTGTCTATGAGAAGAATAATCCTGGACACTAAAATGAAAAATTAAAGACGAGTTCCCAGCTTGAAAGCGAGCTAAAAGTGGTGTTACGGAATAAGAAACTCGTGCACATGATCTGGACAGAGTTAATGAGTAACTAAAGGGTGCTTTGTATTATACTGCACATTGGATGATATCCAATACCTCAATAAATATATTAAATTATAAATAATAATTCGTATATGTCGTGAAGGTTGATCGAAGCCCATAAATCTAGTCCCACTGGAAATTATGTGTCATGTTTTGTGCGCTGTTAGTAGAATTTCAAAAACATCATAGCGCATTCATACTCCTCTAAAGATGCTTTAACGGACAGTATACGGATTAACCCATTCATTGCCAGGCCTAAATCACACAGAACATCGAAAGTTTGCTGACAGACCAGAAGGCCTCCATGCTACTCGAGATATGATAGGGCCGTTATCTTAGGCTCCTAGTTAAGAACTTCACTTATGTCATAAAAAAGGAAAAAGTGTCATCTCAGTATCATTCCTGGCCTTTGATATTTTTAGGAGGCGATTGAATTTTTATTCTTGATTAATTTTTTTAAGAACATAGAGATGTTTCTCTTAAATCGTTGATTTTGTTTTTTTTCTTTTGCGCCGTTTAATAAGGGCTGCAGGTACCACTAACTAAAATGAAATAAGAAGTAACTTACCAAGAGATATATGATTTCGAACACTTTGGCAACAGGACAAGAATTATTCGTGAATAATAATTTTAGCTGTGCCAGATTGGTTTTCAGATCAGCCTGGTCGAGATCATGACCAAGGCCGTTATCTGGAATTCAAGTCCTCAAAAACATTTGACAGTGAACGTCTAAAAAACCACTTGATTCGTGAAGTTGAAGTCAGGGACAGAGAGTTCTGTGGGGTCCTATGTTACATGGAGCCCAACTGTGTCAGTTATAATCTTGAAAAAGAACCAAGTGCCAACAACGAAATGCACACATGTGAATTGAATAATTCTACTCATGAGGGACACGAAGTGGACCTGGTGAAAAGCCCAAGTTTTGTTTACCAAGGAGCTAAGGTAAGGACTTGGCTCCTTCACTGTAGAAAACTGAGCTTTGATGCTCACTATGATTAGATATGACGTTAGGAAGTAAAGCTCGCCCTTTTATTCCGGAGTGGGGGAAGAGGGGGAGGGGGGTACAGGGCTCATCGACAAATTTTCAAATTAGGTCGCATGAAGTTGCATTCGCGTTTCACTTTTTTCCGTTTGGGAAAAGAGGCTGTGCGTGACCAATAACAAAGGTGATGTTTATGGGAGGAGAATTGTCACAAATTCTAATTCAAAACTAAAATCTACAAGTGGATAATTAATAGATGTAAAGGGAGTGGCACATGCTTTTATCAAATCATGCAGATTTTCCGATAAACTGACTCACTTTGTAGTTGTGATTTGTTTAATCCTAGAGCGCTTGTGTTAGGAACCCCTGCAAGAACAATTCTACTTGTCAAAGTGGTTTTACTGCCAAAGGTTTTCGCTGTTTGTGTGCTGATGGATTTAACGGTCAGATATGTGACAAAGGTAATTCTTGTATTCAACGTGCGTTCTCAACCATCTCAGTTCGTGAAGATACTTATACGCTGCTAAACAAAAATAAGCTCAGGATGTTGACATAACATGTAAAAAATAGACCTCAAGTATTGGTTTGCACGACCAAAACTGCGGCACCTTTAGACTTTTAAGTAATTTGAAAATGATGCATGACATCTCTTTGTTAGATGTGGATGAGTGTGCCAAAGAAACAGATGATTGCAGTGCTGCTACCATCTGCAAAAATACCCACGGATCATACGACTGTGTGTGTAAACCTGGATATTCTGGCGATGGATGGTCATGCATGGGTAAATATAGACATATTTAACTGCCAAACGAAGAGTAAGAAAAATAATTGTTGCTACCTCTAAGCCAGAAGCTTACGATCTGTATAGGATGTGTAGCAATGTAAGAGCTGCGACTAAACATTTAATTTACTTTCAGACGATGATGAGTGTGTTGTAGGAGAACGTACCTGCAGCGCTGATGCTCTGTGTACCAACACCAAGGGATCCTACAACTGTAAATGTAAACCTGGATATTCTGGCGACGGATGGTCTTGCATGGGTAAATATTGCCGTATTCAAATGGAAAACGAGGAGTAAACATTTGTTTCTTTCTCTAACAAGAAGCCAACGATTTCTTTAGCATGCCTATCGGTATAAAAGCCTCGACTAAAGTTCAGTTTACTTTCAAACGATGATGAGTGTTCATTAGAAAAGCACAACTGCAGCGCTGATGTTACAATTGTGAATGTAAACCGGGATATTCTGGATCTGGATGGATTTTCAATAGTAAAGTTGATTTGCTTGGATTGTTGTGTAGATTAAAGGAGAGACAGCTGCGTGTGAATTCTAGGTACGATCAAATTGTTTAGAACACAAGCAAGAAATTCCCCTACTAAAACAGCGAGGTTGAATCTTTCAGATATAAACGAGTGTACTGAGAGACTATCCAACTGCAGTACTGATGCTGTATGCAAGAATACCAAGGGAGCGTACAACTGTTCATGTAAACCTGGATATTCTGGAGATGGACAAACGTGTGAAGGTGAGTTCGTACGTGCTCAGAAAACCCTAAAGGATATTCATGATGATCAACCGAAGAACATAAGTGAAGGGCTTTAGTCGAGTGAACTTACGCAATGATTGAGGTCCCTTTTGCAGATATTGATGAATGCGGTAAAGGAACACACAACTGCAGTAATAATGCACTTTGCCACAATGTCAATGGATCATACCACTGTATGTGTAAACCATATTCCGTTTTATATTTAAACCATGGCCAAGACGATGGAAATGATTGCATCAAAACTGGTGAGGCTTATGATTATATTTTCGATAATTACATTTATCAAGTATTCTTATATACCTAGCAGCAAACTATACCAGCCCTATAGGTCAATCACGAATACCCGAATCTTTTGAGCAGATTTCCGTAACGCACTCGCTCACAAATTAGGCCTCTACAAAGGAATAGTAGATGTTAATTTCCACCAATTTTGTCAAGTTCAGCTTCTTTCTAAGAATTGTTTGTATAGGTAATCACATGATTTCAAGTGCAATTTGGAATAAATAAGCACGAGTAAATTTTTTCAAAGACTAACAAAATTGCACGAGCCCGTAGGGCGAGTGCAATTTGTGGTCTTTGAAAAAATTAACAAGTGCTTGTTTATTCCAAATTGTACGAGAAAAATCATGTGATTACCTGTTAATAATATACGTGGAAAAATACGAGATGGTCTATCATAATTAAACATAAGCAAAGCGCGCGCATCAAGTGCAAAAAATAATTTATTCAAACCGTGCGTTCGGTCAAAACAACTGCGTAGATCAAAACAATAATATGCAATGATATCTCCGCATCTTTAAGGCACAAAAAAGATCAAAGTCCGGCTAAACAGTTCAAGGAATTGTCCAGTCTGTGTCCGATTCACTTTCGATGAAATGGAATTGTCGTTTCCGAGGTTTAACCATGTTTGTTTTTAATTTCGGCGTTGGATCGCTCGAGCAAAGTGTTAAGCCGGGCCGGCTCGTAATTTTCGATTTCCTCGGCAATTCCCTTCTCTAAACACCACTTTTTCCAAACCGACAACCAAAAAGCAGTGCCTTTTACAGTGTTTTCATTGTTTAAGCTATTTTTCAGCTGCGGTGGCGAAAGAAAACCTACTTAAAACGCCGGCCATTGTTTCGCTCGCAAGTTTTCAAATTTTCAAATTTTTGTTTGTTGTTGCGATATCCAAGGCTCGCATTTGATTGGCTATCTGCGAGTTTGTTTGATTATTGACCAATCAGAATGTCTGGTTTGTTTCTTTCTTTGCACTGAATTAACCCTCTTCTGCACTGAATTAACTCTCTTCTACACTGAATTACCTGAAAACTGCATTTATCTTAGCCAATCAGAACTGAGTAATTTTTCCATGTATATTATTAACTTAGAAAAAGAGCACATGCTTTGAAAAGAGGTTTAGAGAGATTTGCTATAAGGATATACATCGGTGTTAATAAGGTGTAATGTTAAGAACATAGTTAACAAGAAATCTCATTTAACCTGTGTACTACTGGATGCACGCTATCATAAATCAATAGGTGTGTTCAGGGGAGAACATCATTTTGATAATTTAGCTTAAAACGCCCGCAGACAGTGTTACAACGAACGAGCTTCAGTCACATCACAAAATAACGAAACATCGACTCTAAGTTCATGATAGGTGTTTTTTCTAGGCCTTTTCCTGATCTTCTATTTTAAAAGACCTGGTGATAAAGGCGTAGGAAATTGAAATAAAATAGGGTATGCAGGAGAGGTTACAAGAAGAAATGACGGAAGTCCTCACTCCTTGTCTCCTCACTACTTGTCTCTTCACTCCTTATCTCCTCACTCCTTGTCTCCTCACTCCTTGTCTCCTCACTCCTTGTCTCCTCACTCCTTGTCTCCTCACTCCTTGTCTCCTCACTCCTTGTCTCCTCACTCCTTGTCTCCTCACTCCTTGTCTCCTCACTCCTTGTCTCCTCACTCCTTGTCTCCTCACTCCTTGCCTCCTCACTCCTTGCCTCCTCAATCCTTGTCTCTTCACTCCTTGTATCCTCACTCCTTTTCTCCTCATTACTTGTCTTCTCACTCATTGTCTTCTCATTATTGTCTCCTCATTACTTGTCTCCTCACTCCTTGTCTCCTCACTCCTTGTCCCTCACTCCTTGTCTCTTCACTCCTTGTATCCTCACTCCTTTTCTCCTCATTACTTGTCTCCTCACTCCTTTTCTCCTCATTACTTGTCTCCTCAATCCTTGTCTCCTGACTCCTTGTCTCCTGACTCCTTGTCTCCTCACTCCTTGTCTCTTCACTCCTTGTCTCCTCACTCCTTGTCTCCTCACTCCTTGTCTCCTCACTCCTTGTCTCCTCACTCCTTGTCTCCTCACTCCTTGTCTCCTCACTCCTTGTCTCCTCACTCCTTGTCTCCTCACTCCTTGTCTCCTCACTCCTTGTCTCCTCACTCCTTGTCTCCTCCCTCCTTGTCTCCTCACTCCTTGTCTCCTCCTCCTTGTCTCCTCACTCCTCCTTGTCTCCTCCTCCTTGTCTCTCCTCCTCCTTGTCTCCTCACTCCTTGTCTCCTCCCTTGTCTCCTGTCTCCTTGTCTCCCTCACTCACTCCTTGTCTCCTCACTCCTTGTCTCCTCACTCCTTGTCTCCTCACTCCTTGTCTCCTCACTCCTTGTCTCCTCACTCCTTGTCTCTCCTCCTTGTCTCTTGTCTCCTCACTCTCCTCCTGTCCTCCTCCTTGTCCTTGTCTCCTCCTTGTCTCCTTGTCTCCTCCTCCTTGTCTCCTCCTTGTCTCCCTCCTCCTTGTCTCCTCCTCCTCCTGTCTCCTCACTCCTTGTCTCCTCACTCCTTGTCTCCTCCTCCTTGTCTCCTCACTCCTTGTCTCCTCACTCCTTGTCTCCTCCTCCTTGTCTCCTCCTCTCCTTGTCTCCTCACTCCTTGTCTCCTCCTCCTTTGTCTCCTCACTCCTTGTCTCCTCCTTGTCTCCTCTCCTTGTCTCCTCACTCCTTGTCTCCTCCTTGTCTCCTTGTCTCCTCCTCCTTGTCTCCTCACTCCTTGTCTCCTCACCTTGTCTCCTCCTCCTTGTCTCCTCCTCCTTGTCTCCTCCTCCTTGTCTCCCCTCCCTTGTCTCCTCCTCCTTTGTCTCCTCCTCCTTGTCTCCTCCCTCTCTCCTTGTCTCCTCACTCCTTGTCTCCTCACTCCTTGTCTCCTCACTCCTTGTCTCCTCACTCCTTGTCTCCTCACTCCTTGTCTCCTCACTCCTTGTCTCCTCACTCCTTGTCTCCTCACTCCTTGTCTCCTCACTCCTTGTCTCCTCACTCCTTGTCTCCTCACTCCTTGTCTCCTCACTCCTTGTCTCCTCACTCCTTGTCTCCTCACTCCTTGTCTCCTCACTCCTTGTCTCCTCACTCCTTGTCTCCTCACTCCTTGTCTCTTGTCTCCTCTCCTCCTTGTCTCCTCACTCCTTGTCTCCTCCTCCTCCTCCTTGTCTCCTCAATCCTTGTCCTCCTCTCTTTACTCCTTGTCTCCTCCTCCTATCCTTGTCTCCTCACTCCTTGCCTCCTCACTCCTTGTCTCCTCTCTCGTTGTCTCCTCACTCCTTGCCTCCTCACTCCTTGTCTCCTCACTACTTGTCTCCTCATTACTTGCCTCCTCACTCCTTGCCTCCTCACTCCTTGTCTCCTCACTCCTTGCCTCCTCACTCCTTGTCTCCTCACTCCATGTCTCCTTACTCCATATCTCCTCACATCTTGTCTCCTCACTGTTATACCTCTCACTCCTTGACTCCTCACTATTAGTCTCCTCTTTCTTTCATGGCGGTGCCATAGCACCGGCATAGGTTCTTCTGATCATATATATATGACCAGCACCCACGGGCAATACTACTCTGAATGTGCTTCCTACTACTATGGGAAAAACTGTTGTTTACGCGCGATGATTCATATTATGCCATTTCATTTTTCCGGGACATGTAATGTTCTTCCTCCTCCTCGCAGTGCAAATATCTAAGTGCGTCACGTCGTTTTTTTTTTCTTTGCATCTACAGTCTCAACCTGCCAGGAAATGTACGAAACGTCCACGTAAGTAACAAAAAGGCGACAAAAATGAACGGTTTTCTCAAATAAATTAGGTTGTAATCATAATAAAGATGTAAAGATTAAGCCACAAAAAAACAGTCAAGTAGTTTAGATGAATTTCTGGAGTCTCAGCCTGAAGGTCTTATTCCATAGTTTACTAGGGCACTCATTACGCTCTATTCCCTCCCTGGGTTAAAGTGGATCTAGCTTTAATAAATAGAAAATTTCTAGGGCATCACCATATGCTTACAACACTGGAGGTGGTATCGCCGATGGGAAAATAAAGCTTTAATGCCAGATCATCTTAGATGAACTGAACCTATTACTCTTCCTTCACCTAGTTAAACAGGAATAGACAAATAAGTATTTATCGATGTAATAGGTAAATTCTTTGATCCAAAGTACATTGACGGCATCCATCGTTCACTCTTATTTATGACATCAAAAGTATGATCCTTCCATTCAGTTCTTGATTACGTGATTTACTTCCCACTACTTAGAACTTCTTTTTTTTTGCGTTTTGTTTTGTTTTTTCTTGTTTTTGATATATTTACAGCTTTCAAAGGAGTGGGCTGGTCATACTATATATCGACTCAAAGCCAACTTCAGTTTTCTGTCACATGGGAGATTTTGGATGTGGGAATGGTGGATGGACGCCGATTATGAAGATCAACGGTTCAAAGGTAATGGCTTCTGCTTCAATTTATGCATGTTAATGAATTCTCAACATCTCTCTCCAAACCCGTTTAAGACTTTGGAGCGTTGGAACACTTAGCCTCCACGATGCCGCATTGTAAGTCAGTCATGTGCGTATGAAAGCTTACATGTATTTTATGAGTGATTTGAGGCTAACCTTATGATTTTGGAGGACTACTCGAAATTTGGTTGATTTTGAGGAGGCCGATGATATGCGGTGCGCGCTTAAAGTGAGAGGATTTGTATAAGAAATCATAACGCCTGAGGTATTTGAATTCGATTGCTTTGCTGATAGTTTTCCCGCTGAGTTGTAGCAGTGATAGGACGGGAGATGTGTGAGTGGGTGTGTTTCTGAGAGCAATTGTACTTTCAGTTTTCTTTCGCGGTATATATTAAGACCGTAGAGCAATACGTCTTTGGTGATTGTAAACCCTTTTACATAATCTTCTTTTGTCGCGAATAGTATGACCATGTCATCCGTGTAAACAATTTTTTTTTTATCTGTTATACTCACTTGCCGCAAATTCCCGTATCTACTCTCTATGTGTGCTGCCTATATGTGATTGGAATTGGAACACCACAACCATTACTTACGATTTCTGAAGTTTGTGACGTGGTCCAGAACGCGGCACACAGTATCAAAAACAATAACAATCATAGGATGATTGATAGTCTCAGGATTTCACCCATTCTCTTCGAATTATTTTCTGTTCTACAGAACAAGGCAATATATCTTTTCATATGATTTAAAATGTCATTGCTTAGTTGTAAATAGCTGTGGTTTTCTTTGAAGTGCATGTGATTCAATTTACCATTCTTTTAGTAAGGGGAATGTCTTTGGAGGTCTTCGAGCTTTCATAGATAATAATGTCTATTTATCGGCGTCGTATCAGTAAATATTTTTATTTTATTCCTTACCAGCAAAATTTCAATTACCATTCTGAACTTTGGAATAACACGGACAGCTTTAATCTTCCGGGAGGAGAGACTGGATTTGATTCACAAGAAACCAAATTACCGACCTACTGGGACACACCCTTCTCCAAGATCTGTCTTGGGATGAGGATCGGAAATGTGACAAATTTTATTGTCATAGAGAAACAGGCGAATTCTCTATTCTCGCTAATTGCTGACGGGCAGCATCGTCAAACCACTCTAGGTCGTGACCTGTGGAAGTCTCTGATTGGTTCAGAGGGCTCCTTGCAGTTGACCTGCAACAAGGAGGGTTTCAACACTGCATGTGGCAAGCATCGCGCAAGAATCGGCATCCTTAGTAACAATGAAAAACATTGCAGGTCCTGTAATTCCAAAATTGGTTTCGGAATGAGTAAAGAGAATATTTGTGGAAACAAAGCAAAACATGAAGGAGACAACGGAGATAAGAACATAAAAGTCATGGGATATATCCTTGTTAGGTAAAGAACAACCTCATCACCCTCTGAGTTTGATATAGTCGCTGCGCAAAGTGATAACGAGGGAGCAACCAGAATTTTTCATGTTTTGTTTCCTGCTTTCCCTCTTTCCTTTTTGAATTCATTTTCTGTATATTTATAAATATAGCGTGTAGAGTTGTATGCTGCTCGTACCAATCTGATCACCGCATCAGGGTATGTATTTCGCACCATTCAGATTGCCGCATAAGGGTGTGTATCTCGCACCAATCACATCCCAGCATATGGATATATTGCACCAATCACAGCGTTTCGGTATTGTTTTCTTGCAAATTCCGTCATGGATCAGGGGGCTCTGCAAAAAGAATAACGATAACCAAAACTTTTAGGCTCATTTGATAAGTGTAACGGTTTTTGGCCTTCGCGAGCGCCTCATCGATTAAGATCGAGATATATCAGAATACGAAAGGATTGCATGTAAGCTTTTTAAACATTTTTAAATTAAAACGTTTTTTGCCGTTCCATTACCCACAATGCAACTTACCCATCACGTACCTTAAGACAATGCCCAAAGTCCAATCAGAACATACCCAATCATTGTACTAGATGAACATGCAATTTTTCACGAACTTGAATCCACCAATCCATCAATCACTTTCCATTTTGCAACATGACATTTCCTCGTAAACAACCTGCATATTATCACATGAATTTGCCACGCGATTCTCCCGCGTTTCGACTTTTTCTACGAATAAAATTTACTTTTAGCTACCTTGGACTTAACCTAATCGCATATCAATTCCTTGCAAAAAACCTACACTTTGTTGTGTATTTCACCCACAGAGGGCAAAGTCCAGATAGCCAACAACCAATCAAGGAGCCCTCTTTGAAATTTTATCCTTTTCTCTCGTTCAATGTATCTTTAATCATTCGAGATCGCAATTAGTATTTGGTTAGGGTCTATTGGAGATACAATAGAGTATCAATTTGCTTTTCGTAGTAAACTTACGTGGAATCATACTTTGAGGCAACTAACTGTAGGCAAATAATTTTGATTTTCTGTCGGTTAGAGGGACGGCGGTAAGCGTAGTCTCTTTCGCAACCGTCATTTGGTCTTGTCACGCAACGTGCCCTTTCGCCAGCGGGGAAGAGGGGGCGTTGTGTGACCAGACCAAACAACGGCTGCTAGGGAGAAAACGGCAAGAGTGGCACCGATGCATTTTATTTTTGCTTAGAAGCATTTAGTCAAAAGACCACAAAATACCTGTCTGAGTTCAGATAAATAAGGTTTTGTTTTCTTTCTCTAAGGTGAAGTATTGCGATGTTTTCGTTCGTTGGAAAGTTATGCTCTTTTTTGGTACAAAAATGAAAACGTTAGGTACACAAAGTGTCTCATCTCAACCCACACAGCCAAAAACAACTCAAGCAGGCTACGCATGCCTCAGTTTTTTTCGTGTATGCGTGCGTGTGTGTGGGTGTGTGTCAAAAAATATATTTGCGCGACAGGTGTTGTTAAAAATCAATATGTAAATACATAAATATGCATAATAAAAGTAAAGTGAGATTATTAGAAGTTTGTAGATATCTGATAACAGGGTATTATCTTGACACGAATTACGTCTGATTGTACTGGAGACTGGACTTCTTTTAGTTGAAAAATGTTCTGCCATTTTTAATTTAGGTATTCTGGATAAAAGTTACTTTGTGGGGGATCGACAAGTTATACTCTTGTGATCATCCACTACTTCTCAAATTCATAAAGAAAAAGAGAATCTGGCAGCATTTATTACTGGTTATCATTTTAAAATGATTGATTTTCCTAAGCAGGTGTGAATATAAATGAATGTGCAAATATAAGATGTAAAAAAATAAATATATAAATAAAAGACGATGTGTCACCATAAAATTTTATGTTTATAGAAAATCAAATTTATTGGCACGAGTTAGGCCTGTCAGACCTGACGTTGTTAGGAAACAATGAAAGTGTGATCTTGAAATAAAATTTTTATACAAATTTCGAGAGTAAGACTGACACGTGTATTCAGATAGATTTTTCGTTATTCTATGCGAAAGTTATAACTTTTAGACGGTTCATCAGTGATGATATCTCCCGCGATAGTGATCTATTTCTATGATTTACCAGTTGACAAGAGACATCCTAAAAAAATTAAGTTACTTATTTTTACTTGTTTCAAATGAAACTGATCACCTCAATACGGTTTCTGTTTATTTAGTGCATAGGGGCTGCTATAAACAAACGTAAATACGGCCTGTCATGTGATCCCTGTTGAATCTGACAACAATCCCGTCAAGCCCTTTTTGTTCGTTTTTACTGATATCTTCCTCGTCAGATTGGGCTTTCTCTTGTTTTCTAACCTGGATAAGACCGACGGATTATTGGGTGAAAATTTAACCAGCTCGGCTTCTATTGATGAAAGGGAAGGGAGGACTGTAGAGCAGCAAGATATGGCATGTAACGATCATGTCCTCTTAATCCTCCTGCTTAACTTACGTCATTTATTTTATCTTGACCTCGTATTCCCTCCTAAACGTTTGTCAAATCATATTGACTATGGCTGTTCTGGTCAAGTTACCATTATTACTGGTGTTAGTTTTCAGCTTTATCAATCAATCAATTTTACAATTAAGAAATGATGGTAATAATTAGGATCTAGAAAAGCAATATTTCGTGAACGAAAAATTAAAGTAATAGAAGAATCACATAGCCTACACTTTAGAACATATTTGGTGCATACGTTACATCTACCAGGTTGTTCAATGAGGCACTTTTAATCAATGTTTTCGACAAATCGATCATAACTGTAAGTCATATTTATATATGTAACTAGTTTTTTTTTCAACCTATATTTTTGTTTTGTGTAAATGTTTATCCTATTTTTTTAATATGTCGTTCTTTTGTTGTTTTGCGTTTCATTTGAATGGGAAAGGGATGACATTTCCGTCATTGCCAATCTACGTGCAGAGAATCTGACATCTGTCATTTTATCATCGCAAGAACTTGAAGCGAATCAGGTAAGTCTCAGCTTTTTCGTTGTTTTTAAATCTTTAGAGGTGTCGATCTAGAAGCGCCTTCGAAATTGCCAACGAAGTAAGTGTTGATATCAGTTGCCCACTGGATTGGCGGTCTTTCCGGTGGATCATTTCCGAAATGTTGATATTTTCAAATATTTGTTCAATATCCTCTACTAGGTTCTTGTTTCGAAGAAAATTATTACACAGTACTGGCATCAGATTTTTGTTAAGAAGGAATGGTAACACCATGTAGCAACTCCACGCACGTTCGGTTTTCCAGTATGCTGTTCAAAAGCAAAGGGTTCTTCCTCCTAATGCACATCCTTTCCATCTGTTATATTGTCGTGATGATATCCAGGGCTGTTTGGTCTAAAGGTAAGCAAGTCCAGTATTTCCAAGTTTTATGATCAATTTACACATAATTCGATAGAATGGCGTCTTAGCACTTGGATCACGTCACGTCTTTTGATTGTGATTCTTCATGATTACAATACGAGGTTGAGAAACGAAATTCTTAAATCTAGAACCATAGCAAAATGGCTTTATTGGTCTTTTAGCTGACTTTAGCTCTAATATTTGCTATAGTTTACAAACGTCTTTAAGTCCCTTAATTCATTTTAGCGTGAGCTATCTTAATTTAAATAGTTATTAATGACTCTTTTCTGATGCTTTTATTTTTGTTCTTGGCTTGGATTTTTTGTTCTTTGCGAGTTTCTCGTCTGAAATCAGTCTCTTTAATATAAGACCCCTCTGCAAACAATTTCTTGTGAAGATAGTACAGTCGAACCTCAATTATCCGGACCTCGATTATCCGGACTTTTTTCTCTGGTCCCAATCTCATCATGAATATTGATTAGTTGTGATCTTGAAAGCTCAAAGTCGCAAAAAGCTTAATAATCCTTTCAAAAGACTTAATAATATCGCTGAGTCCATGGTCGAAATGTTGGAACATGTACGGCACCTTGACAATGAGGAAATGCCTAATGCTTGCGATGTGGAAGACTGGCTTAATCTGGAAAACGAGCTCTCGACTTCACCGCAAATGTCTGATGAAGAGATTTTAGCCACCGTTGTCGGAGGTTCGATGGAAAGCGAAAGTGTATGAAGCGATGAGGAAGATGAGGGCGAGGACGAGAAACTAGAATCGACTGAAGAGGCAGCGAACTGTTTCAAAAAATGCTTGTCGTGGATGGAATCACAGAACGATATTGACCCTGTGCAGTTAATGCAGCTAAGACGAATGATGGACTTCGCAATGCGATCAAGCTACAAGTCTTTTCTTTTATTTATTTTATTTTTATTAGGCTGTGTAGATTTCACAATTAAAATGACGTTTTCTTTGCCGTATACCTTTTGTTTACATTTCTATCTCATTAAGTTTCATATTTTCGATTATCCGGACTCTCGATTATCCGGATTATTTACCGAGGTCCCGTATCCTTAATAAAGATCTCTGCTATCACTGCTCCTACTACTACTACTACTACTACTACTACTACTACGACCACTACTACTACTACTACTACTACTACTACTACTACTACTACTGCTGCTGCTGCTGCTGCTGCTGCTGCTGCTGCTGCTGCTGCTGCTGCTGCTGCTACTACTACTACTACTACTATTATCACAACGCCCCCGATAGATAATAGTGACAATGAAAAAGGGCTTTTTATGGCAAGATTGAAATGATATTCGTGAATTTTAAGCGACAAGGATTAACGTTTGTCAAGGGTTTAAACTGACATTGAAAGCATTAACATAATGTGATTTTAAGAAATATTAAAAGGTGCGATTGACGTGTTTGAGTGTTTAAGATGAGGAGAAATAAATAAGGAAAAACAATCCTTCATCTGTTCTGCGTATGATTGTTAAAGTAACAATACCAAAATGATGATTCTATGATAAACGATTTTTAGACAAACAAAGCTTCAGCAAAGAAGACCGCTGTAGTGAAACAAGGCACATTTGTTTCAGCAAGCACAGTCGATACGAATGTTTCGATGTAACTTTTCTTACTGCGTTACATCAAGAAATCGACCTTGAGGTTACGTGAGAATTACTTTTCAGATTTCGAACAGAATTTTCTTTCCTCCCTGTGTGTATCTGTTTACTATTTTTATCTACACTTAATATAAAAATTTGTAACCTTTCAAAACCAAATGAAAATATATTCACGTGATTAATAGCTACCTTGCGCTGTCAAGTTTAACTCAAAAAAAAATTGTAGAGAAAAAATTGGGATGAAGAAGATCTATTTTACGTCGTGGTTTTTCAAAAGGAAAAGAGTTTATGATCATCCATTTTTTCTCATAAGGATGATCAGAATTACAACGAAAATACCAAGGAATTAAAAAATGCACTGACATACGATTAATCTAAACCGATAGAAAGAAGTTATGTGGAAACCAAAAACATGGCTGTAACTTAATGTCAGAATTCCCGACAGAGACTCTTCTCAGTGGAAGAATTTCTATATCTGAATGTTTCTCACATTGAATTGAACAAACGCCTTCACCACCCGTCATGCATTTCTTTCAACTTGGCCGCCGAAGGAAAATTGTGTTGTGAGTTATTAACGTCTGATAAGTACAGCAAACCCATGGAATACAAACTAAACAAGAGTTGACATCACTTCTACACAAAGGTAGGAACTTATTCTATCATCAGCAAGTATTTCGTTTCAAAACGATTTCTTAAGTAAACATCCTCTTCTTGTTTTAGTCATCCTGTTATTTCAAACCATTTCAAAACGGGAGAGTTTTCGTTGAGTCGGTACACTCACTAAATGCATTTGAATGCCTTTGTGAAAACGATTGAGTGGGAAATTCTATGAAAAAGGTGGGTGAAAATTTGTTGTTTTCATTGTCATTGCCACTATTATTGTTAATCACTTTTTTACGGATTATTAGCATTATTTTTCACTTGCCTGGTTTTTGGAGTTAAATTTGGAGCTAAACAAAAATCTGTTTTACCAAGTAATTTTCGATTTTAAATAAAAGGCAGAAATAATATGTTTTGAGACGATATATTTTTATCATTATAGTTTGATTACAATCAATGTTAATGCTTAAAGTGTTAGGCTATCCCTCGAAGTGACTTGGCGGCCTTTGAAATTGATGCATAACTTGACAAATTATTCTTCGAAGATAACAATTAAAATTAAACATAAGTCTTAAAGAATTGAGTTCCTCTATCACGAATTACTACTTTGAAAAATACATTACTTCGTAACAAATTGACGCCAATACGCTCGAATAAAAATAAAAATAACAAAAAAATAACAATTATCGATAACAGCTTTGCATGGAAACTTAAATATTCTGGAGATAGATGGATGTACAGAAGTAACCACTGAGCACCAAGCCTACATAACACCTGCCATTGGAAATTTGATATTTAATTCGTTTGTGCTCTTTCAGATATTGAGGAATGCACTACAGGAACACACAATTGCATTACTGTAGCTATGTGCAACAGTATAAATATCATACCACTACACTGTACGTGTAAATGTGGATATTTAGGAGATTGGATCTCCTGCATAACGAATAATTTCTAACCTCTATGATTAGTAAACTTTGATTTATCATTCAGTGGTTTGGTTTTCTCAGATGTTGATGAATGTGCTACAGGAATGCACAATTGCAGTCTTAATGCTGTGTGCGATGATTCCAAAGAATCGCACACCTGTGCCTGCAAACCCAGATATTCTGGAAATGGAATAATATGTCAAGGTAATACCTCAGTGTCAAAGTTACATGGATCCTGTTGTAGAAACTTTGACACTTGAGTCAGTTGTGTGTTTTTTCAGATGTTGATGAGTGTGCTATGGGAACATCCAACTGCGGTGCCCATGGTGTGTGCATCAATACCAATGGATCGTAGGACTGCGCATGTAAACCTGGATACTCTGAAGACTGATGGATGTGCAGAGGTAGAAATAACTATGTAATTTTGTTTTTATTTTTCCTTCTTACTTTATTCCACTCCTTTTAGCTTTCATGTCATCGAAGCCAGTAGGCAATCAACTTTTCAATTTAAAGACTCAGTTTTAAGATACTGATGTCTGCATGTGAGGAGCATGCCTCTGCAAGCCTGGAAGAAACCACTAGCTCAACTTCTTATTTAAAGCCAATTTTTTGGTCGACGTAGTTTCATATGTTAATTTTATTATTGTTAGATGTTGATGTATGTGGTGATGGAAGACACGAGTGTAGCCCGTTTGCAGTGTGCAACAATACCAAGGGATCACATGATTGTATCTGTAAACCCTTGGAATAGTGGATACCACGGAAATGGAAAGAATTGTAGTAGAGTTAGTAATAAATTTATTTCATTCCGTTTTTGCATTACTTTACTCGCCTGATAACTTTGCTGAAAAACTATTAAAAAGAAAAGCCAATGATTCCTGCCAGAAAATTATTTGGTATGGTGGTTGGTATACATAACGTACTCCGTACTCAATCAGAAAACATTTACTACACATCTCGACTGTGGAGAGACAAAAATGGCTACAACCTTCCAGGGTGCATGACTGGGTCTGACTCACAAGAGACCAAGTTACCGACCTACAGGAAGACACTCTGTCTCGGTATGAAGATAGGAAAAAACGTTAGCCAGCGAAATCTCTCTACTCTCTGATTGCTGACGGACAGCATCGCAACACCTCACTTGGTCGTAACGGGTGGAAGAGGCTTATTGATTCAGAGGCTTCTTTACAGATTAAATGTAACAAGGAGGGTTTTAATCATAAAAGCTGGCTTAGTAGAGTAAGACTTGGAATACTTGGTAAACAATGAAGACGAGTGCAATAGTTATGATTCCAGGATCGGATTTGATACAGATGGGTATCCCGATGACACAAACACTTGCGGAAACGTTGCTCGACATAAAGCTGATAATGATGATAAAAACATCAAAACCATGGGCTACATATTGGTTAGGTTAAAGACAACCATGAATTTTAACTTAAGTCGGGCATGAATCCTCAAGACATCAAAGCACATGGTACCCTTTTTTTGCGATGTACATTACGCAGCATTAATATAAACACCGTGAGGAGAAAATTAAATCATCATGTAATATATTTCTAAAGATTAGGTAAAACTGGCTTTAATAGATCGTTGCTGCGATGTGTTTTCCATATCAGTAGTAAAAGGTTAATTAAAAAAAATATATTTATATATATATTTACGTACGACATATATACCTCTATGAAATTTGAGCAAGTAGCTGTAAAATCTGGTGGTTTCCATCCAGTTCTTTCTGAAAACCATTGTCAGATATGTGCTAACTTCGAAGAGTGCACGCCACTTTTGTTCTTAGGGGATCTCTATTATTAAAAAAGATTAATAGTTAAAAAAGGGTAAAAGGAACGCACGTTATCTCAGCATATTATAGGATGTACCACGTCGCCCAAAAAATAAACAAAAAAATCAGGTGGCCATGTGTGAATAAGAAAAAATTGGATAAAAATGAATGCCAAAAAAAGAAAAATTGAGGCAGTGAAAGAGCAACACTAGTCATGCGGCCTGTTCAACATCCACCCAGGCCATTTGACACTTTTCATCCTTGGTTTCTAACTACTGTGTTGTTTAAGTTAATATGTATACTGTTTTTAATATTCTGTGCGTTTGTTGTGAGGTATAACCGTTGAATTAGAGACGGGTATTTTGTTCTGTTTTGCTTGTCTGCGAAGGGTTTGACGTACATTTATTAGTTCGTCGAAAGAGTTTGAAGGGGCAATATGGAAACTGTCAGTTTGATCGTTGGTTTTTGATCATAAACTAGTTGATCAAAAGGAGCCGTCGAAATGGGAAAGTATGTTAGATTGTGGATTAGCTGTCCTTCCAATCTTTTCCGAAAAATTAATTTTATTAAATATTTGCTAAATATATCTTAGACAATATTATTTTTTCATGGAAATTACAACACAAAACTGTCGGCAATAGTGGTTCAAAGGGTGGGAGGATACGGTAAAACGGTGTAACAAACACAGACACGTTCAATTTTCTACCGTACTGTGCGACTGAAAAGAGTTGTCTCCCTGACTTTATGACATGTCTTTCCTTTGGATCTGCTTTTTTTTCCTGATGATACTCAGGGCTGTCAGGTCTAACGGTTAGTAATTTCAATATGTATACTAGTTTCTAAAGGTAACATACGCATAGATGGAGAGAATGGTGTCTTATTTTGTGGAATAGAAGGTTAGCGGATAGTGTAACGGTTCCATAGAGAGTGATAATAGGAAAATACATATATTTTTAAGTCAAAGTCGATTTTAGATTAAAGAAATTTCCGCGGACTTCAAGCCACGCACATTGGTGTTGGTCAAATATGAAATTAAACTGACTTCAAAAGTCTTGAATTAATTAAAAAGTAAGAAAATTTAACATGTACGACTGACGTGTTTAACCTTTTTAAGTGAAGAGAAACCTATGAGATTAAAGAAACCTTTATCCATTTTCATTGCAATTGTTCAGATAATTGAATCGAAATGAAAATTCTGTAATAAGCGATATTTTAATCAACGAAACTTTAGATAGGAGAACAGCTGCAGCGAAACAGAACATAATTGTTTCAGAAAAAAAATAGCATACAAAAGTTTTGATTCTTTTTATTGTAGTTTACAGATTTACTTCGAGATTGTAAAAAAGAGATTCAAAGTGTGAGATTTTCTTCTCAAGTTAATCGCTGAATTTCTTTTCAGTATGCATTTTCTGTTACAGTGGTGTCCTTGTAAAGCAATGTGTTTACCTATATACTACCAACTAAACAGAGAAGGAAAAAAGGATCAATGTGGTCATTCTAATTTAGTCTTAAAACAATGAAAGCATTGGTTGATAGCGCGGCTCTTATCAAAGAAGCGCTAGTCTTAATACTATCACGCTCTCACTCAAGTAACGTAAAGAAAAGAGAAGAAAATTCTGTGTTTTGGAAAATACCACTTAGGAATTAAAAAACGCTCAACTTAAGCTGTTGGATTGGAAAATGATATTTAAAGGTTAACGTTCTAATTTAGTCTTGCAGTGAGAACATTGGCGGCGCGTGGGGCTTTTAACAGAGAGGTGATAGTTTTAGTCGTAACGTAAAACAAAATAGAAGAAAGAAATGGCGTTTGGGAAAATACTTCTTAAGAATTAAGAATAACGCCGAGTTAAATCGCTGGACTGAAAAAATCAGTGATATTTGCGGGTTTTCGTTCTACTTTAGTCTTTCAGTGAAAACTCTGGTGGTGTGCGCGGCATTTAATTTAATTTAATCATTTTTATGAGGGAGGTGAGAAAATAACCATCTATTGTTTTAATCGTTTCTCATGAAGCGGCCGCGTGTATCATGAGAATTGATCGATATCAAGAATATTGCTGCTTTTTTGCGCTAAGTACATATGCCATTAAATAACTAATTCGCCCGCGGTTTAAATACTGAGTAAGCATTTGCGTTGTCATTAGATGGTTTCTTTTTGGGTTTCCTTTCAAAATTCTTCATTGTTGAAAGCAGTTTGTCGACATCGGTGGGAATAAATGCGAGTAATGAGCATCCATATGTTCCGACATGTATTCGAGAATAAGCCGTAATGTAATAAAGAACGTCGGTGGAAAATGTCGTTTGAGATCAGAAGAGTGAAAAGACAATAGACTTCTTATCTTGTCTCACAAATCTTGCCGTCTGGAAAATCAGATGCCATCTTTACGGTACATGACCTTCAGCGGCGTTCAGTCATTCATCTCTCAAAGGATTCAAATTCATCTCGGTTTTTGTCTTTTGTTTGTTCTTTTTTCCAGAGGATGAAAAACTTTGTCAATATCAGTGCGCAACAAACGCAAACCAAGACCCTGTTCTAAAGCCGCGGTTACACGAGCGATTTTTTTGCTTGCGATGGTGATGCGATTTTGTCAGTTTCACGGAACGAGTTTAATTCAAACAAGTTTCATTCGTGACCATTCACACAAATTTCATTTGGTTTCATCACTCTTTGTTAGTCTCTCAGTTGCGACATTCTGTGTCTTGACCGACCCTCCCTGAGTAGCAAGTGACCTTGAACAGAAAGTAACTCCCTACTCCTCCCCAGGGAAAGATTTGACATAAACGCGCTTTCGCTAAATATTCAAATCTCGCGCTCGTGCAGTAATCGGCTATGTTTGAATTTCCCTCGTGAATTTCGCTATTGTTATGGAAGCGAGTTTGAATTTCCACCGTGAATTAATAAGCCATTGTTTGGCTCTAAAGCTATTGTTTCAAGATATCTTTTTATGGATAGTTGGGATACTAAACAAAGGGCATTGTCTTTGAATTTGATCAGCTGTTCTTGATACGATATAGAATATGTGAACTCCTATCGACGCTTTATCATCAGCTAATTTGAACCATTAAGTTTTACCCATATAAAATTGGTTGTAAATGTCGCGAGTTTTCTTCAAGTTTACATAGACACATTGCACGTTGGGATGAAGATAGTTCATTGTGGGTATATATATAGATATATATATATATTTTTTTTAATAGAAAGGAAAAATGTATCCCATCTGAATGATATCATCATCTCATTGTATCTTTAAATCTCAATTTCAATGTATATTCCTTGATAAAAAATATCAGAAACATTAAAACTAAATAATAGCATTCATCACAAATGCCATGACGCATGATCTATCTATATCGACAGCAGCAAAAGATTTGGAACACAAGGATATGGATGCAGCTTTATGTCAGAATTCCCGACGGAGACTGTTCTCGGTAGACGAGTTTCAGTACCTGAATGTTCCTCACATTGAATTAATCATGGTTTACGACGACTTTGAGTGTATCTTCAAATGCCTCTACCACCCCTCATGCATTTCTTTTAACTTGGCAGCCAAAGGAAAACTGTGGTGTGAGTTATTATCGTCTGATAAGTACAGCAAGCCCATGGAGTACAAACAAAACAAAAGTTCACATCATTATTTCATTAGGGTAAGGAATTGTTTGTATGGTCAGGTACCGTTTCGCCTTAATTTATCTCACAAAAATTTTCTCTGCTTGTTTTATTAGTCGTCTTATTATTTCAAGACATTTCAAAGCGGTGGAGTTTGCGTTCAGTCGATGCACTCCGTATATGCTTTTAAATTTTTCTGTGAAGATCTGGAGGGAAAATTTAGTGAAAAAGGTAGGTTAAAATTTTGTTTTCTTAATCTTCATTTTCATTGTTATTGTTTCTTTTTATCATCAGTGGCTTTGTGTCTACTTTTCTTTAAAGCTAATAATGTGATGGTGTAGTTTGATTGTCCAGATGAGCATATTCCTGAGAAGGACTTTTGACTTTAGCAATGACTTTAGCAATGACTTTAGGAGTAGTCACTACCGCCAACAGTCCATGTCATAACCCAAGGTCGCACCATTTACCGTAAAGCTAAAATTTTGTTTTGTCAAATCATTTTCAAAGAAGAAAAAAGGCACAAAGAGTATATTTCAGAGGGAAAAAAAGTCTATGTATTATTTTCCTCGTATTTTTCATTGTTATCATAATTGGTATCATGATTAGCTTCATTATCACCTGTTTTAAGGATAAAAGTGTAATAGGCTTTCCCTTGACGTCACTTGGCAGCTTTTGAGACTTGTTTCTAACGTGACAACTTAATCTCCATAACGAAATAAGACTGGAAAATGACAAAAGCCAGAATCCTCTTCTTCCAATATCAGTAGCATACTTCAGACAAACGTGGAGCAGTTAGAAATGTTGATTTTCATAGAAATTAGTCTTCGCACGTTATGAATAACTTCTTTGAATACTTCATTACCTCGCAGCAAGTCGGCTTGAATGGAATAGCTATAACAGTGAGGGTAATCAACGTTTTTATTCATTGTGTAAACAATAACTAGGCGAGAGCCAAGTCTGTCAAAAATCGTTCAGGTAAAAGAAATCTACAGCAAACATGTATTCAAATTATACCACTCCGTATGTTTTTTGACATTCTAAACTTGATTAGCGGAAATGAACCTAAATATCGTGTTCAACCCAGCAATTTTAATTTCAAGAGTAAGTTTTCAATTTTTTTTGCTTTTTTTATCATTAAGAATTTATGACACAGGAGGAAGACACCTGGCCGCCCCTCCATCTTGGGCCAAAATAAACTCAGTTAATTCACAATGACATAAGATCCAGTTTGTTGCATTAACCGTGAAGAGGCTTTCAGCATTGAAAGATTCAATGTTCTGCGTGCAGTGGCGTCGTGTCATGTATTCTTTTTGCATCCGTTGCATTTTACTATTTTTTTTTTCCGCACTGAATAGTGTCCTCTCCTCAGAAGGTTAGTAACTTTAATTTGACCCACCCCGATTATTTCATCTTGTTTCGTGTCATGATTTGGATGGTGATGCAATGAAGGATGCGATGCAAGTAGCAAGTTAGTGAGGCGTGAGTGGTCCAGTGGTCTGAGCGCTGGACTCTGGGTCGGACGGCCCGGGTTCGAGTCCTGGCCAGGGCACTATGTTGTGGCCTTAAGCAAGCCGCTTCACTCACCTTGCTTCGTCTTCTCGGATAAGACGTTAAGCCGGAGGTCCCGTCTCCTGCAGGGTTTCACTTCTCTTTTACCTAAGGAGAAAGATATTAAGTTCTTTCGAATCAGCTCATCGTCATAATGTTATGTGGAGAAGAATTCATCAGTTACATTCACTCTTTCTCACGAACTTTCAACTTTAACTAAAACCTTAAACTGAATTCAACAATCTCAGTTCTATTTATGGTAGGTTCTGGCGAGGACGGTAAGAGTAGAGTTTGTTGACAGCAATTTTTCAAACTATCTCGGGTGATCGATTGCAAAATGAGTGTTAAATCTCCCCATGTATAGACACAAGTGAACTCGGCTGATTTGGGGTAAGAGTTAGAGCTCTGCATAGTGTGGTTTCCTCCGTAAAATCATCAAAAATGTTATACCGGTAACGTTTTCCGAATCATGATCGAGCTATCAAGTGCCCTTGGAACTCCGAGGCTAAAAAGAAAACTTGGGATTAGATCTCATACTGCCGTCCGTCAAAAAAAAAAAAAAGAAACCAAGTCAGAAAAGACAAAAACAAGAAAAAACAAAAAACAAAAAAAACAAAAGAAGCAGAAGAAGAATTTCACTAACCATAACTCAGCGTGAATCTTTCAAAATGTCGAAGTCGTTTCCTTCAAAAAACACGAAGCATAATCGAGAACGACGTAGAACAAATATTTTGTAGAGTATTGACTCCCACTATTTTCTTGTTATTGGAAAGCTGACACCTCTAAGAGCTTCGCCCTTCCACTTTTAATCAGAATTATAAAACTGTGACCTCCAAGCAAAGGGAATAATCCATCTCTTTGTTTGCTGACCGAACTTAAAATTTTCTATCGTTCTTTTCCTTGTTGTTCACACGAGACTTTCTATTACTGACTTCTTGGATTGGAATTCGATTCTGCCTAATGGGGGTTAGGCTCATTTTCTTAAACTACACGCTCAAAAACAATCTGAGACGTTTTGTTGTTTTTTTAAAAATTTTACATCTGCTTGCCTGGTTAAGAAAAAATTCCGTGACATCAACAAATATTGTATGGCTTCAGTCACAAAAAGTGTTTCGAGGTGATTCGTTTTTTAACGCTTGAACATTATTAGAATATATAAAGCTCTGTTTTTTAAAAAAAAAAAATTTAAATATTTTGACAACGTTTCAACGTTGCCTCGCGTCATTCATTAGCAAGTCACTGATGAAAATAGGGGTTGAAAGCACATAAGGTAATATGAAAATAAAGAGAATGTTTTATGTTTCTGTGATGTAGTTCGTAAAGGCAAAATGGTAATTAAGTGTCGGGTAAAGAGCTCGGCACAAATCGAGTCAACAGTTTATAATCTCTTGAATCAAACCTGATTAAAAAAAAAACAGCTAGTAGATCAAAATGTTAAACTTACTGGCGCTTTTTTTACAACTCAACGGAATGAGATCGATGGCTCCTTTTTGTCTAGACCATAACGTTGTCATAATAAGTTTTACGATGGTGGAATGAGGATGCCCACGTCACTTAATTTTTCTAAATCACTTTGACCCAGGACAATGCCGCTCTTTGGTATTCAAGCCCGCTAAAGCATTTGATGGTCAACGCTTAAAAAACCACGTGATTCGAGTTGAAGACGTCAGTGAGAGAGACTTTTGTGGGATACTTTGTTACATGGAGCCATACTGTGTCAGTTATAATCTTGGAAAACAACCACGTGCAGATGATGGAAAGTATACATGTGAACTGAATAACGCTACTCACGAGGGAAACAAAGACGACCTGGTTGAGGATCAAAGTTACATTTTTGGAGGTGCAGAGGCAAGTGCCAATTCAACTCTTAATTAACTAATGGTCAAGTGAACAAAAGTAACGACTTGCAACTATATCTTTTCTTCTTTCTTTTACCTTGTTGCTTTAGTTGGCTTTTGCTGCAATTCCAAGTTTTTGCCCCATACTTTAGTACTTAATTTTGACAAGAATAACCTTTATGAGTTGACAATATCAGGTTGCGGGTGATATCTAGACCGTTCTAGCTTATAAATTTTGTTGATCACGGAGAGGATAGCATTAGAGAGCTGTTTCTTTCAAATGTTACTCTTATTTACGTGCATATGTACGCAGAATTTACAGAAGATAAAGTGGGAATTGCCTTGAGACCTGAAATGAACAAACAAGCTAAATTGGTCTAACGTGCTATTATCTGCATTATGAAATATATGGATGTCTTTCTTAACAAATCCATGCGGATCTCAAATTACATAGCTCCGAGGATATTATCATTATCACAATCAGCATTGTCATCGTCATCATCATCATATTACCGTCATTATCATATCGTTATCATTTTCATTATTGTTGCTATATATATTATTACATTATATCAGATGTAAAGTTATTTTTTTCATCATTTTCACCGCTTTCTTCATGGCAGAGTGCTTGTATCACAAATCTTTGCAAGAACAACGCCAAATGTCAAAGCGGTTTTACTGATAAAGGTTACCGGTGTATTTGTTCAGTTGGATACAAAGGTTTGACTTGCGACGAAGGTAAACGTGAATTATTTTCAGAATACGCATTTTCTCCTCTTTCAGATCTTAAGTGTAAGTCAACCTTCATTTAAACGCAGTGTTCGGATTGATAACAGTTTCAACTATTAAATATCACAATAATGTACTTTCAGATATTGACGAATGTGCCACACGGGAGCATAGCTGCAGTGCTGATGGCGTGTGCAGCAACGTGGAGGGATCGTACATATGTGGATGTAAACCTGGTTATTCTGGAGACGGACGGACTTGCAAAGGTACTGCAATAAAATTTCACTTGTTTAATAAAGAGCTCTTTGGACTGCTAAGTTCTTTTTGTATCGCTATATTGTTTATGAGATTAAAATAACGCTACCAACAACATAACACGATGAATTAATGATATGCACATTTAGATATCGACGAGTGTGCTTTAGGAACACACAACTGCAGTGCTGATGCTCTGTGCAACAATACCAAGGGATCGTACAACTGTTCATGTAAATCTGGTTATTTTGGAGATGGAAGAACTTGTAAAGGTGAGCTTGGTTATATCAAATTGTTTATATCAATTAAAAAAGTGCTAGATGGTGTTTGTGGCTAGATCAGTGCAAGGTCAGTCACAGGTTTATCCGAGATTTGTGGAAATTTCTGAATCAAAATAGTGAATCATGATATCAACAGAGGTAAAGTTGCGCCCCTCCAGTAAATCCTAAGGATTTATTCGGCTTGGCTTTTCTACGTAAAGAAATTACTCTGCCTCAGATGCAAATCCATGCCAGTTGATATTCTCTTGTCTTTGCTAATTAAATCCCAAGGTTTCTTAAATATTCGTTTCAGTTCTATTAATTTTATCTGTTTCAAATTTACTCAGAAGTAAAGTAAAGTAAAAGTTAACATATATCAGCAGAATTCATCCAATAATTGAAATAGGCAGGTTATTGGATGAATTCTGCTGATATATTTTAACAAATGTATTACTGACAGAGTTATCCAAGTCAATTAATTGGTGGAAATTTCTGAATCAAAAAAGTGAATCATGATAACTTTCCACCGTGATCACGAAATCTTTAACATTGTCTGACCGCTCTCGTGACTTCTTTTTTTTGTAGCTACGATCTCAAGCTGCAAAGAAGCTTATGACAGCAAAATGTAAGTGCAATATCAGGAAGTAAATAATTAACTTCATCTTGGAACGAGAGTCGACGAAAAATTTAAAGAAAATAACATCATTTTTCTCAAATTTAATTATGTTGCAGTTGTTTCTTTTATATTATTTTTCAACTAAAAACCTGAATTCAAATTTGTATATCAAACTGGCAAGCATTTTTTGATCCACTGAATTTTCACAACTGTTTTATCTTTGATAGACTAAGCGGGAGTGGCGTTGTTACGCTCCACATCGGCTCAAAACCAACTTCCGTTTTCTGTCAAGTGGGGAATGTAGAATGTGGAAATGGAATATGGACCCTTGTTATGAAGACTGATGGCAGTAAGGTATTTAATCCTTTACTCTTTTGATTTCTATTTTTAGCTTGGGTAACAAAAGGAGACTATCAAAAGATTTTTGTTATTGTTTGTGCATCTTCAAAAATTTTAGGATGTGTTTTTGGAGGTCATAATTTGACTTCCGTTTCAATCGTAACTAATCTCAGCTGTGATGTTACTTGTTGGTACTCACACCAACATGTTTACGTTTCATACCTCATTGCAACATATTTTTGGTCTCCTTCAAGCCAAAGGTGATATTGGAGGTTGCTAGCCATTTAAGACTGCTTTGAGGTAGTTCAGTCAACGTGGCTATTATTATTGATTATTAACTATTTTGAACGGCAAAAAAAAAAATCATCTTGGATTGATGACTTATTTATATTGTGAGGAGACACTTGTGACGTGACCTGGACGCTTATTGTTCAGTGAATCGTTAAAATAGCCCCTGTATTAGTGCTGTTTTTGATTAATCATTGCTTTCCAAGGAGTTAAAACTCCCTCTACCCTCTCAGCCTTCGAATTTCATTTAAGACATTTGTTTCCATCGAGTTAATATTGGCTTATGATATCATTGTTCTTATTGGTCGCTGAGTGTGAACAATTTTATCTTCTTTTATCTTTATTTAATGAAAATTTCGTCTATTCCCGTTCAGCGAACTTTTCATTACGATTCCGATTATTGGAGCAACAAGATAGAATACAATCCTCCTGGAGGAGAGACAGGGTTTGACACAGTGGAGACCAAGTTACCAACCTACTGGAACACATCATTCTCCAAGATCTGTCTCGGTATGAAGATCGACCAACAGCTCAGGTTCATTGTCATCAATAAGGAAGCCGACTCTTTGTACTCACTGATCGCTGACGGAAAATACCGCCCGACTTCTTTGGGTCGTGACACATGGAGGTCCCTGATTGGTCCAAAGGCCTCCTCGCAGAGCCACTGTAACAGAGAGGGGTTCAATCTTTACCCATTGACAGCTTATTGGGAGTTTAGGGCTCCTAAAGCAAGGATCGGTTTTGTCACCAACAATGTAGAAAACTGCAAAGATGTTGATACTAGAATCGGGTTTGGTACAGGAGGGCCAACTGATGACAACAACACGTGTGGAATCGTTGCAGACAACCACAGTCTTGATAATGGGCGCAAGCACATTAAAGCCATGGGGTACATCTTGGTGCAGTGACGAGCGAAAACTGTACATACAGTGATAAACAAAGTCAACATCACCAACTTCATCAACAACACCAAGGAAAAAAAAAAGGAAAAAAAGGATGCATACCTTGATACATGCTAACTGTCCTTACAGAGTATCGTAAACACTGGCACAAAGCTATCATTTATGCAAAGCAATACTCAAAGTATGCATTCACAAGAAATGAGAATATATGTTCAAAGAGAATAATATTTGGGCGTGCATAGATATGGAATTTCTCTTCCCAAGTTCAACTCGATTCTAGGTCGCAGCCCTCACTCCTGAGATATCGAGTTGAACGCGAGATCTACCAGTAGTCATGTATTATTTCAATCTACTATATAAACGCCGCAGGCTTTTACTGGCAAGAAAAGTCGCCGACTTTTTAAATGAATACTAGTGGAAAAAAAATCACAATCTGCAGAGTGGCTCGGAGGGCAAGTGACTTGTTAACAGCCGATGTTGATATCAAACACACATAAAAGTTATTGTAGTTTTACACGAGTGCAGTTGCGGCTTTTAGTATAGGGCTGAAAATCCTTCTAAAACAACACATTTTACGTAGTGAATATCAATTACTAGCAATATATCGAGTGACGAGTTAAAAGTTTTCCAGGCCCTGATCATGACAGAATCAGTTTGAACTTTTCCATTGATTGAATACTTAACATAAAGTATAATGAAGAGAGATGAGACCTAACAGCTTTTTGCACAAGACACTTCTTCTTTGTTTCAGTCGCCTCTGTATTTCTAGCCATAGAAGAACAGACGTACTTCGTGGTGAAACAAACAAAAAATGTGATTGAATGCCCGTATAAATATATGATTTCCAACGAGAGCTCAGGGAAGGGATACAGAGTATATTAAAATTTTTACCTCTTAGTGTTACCACCAACTCCTTCGCAAGACCCTCCTTGGTTAAACAAATATTAGTTATTCCCGTAAATTGAAAGCCATAAACATATATGGACCTTTGTCAAACATTAAGATTTAAATTGAAGAAAAATAACATTTTTGACTCATGTATTCGTGGGACAAAGATGAGAGGAAATATGTATTAACATCGATGTATGCATGTAACACCGAAATAAAGATTCTGTACTATTAGAAATCATAATAAAGTTCGGATATAACGCACGCTGTCATTGGTTGAAAGAGCGTGCTCTATGAGAGTATAGAGCATAGAGTTGAGCTAAAGCTGTCACGCCATCTGCCAAATTGGAATGTCCAACCTTTCCCAGGACTTTTCTCCATCTTTTTTCCGTTAATTGAAAGTGAAATTTCGAAACAAGCGAGCCGGCAAGTAGCAACAGAACAACCAAACTAAGGTTTATAGACATGCTAGGCGCCGTAATAGACGTTATTATAACGTGAGCAGAGACGAAAGTCCTCAAAGAGAAAACGAAATGGACAGTCCGCGTTTTGAAGGTTTTCACGCTCAGTTAGATTGCAAGCTTACGAATGAGGTAATAAAAGTCAAACATAGCTAAAACTCGTGTAGTATATAGTAGTAGTTCAAAAACAAAACAGAACAAAACAGGAATGATAAAAAATATAGCCAAAGTGGCATAACTGTTGTTATTCGTACTAATCATCACGGTGTCAGAGCGACTGCGATAATGTTAAGGTCCAACGTGGCTCGCTTGGAGATCGCCAGAGAAGCAAGCCTCAAAAATTACATCGACCGCCCATCCAGTGAACACCTAAGAGCTTGCTCTGATGCTATTTCCGATGCGTTGAGTGGTGAAGGCCACATCAGTCATTGCAACCGAGTTTTACGGCTCTGTCATCCCGAGGAATCTTCATGTTCCGGTGAATTCGGCTGTCGTTCACTCATAAAACTTGTCTTGAGCAGTTTTTTTACCATTTGTCATGTGAAAAAACTTGCGTGTTTTTGTGAGCCACAATTCGGCCGGATTTCACAGAACATTTCACCTCTATATTCTGTATTTGAGACTAAAAAAACTTCAGGCAGAAGTTTTAGATTCGACCTGTCAAACTATTAAAGTTTGTAAACAATTGCAGAATGTGAACTTTGACGGTTTTTGAGCTTTGATGGTTTGACATTCTTGACAGCTTAAGTCTTGTACAGCGAATCAGATTATTGAACTATTATGACAACGATTCTGATTGGCTTATTGTAGCGTGCTTTGTGAGAGTCTAGAGCATGCTGACGACACCGTTGTTCGCTTTGGAATTAAAATTTATTTTGAAAATTGAAAGTAATGCGCGGGGAATTTAACGGATTCTTTATTATAAAACAAATAGCAAAGCCTTGACTGTGCTCTGTTCTGTTGTAAAGCACTTAGGAAGCGGTTGAAGCACTCAAGAAGTACACTTCTTTCGTGCTCGAACCGCTTCCTGCGTGCTTTACAACAGAACAAAACACAGTCAAGGCTATCTATTTATCTCTATTTGTTAATCAACGCTCAGTTAGGAAGACAGTTGAAACTAAACAGGACACATGCACTGCATGATTCAGCAAGCAAATTGACAGTAAAAGTTGAGATGCGTCTCATTTGTATAAATGGATATCTCAAAAATATCCTTCGTTTGTCTTTGTCATCGAGTTAATTCAATCCTTTTCGAAACAGAGAGGTTTACGTTATGCGTCTGGGCACTCAGTAAATGTCGATAAATGCCTCTGTTATAAAGATCGAATGGAAAATATAGTAGAATGGGAAGATCACCATTTGTTAATGTTTTTATTTAATTTTTTTTTGTAGCCATTATAAAATGTTTAGAGAAGTGCGCGCGCCGTGATTGGTCAGAACGAGTTCATTATATTTCTTTATAATAAAGTTCGGATATAACGCCCGCTGTCATTGGTTGAAAGAGCGTGCTCTATGAGAGTATAGAGCATAGAGCTGAGCTACAGCTGTCACGCCATCTGCCAATTGTACTATGTTCGAGCTTTTCCGGGACTTCTTTTTAGCTTTTTTCCGATAATTGAAAGTGAAATTTCGGAACTGAAGCGAGCCGGCAAGTAGCAACAGAAGAATCAAACAAAGGTTTGTAAACATACCAGGCGCCGTAATTTACGTTATTAAAACGTGAGCAGATACGAAAATCCTCAAAGGAAAAACAAAATAAACATTCCGAGTTTTAAAGATTTTCACGCTCAGTTAGATTGCAAGCTTTCGTACGGTAATAAAAATTAAACACAGCTAACACTCGTATAGTATATAAAGTTCAGTGTTCAAAAACAAAACAGAACAAAACAGAAATGATGAAAAATATAACTAAGCTGGCATAATTGTTAAAATTCATACTAATAATGACGCTGTCTGAGCGAATATGATCATGCTGAAGTTCATCGCGGCTCGCTCATCATGGCGATCTCCGGTCATCACAGTAAAGCAAGCCTCCGAAACTACATCGGCCGCCCTTCGAGAGAAAAAATAAGAGCTTGCTCTGATATCCTTTCCGATACGTTGAGTGGCAATTCACATCAGTCACTGCCGCCGAGTTTTGCGGCGCTGCCATTACGAGCGATCTTCATGTTCCGGTGAATTCGGCTGTCGTTCATTCAAAAAACACTCGCCTTGAACAGTTTGTTTTCTACCTTGTCATGTGGAAAAAACTCGCGTGTTTTTATGAGCCATAATTCGGCTTAAGTTCACTGAACATTTCACTTCAAGATTCTGTATTAGAGACTTAAAAACTTCAGGCAAAAGTGTTAAATTCGACTTGCCGAATTATTTTAGTTTATAAACTATCGTAGAATGTGAACTTTGATGGTTTTTGAACTTTGATGGTTTGACACTTTTGACAGCTTCAGTCTTGTACAGCCAATCAGATTATTCGAACCATTCTAACAAGGATTCTGATTGGCTTATTGTAGCGTGCTTTATAAGAGTATAGAGCATGCTGACGACATTGTTGTTCGCTTTGGAAATAAAGTTTGTTTTGAAAATTGAAAGTAATGCTTGGGTAATTTAACGGATTCTTTATTATAAAACAAATAGAGAAGCCTTGACTGTGCTCTGTTCTGTTATAAAGCACTTAGGAAGCGGCTAGAGCACTCAAGAAGTGGGAAGAAGTTTCTCCCTACACTTCTTGAGTGCTCTAGCCGCTTCCTAAGAGCTTTATAACAGAACAGAGCACAGTCAAGGCTTCTCTATTTGTTAAATAAAGCACGTGCCTTAAGTCACAAGAGTGCACTGTTGAGATATAATGCACGAAGCTTACGTCATCGGTCCGAGTGCGCAAATTTCACAATACATTTTATTAAAAGAAATAAAAAAACTTGTTCCTCGAGCATTATTGAGTTATATAAGCACTCGAGAGTTTTTAAAAACACTCAAGGGGTGCGAAAATCACGAGCCGAAGGCGAGTGCTTTTCGACACTTTTCCCGCGTGCTTATAGATCGCCCCATGCAAGGTAATCCGGATTCCGGAATCTATGAAATTTTTGCTTGTGGAATCCGGAATACTGGGCTCTGGAATCCAGAATTCAGCTTTTGGAATCCAGGATCCCGCTAAAAAGGGGAATCCAGAATCCGCTTTCTGAAAATCCATTTCAAATCATATTATCGGCTTTCACCCGCATCCATGCAACCACTGTACAGTGCAGTTCACTCACGTGGTCAATCGGTGCTCAAATTTAGAAAGTGTTTATATCACTGAAGCGTTCAAATCCCACAGGATTTGCTTGGAACATCAATATAGCCGCTATTTGATTGTTTTGGAACACCTCTAAATAATGATATGGCCGCTATGACGTCCTGTGAATATTAACTTGCTGGTTGTCATAACAACAGTTGGAAGGTGACTTCCAAAAGATACGTAAAAGATACGTTTTAGTTTTCCTATAAATCTAGGAATTTTTAAATTTCTGTGAAAATAATCTAACTATTAACAACTTGGATGCTTCGCTTTTGCCTGCTTTCCTCACCGGTTTTTTAAGCAAATGGGGCACACGGCAAGCTTTGGCACCGGAAATTGCGCTACTTTTATCTGACACCCAGGGTCGAGGTATCGACCTTAATACTTAATACTTAATACTCTTTTCATTTTCGACTCTTTCGAACTTTCTGGCATTTCTGATTCGCGATTGACCAAAATCAAAAATAAATATCCATTTTCCTTAAATCATAATGAGAGCATCAAAAAGTAATATTCTCCTGTTGATGGCCGTGGAGGCATAGTTGTAATTAGAATCCAGATGAAAGCCAGGAACTGTCAAAACTGCACCAGTCTCTCAGAGCACGTGGAGGGACACAAGCCGCAGTATTACAGAAAATTTGCAGTGTCTTTTTCAATTGATATATCATTTGTTTATTCGATTTGCTCTTTCCCTAAATCTCGATACTTTAATCATAATCTATGGGGAAGCACAAGAAAAAGCAAAAGGCGGAGAGGGAAAGGTAAGTGTAACATTGTAATGATTCGATTAATTCTTTGTTCCATTTTGAACTAACTTAACCTCCAGCGAAACTTACCAAAAATTACTGAAAATGCATCTTCAGGAGCCCAAGAAACCGAAGAAAGAAAGACTAAAAAGAAAAATACACGAGTTCAAGACCATCGAGGTTTGAGGATTTTTGTCTATTATGAAACACTTCTGAATTTTTTTTAGGGGTTGCAACGAGCAAACAGGAACGACAGGGGTTTTAATGACGAACTATAGTCAATAATAACTGTTTCAATGTAGTAGAATTCGGAAGTTAAAAAGGAGTTGGAAGATTCGAAAAAACGCTTTGCTAAACTTGAGAATACTCGGTCAATTGTTTGCATCTCATGAAACAACAATGTATTACGCCTCGTTAAATGATGAGACGCAATAAAAGCACAGCATGACTCGCTTGTTAGCAGTGATTTAGGCCTTTAGTCGTTTTGAGATCAGTTACGCTAGAGGTTTGAATAAACTCTGCTCGTTAAATATTTTATTATGCTACCTGGCACTGGTCATGGAAATCGCTTATTTTGCGCGAAATTCCGCTCGAATCGTGATTCACACTTAGCCCTTTAATTTCCAAGATCTGATTGTTAACTCTCCCCTCTAGCTGCTACACAATTCCTCGTAAATTAGCTACGAAACTTTGGTGTAATATCAAGATGACAACTTCAACCTGATAATTTTGAGTATTCCCATGAACCCTTTGCTGAAAAACATATAGATATTATAGGGAGAAGTTACATGTCAGTCTTTTCTGGGAGTTTATTGGTTAAACCATCATTGTTTATGAGAGACTTATTTTATTGCGCTAACTTGCATGTGCTTAGCCATGGCTAACCGCCGGACTTAAGGTTCAAGCATTGAGGCGCGCTGTTAGAGCTCGGTGATCACCCGGCCCAATAAGGTGTGATAATTTTGTAAATCAGAAGTACAATAAAACTGTCAATTTTGGAACTGAAAAATGGACTGGCCCAGGTGCTAGAACCCGCACCACGATTCTTAAAATTGGGCTTTTTCGAAAATAATTTAGTTTTTTTTTCTTGCAGGCCTTTTCGCGAACAGTATGAACCTTCGACATCTCCACCAAGCTGGCGATCAAGGTCTCGCAACGAACGTACACCGAGGTATGTTAACTGTTATATTTTAACGAACCGAAAAAAGTTTTTTGAAAACTCAATTAACAACACGTGATGTAGCCTTAACACTATCACTTTCTTTGTTTTTGCAGCCTCCTCGAAAAATTAGAGCGCTCGCCCTCTCGAAGGCGACGATCAGGATCACCAAAAACAACGACGACGACCAGGTAGATTAATTCGAATTAATTTCTATAAGCGGAACACTATTAAAATGCCATAATATAGAACTTATTTTTTGCTACTCATGACAACGGTTTTCTGTCAAAATTCATTCTGGCATGTATTCTTTCTCAAGGGAACAGGAAGTGAAGAGGAGGGCAAAAGGCGAGAAGCCGTAATGCGAGAGTTTGTCGGAGAATATGGAAAAGGTGTACGACAGGAAAACGTTCGCTCAAAGACGAAAGAGTTGACTTGCACACTTCCATATGCCCTAAGCATGCGTCCCTCTGTCATCACAGCCTCATCGGTAGACTGCCAAGACGTAACAACAGAGGGTTCAAGCATCACTCTAACGTCTGAGGAGGACAATGGGCTCTGCAGGCTCGCTAATGGTGACCCTGATGACGAAGATGTTGGAGATGATGAGGATCAAACTCCAGATGATCAGAGAGCAGCTAGGGAGAGTGAAAGGGAAGTGTCGCTTCCAAGATTAGCAGGAGTGAGCTTATCAGGGCGACGGACCACACTTTTCCAATTATGATAAACTTTGAACAAAGTTATATAGGGATATTTGTGGGAGCCAGGAAAGGTCTATTTATAGTCGAATGTTCGGCATTTAAACGTAAACCGTTTCCTTTGATATTTGGCATTTGGAATAACAAATTTAAAATTTCATGAGACATCATATCTCGGTGGAACAAAGATAAGATATTACTGGGTTTTAAGGTCAAACAACATTTTCTAAAAAAAAAAAAATAGCGGCGGGCCATCTGAAACCTTACAAAATCATTGCTCTGAAGGATTCATAGCCGACGTAATGCGACATGACTTGGCTAACCTTTTAAAGAAAAAAGGAAGTATAGAAAAGAGAATCTGTTATTCTTCAAAAATTACCGTGTAAATGAAGATCTTTCGCGATTTTTCAAATGTTTAAGTACAGTTAAATTGGTTTAACACCGTTTTATACGCAATCTCGTCGAACATCATCGCCAATTACATCTAGGAAAACAAGCTTTTCTGTCCGCGATTTACTCGGGGTGTCATTAAAATTATATTCCAGTTTAAATTTTTGCCTCAATACCACGGTTTTTGTTTAAAAGGAAAGTTTAAAAAGTAATTTGAGATGATAGGGAAATATTTCGAGCTGTTTTCTTGCAGTTCTAAGCGAATTTTTTTTTTAAAAAATTGGCCATCTTTTCCCAATCGGAACAATGTTATGCTGCACTAAAAAAACTTTTTAGTCTAACAGTTATTTACAAATTAAAAATGATACGCAAAGGTTTGTACTATTAGTTCTTTGTTACTTTTAAATCACTTGAAGAACCTCGAGGAACCCGTATGAAAGAAATGCGGCCTCGCCTCAGACTTCAGAGTTGCTAAAAAGATGTGGAATGAATGGACATTGGACTTAAGAGACGGACAGTCTCAACAGGTATTCCTAAAACAAAAATTTATCCCTTAATTTGTTGTTATACATTTCTCATAATTATCAAATGTTGTTAGGAAATATGAATAGACAAACATGCATTCACAAACATGTCCTTCAATAGCGAAATCCGCTATTAAAGTCATTCCTAGAAAACGCAATGCGAAAATTAGGGGCAAACCACAAACTAAAATCTGGAATCTTTTGTGTTTTGGAATCCGGAATTTGCAACGGTAGAATCCGGAATCCAGCACCTGGAATCCGGAATCCACAGCGTGGAATCCAGAATCTAATACTGTCCTGGATTACCTTACATGGGGCGATTATAGAACTCAACAATGCACTCGGTGCATTTTTATTTCTTTGAGAACATTGTTTCGAAAACGATTTTGGCGAAAAAATAAAAGGCACAGACAGCAATTTTTGAGACAGTGCTAAAATCGAGGAAATATGTTATTCGTCAGCCGGGAGGTCCGCCGCCTACGGCCTCGGGTGGTACTCAAGACATCGGGCAAACTTCTTCCCAATACGGACCAATCTAGGCTGAATAACATTTTTATTTTTTTCCTCAAAACTTAACGAAAATATCTCCAAAAGAACCGGAATGAGTTAGGGCTGTAATAACAGCAAGATTTACCATAAACGAAACAATTTTGAGCGAGCAAATGGTACTTAAAATAGAGGTAATGCAAATTAAAGAGAGAAGCGTCACCGAAACATTTTAATTTCCGTAATGATAAAGGTGATTTAAAAGGCTTCCAAAAAACTTTGAAAAATTATTTTTACAAGTATCTGTCACAATCTGACACCTTTGAATCAGAGAGCGAGTAAGAAAGAAAAACGCAAGTACACTTTTAAAAAAAAACAACGGAACTAGTTTGGCAAGGACTGTCGCGACAATGTTTTCTTCAAGAGCAGTCAATGATCTTACGGAAAGTATCATTCGCTGTCATGGACGTTTAAGAATGTACAAGGATTTGTCTCTGTTCAGTTAGTAAATGGCAAGGAAAGTAGTTGTAAGTAAATTCAAATTTTTGTTTTTGAAGTTGTGTGAGTTTGCTCGTTTGTATACTGCAATGGCGTGTGTAAATCTGGTCTTTTCTCCACAAAAGCTAAATTCGAATGAGACACTTCAATTAGACACGAGAGGATTTAATGTGGCTTTTTCTCATTGAATTCCCAAATGTTTAAATTGAACAGACTTGGAAAGACGCACCGAAAGCGTAGAATACTTTGCTCGCCTTTTAACAGCAAACAAATTGTTTGGGAGAGATTAGATAGTAAATGATGAAAGTTCTATCAATTAACTGATTCAATGGTAACCAAATACCGCAAGTTTTAGATTACGAGGTAATTTTTGTGACAGATTAAATTTAATTACAGATGGGTTTTTAGGCCGCTTGTTAACCAATCTTACGAAACTTTTGCTTATACAAATTCATTTCGAGACCAATATTTTTCTGTAAACCAAAGTGATTGGAGAGAGAAAAAAGAGAGGATTAATAAGTTATTTATCCGCTTGAGGTGGTGACCGACGTCTTTTCGATAAAATAATGCTCAGCCGGCAAAACGAGATATTTTTTTATGAAAAATGGCAGCGAAGGTAGGGATTTACTCGGCGACTCACGAAAGCGTTACCGTTGCCCGTGGGCAGAGATAGGCAAATACGGACCATGATAAGAACCAATCAGATTGCACGATTCGTTACCGTGCCCTCTCAGAAAAAAAAAAAGAAGATTATTATCATTATCGTCATTGAGGTTTTTGATGTTGTAACTATTACTATCATGATTATCATCAATATTATGAGTCAGTGTAGAGTTGTGGAGAGAAATTTCTCCTGTTAAATTAAACAGCCATATAGTGTTGTAATATTTCATATTTCCAGTTCAATGTTCATGTGGTCAAATGCTATCATGTGGTCAAATGCTATCAACATCCTTCCACGATGTAATGAATAATCTACATATCCAGATATCGATGAGTTTTTTATTGGAACACATAACTGCAGTGCTGATTCTGCGTGCAACAATACCAAAGGATCGTGCGACTGCATTTAGGTTAAGGTACTTTTGAAGAAATCAGAGAGAGTTCACAAATACAATTTGACAGGCCTACGAGAAAAGTTCTGAGTTATGGAGTGTCAATGACTATTAGCACTGCGTCACAGTGGATTCCTCGGAGATGTCCCAGTTAAGTGCCGCGCGCGGCTATTTTTTTCCCTCAAGATTTAAATTCCTACAATGGTGTAAGGGGTGGGGGAAGGAGGAGTTGAGAGCGAATTAAACCCTAAGGTGTTATCAAAGATGGCGTTCTAGAAAAACTTCGTTTGCACGTCTACGCTCTAAATACAAATTTTGTCTCTATAGATCTACATGTTCAAAAGTCATATCCATTGCTCATGTTACCCATTAAATAAGGAAAAATCTCAAAAAACCGGAATGATAAAAAATATTTATTCCGCTCAAGTACGGAAGATTTGTAAGATATTTGAATTGACTCTAGCTATTTGGCATTCTGTTGTTCCAAGACATTTGAGCTCTTCAAAACTAAAGAATTGCATTCAGAATTGAACAAGGCATGTTATCAAATTAATGCAACAAAATGTTCCACTTGATGATGTCAATACTAAAGAATATGTAGATATTTTACAACTTAAGGGATGTGCCGTTGCTTTGATCGTAATGTACTTAGACACTCGCTTTATATCAATTGCTATACTATCGTTTTATAGTTTCATTTATGTTTTAATTACACTAAATCAAGTAGCAAAAATTGATAAATACATCAAACTTTTAACGGGGACTTCGAAAACTTTGATAAAGTTCCATAGTTCCCGTGATATATATTTTTTTCTTTTATCTGCAGTTGCGGTTTCGAACTTTAAAGAAGCTGACAAACAAATGTAAGTGCTATATTTTGTAATAAACGACAAAGTTCATCTCACATCGAGTGTTAAAGATTTTAAGGAAAGGAAAAGAGGAGAAAGATGATCCTAGTTTAATTCAATCCTGTTTTTTTTTTATTTAGCGACTGATTTCCTATTTTTTTAATCGTTTATCTTCGATAAACTGAGCGTCTTCGTTACGCTCCATATCGACTGAACACCAACTCCCGTTATCTGTCACGGGGATGTAGGATGTGGGAATGGAATATGGACCCCTATTATCAAGATTGATGGCAACAACGTCTCTTTTAAGCTTTTGTTAAAGAAGCTATTGAGATAACTTGGTTAATATGAAGGAGTTTTGAAAAATTTGGCTTAAAGGTGGCAAGTTCGTAATATGCCTTTCGTTTACTTCTCCCCAACCTCAACCGCGCCTTTTCCTTGCTGGGTTTTCAGCCATCGCATTTGTTTCATTTATCTTTTTACCTTCTTGTAATTAAATATTGATTTCGTGGTCTCCTTTAAACTGAAGATAGATTTGAAAGCCATGGACAAAAGAAAACAAAAGAAGGAGTATTCCTTTCAATTTTTTTTTAATGAAAATCTAAGGGAGTCATTATTTTCACGTAACTGCCAAAAAAAAAAATTCAATGTTAAGCAAAGATTTTTCCAATGAAACCTTTTTTTTGCAAGTCCTTTTTTCGACGGGATTTGGCGTTTGTTGATAGTTTTGCATCACGCGGAAAATAATTTTACGGGGCTTATGAACTGCAGGGAACAGAGAAAAAGCTTCTTTCTTTTCACTTTTTATTGTTTTAGTCTTGTGATAGCCAAACTAATAACAAATGGAACATTTACATTTTATGGATTTCATTTTTTTTGTATGGATTTCGTCGGATCTTAGGTTTTTCTCATATGCTTAAACGAAAAATAGTCAATGAACTTCGAGTTAAAATTCAATTTTAAAAATGTAGGGAGATTATCAATTTCCACAACAGAGTTGTAATATTCAAAATAAATTGTTCTGAATGCTTTTGCAACAAATTTATTATCATTTTTGTTTATTAAGCCATTGCTGAGAATGAATGCCTTGAGAGTAAGACATCTGGAACTTAAGTTGGCTGAGAAACACTAAGTTGCAAATATAATAGATCCTAGTTAATAGAGGGCTACCTTTACAGTGCATAGCTCTTAGTCTCTAAAGCTCCGGATAAAATCTGTGAATGGCTTTTTGACATGAATTTCCTTTTGACTTGTGTTATTTTGCCGCTCCTCAGTTCTGTGATGCTCGATGCCGTCTTCTCAGAAGGTTGGTAGCTTTTATCTTCCTCAAAAGCCACCAAATTCTAAAAATATTAACTTTTTTTTTTTTTATATATATATTTATTTTTATTTGGGGTGTTTTTTTTAAGTGTTATTATTTGAATAGGTTCTTGAACTAAAATGCGATGCGAGTACGCGGTCAGTTTCGATTTAGCGGGGACCTTTGGACATACGCTTTTTAATGATTTCTACAAAATGAACTTTAAAAAAATTAAAACTTTTTGTAGTTGAATGGTTGAAACGTTTCACAGGCAAGTTTTTCGACTTACTGATAGCTGGTGTACCAAAACTACCTCATAACTTCCACCAAAAAATCAATGTTAAGCAATTTTTTTGCCTTTATTTCTCTTTTGCATAAAATTTATTTAAGTTTCAGCATGGGGGCATGAGAAAAATATCTCTTCAAGAACAAGCTGAAGTTAATATCAGTTTGGCTATCACAAGACTAAAACATGAGCAATAGGGGTGTTTATCATATAGCTGGCAGCGCTCGTGGGCAATATGAAGCGAATCCTGTGTTCTGATTCTTGTCCGCTTTGATCTCGGGCAAGGAAAAAAGTGCGTGGAGCTGACTAACAAAGTTCGTAACTTTTGGGCGATGTCGGCGATGAAGTCGCAAAAAGCGGCAGAAGACAGTCAAACTAAAGAAAACATAAATGACACCCGTGGGTTTGTTCTGTTGCAAACACAAATGGCATTTTTTCCTGGCTCTAGAAATACAAAAAGAAAACTGTCATTCTTGATTCTTATTAAAGCGAAATCTGTTGGCAATATGATAAGTCCTTTATTGATTAAGCTTGTTCGGTCAAGATGGCTGGATATTAGCCTTGTTGTTTCCTTGCGTTTTTATGAACTGACACGAAGCCAAGTTCCGTAAAACGCAAAAAAAAGGAACTCGGTCAATATCCAGCCATTTTGACCTCACGCTTGCTGCCATCAGAAAACAAATATTCATCCTCTCGTAGAGGCTTTAGGGTGTATGATGGTATAGCCTGAAGCTGTTTGCAGAGAAGTGCATATTTCCTCCGTCACTCCTTCGCCAAAAATAAATAAATCAATGAATAAGAATAAAAAAACGATGAAAAAATATCTTAATTTGACTAGAATTTGCTATTTTCATGTTTCTTTTCGCACGCACAATCCTTCTAAAATTGCTGCCTGCTGACAGCACGTCGAACATTTGACCATGATATGAGAAGTGTCATGGCCTGGCTTCTCGAGACATTGTTTGTTGAGTGTTGGTAGGGTACGATCTTAAAGGGGATTTTTTTTTTCTTTTAATCTGATCCATTAGTTTAATCTTTATATGTAGAGAGCACCAAACCAATACCAATTTTCTGTGCTTTACAATACTCCAAGTGGAATCATTATTAATTCATATCTTTGTCTTCCTTTTTGTTACTCGGCGGGTATTAATTTTATCTTCTCTCACAAAGTAATAACGAAATATCATTTTGACTCAGAAGACTGCCGTTATTTGGAATTCAAGCCCGCTAAAGCATTTGACGGTCAACGCCTGATAAATCACGTGATTCAAATTGATGATGTCAAGGATAAAGTATTGTGTAAGATACGATGTTTCATGGAGTCAAACTGTGTCAGTTATAATCTCGTAAAACAACTGAGTGGGGACAATGAAACATATAAATGTGAGTTGAATGATGTTACTCACGAAGGAAACATGGACGACCTTGTTGGGGAGTACGATTCCTTTTACCACGGATCTGAGGCAAGAGTCACCTTCAAACATCTTAACTGCTTTATACCCTAACATTTTTATGCATATTTCCATATGATTCTCTGTACATTTCCCAACGTGCGGACAAGGAGAATTTGTTTAGCATACAAGGTCTTCTGTAGTTGGTGATTATATTTTTTTCTTCTCGTGATCTTAAGATGTTATTCAAGGGTGAAACTTTAAAGAGAAATTAGATTAGCTTCCAGTCACTCTCAGGGGCTAAATGGTTAACTAAATCGAGAAAAGGTCTTCAACGAGACACAAACAAGGATTTGCGTCAATTGCTTTTTCTATTATGCGACGTTGTTGTATTCAACTTCGCAGTGGCTATCGTAATAATAAGCATCCGCGATTTGAGAATAACAAAATTTAAGTTGTAGCATTCATATTTATACTTAGCAATCCTGCTGGTTTAGACTATCGAGCAAAACTATTTCATGATAGGATTCTCTAGATGTCATGCCTAACGACATTTTGTTAGATTTTTATGGCTAATTTTTTTTTGTTTTCTGTTTTTTTTTTGTTTGTTGTTTTTGTTGTTTTTTTGTTTCCTTGCTTTGCTTTTTTTTTCTTTTGTTGTTTTTTATTTGTTTATTTGTTTGTCTTTTTATGTCAGAGTAACTGTATAGCAAACCCTTGCAAGAACAACGCGACTTGTCAAAGCGGTTTTACCGAAAAAGGTTATCGCTGTTTGTGTTCAGCTGGATTCAAGGGTCAGACTTGTGATGAAGGTAATGCCGTTCTCTAAACGAGTAATTCCCTTTGAGACATTAACACAATTGAACCTATTGTCGACTTAAACACAGCTTTAATTAACAAATAGAGAAGCCTTGACTGTGCTCTGTTCTGTTATAAAGCACGCAGGAAGCGGCTAGAGCACGAAAGAAGTGTAGGTAGAAACACGAGACGTAGTCGAGTGTTTCTTCCCACTTCTTTACTGTGATAACCGGAGATCGCCATGATGAGCGAGCCGCGATGGACTTCGGCATGATCATATTCGCCAGACACCGTCATGATTAGTATGAATTTTAACAGTTATGCCAGTTTGGATATATTTTTCATCATTTCTGTTTTTTTCTGGTTTTTTTTTTTAACACTGTACTTTATATTCTATGTGAGTGTTAGCTGTGTTTGATTTTTATTACCGTACGTAAGCTTGCAATCTAACTGAGCGTGAAAATCTTTAAAACTCGGAATGTCTATTTTGTTTTTCCTTTGAGGATTTTCGTATCTGTTCACGTTTTAATAACGTAAATCACGGCGCCTGGTATGTTTACAAACGTTTGTTTGGTTCTTCTGTTGCTACTTGCCGGCTCGCTTGTTCCGAAATTTCACTTTCAACTATCGGAAAAAAGCTAAAAAGGAGTCCATGAAAAGGTCGAACATAATACAATTTGGCAGATGGCGTGACAGCTTTAGCTCAGCTCTATGCTCTATACTCTTATAGAGCACGCTCTTTCAGCCAATGACAGTGCGCGCTATATCCGAACTTTATTATAATGATAATTGGAATCAATATGATCTGATTTCAGATACTTACGAATGTACTACAGAAAAGCAAAACTGCAGTGCCGATACTGTTTGCAAAAATACCAAAGTATCGTACAACTGTGCATGTAAACCTGGATATTCCGGAGATGGAAGGGATTGCAAAGGCAGGTTTTGCTTTTTCGTTGCTTTGAACAGTGAATATGTTTCTTAGAATTAAAGGGGTGGATTCTTGCGAGAATGCATGGCCTGGTTTCCTGACTTTCAGAATTAAAGTTTAACTTAGAAGAACGTTTTTCGTTTTATTGTTTTCTTCTTTGGTTTTAGAAATTCAAATGATTTATTCAGCTAACCTGCTTTCAGTTTTACGTAAAATAACTGAAACGAGAGATTATGTACAAACCTTTTCATTTTGCTTTCCCAAACTATGAAAATTTTTGACAGTTTAATTGTAATTAAACCAAATATGGTGCAACTTCAGATATTAACGAATGTGCTACAGAAGAGCAGAGCTGCAGTGTTGATGCTGTATGCAACAATACCAAAGGATCTTATGACTGTGAATGTAAACCTGGATTTTCAGGGGATGGATGGACCTGCAAAGGTAGCACAATGTAATATCGCAGGCTAAATTCAGTGCCAGATAGAGTTTTTGATTACGCATTATCAGCGCAATGTCTATGAGAACGGATGCTATTGAAACTTTAAAAGCTGACCAATGATATGCGTACTCAGATATCACAAAAGGTAAAAGTGGTTCAGAAGAGCACGGCGGCAATGCTGATGCTGTTTTTTGGGAACACTAAACCTGCACAGGTAGTGCAATCAAATACTGCATATTGAATTTGTTTTTATATAAATTGTTGTATTCTAAAATTTAGTATCAGCACAGTGTTATGAAAATAAATGCCATTAGCGTTATAACAGACCAAATACAAACATACATATTTAGATATTGACGAATGTGGTACAGAAGAGCACAGCTGCAGTGCTGATGCTGTGTGCAACAATACCGAGGGCTCATACAACTGTTCATGTAAACCTGGATACTCTGGGGACGGATGGTCTTGCAAAGGTAGTAAAATGAAACAATGCATGTTGAATCTAGGACCACGTAAATTCTGGTACTCTTTATTATCGATGCAATGTTAGGAAAACAAAATTAATGCTACAGATACTACAACAGATCCATTAATTATGTCTATTTAGATATTGACGAATGTGCTACACAAGATCACAGCTGCAGTGCTGATGCTGTGTGCAGAAATACCAAGGGATCCCACAACTGCACATGTAAACCTGGATATTCTGGGGATGGACGGACTTGCCAGGGTAATGTAATGAATTATTGCCTGTCAAATTTAGAATCACATACATTGTTGTTTTCTATATTACCGATGCAATGTTACAAAAACAAATGCAAACAGCCATATCAAAAGTAAACGTTTGATTGGCATATTTAGATATCGACGAGTGCGCTACAGGAACTCACAGCTGCAGTGCTGATGCTGAGTGCAACAATATCAAGGGGTCGCACAACTGTCAATGTAAATCTGGATATTCTGGGAACGGACGCACCTGTACAGGTAATTGAATGGAATATTGCATGTTAGATTTACAGCCAAATGGATTGTTACGTGCTAATGTATATTTTTATATATATATATATATATATATACTAATTAATTTATCTGTTTTATCATTCGTAGTTTTTTTTTATTTTTCAGCCGTCATATTTTCAAGCTGCAAAGAAGCTTATGATGCCAAATTGTAAGTACGATTAACGATAAAAGAATAAAAACGACAGACTTGATCTTCTTGATCTCGCAGGAAGACTTATAAATGCCAAAGAAAAGAGCGGGTAGCTATCCAGTCATTTCTTCTTTTTTGATACGCCTGTTAAATTTAGTATTCCCAAGAGTTTATAATCTCATGGTATTCCAAAATGGTGAATGCATACCACAAGCTTAACTCCTATACTTAATTTTATTAAATCCGATTTTTTCACAGACTAAGCGTAAGTAACGTCGTTACGCTCTATATCGACTCCAAGCCAATTTCCGTTTTCTGTCACGTGGGGGATGTAGGATGTGGAGATGGAATATGGACCCTTGTCATGAAGACTGATGGCAACAAGGTATTTATCTCTTCATTTATTTATATTATTCAATTGTTTTTTTAAAAGATTTTTGTTTGGTTTGTGATGAATTTTAGAAAATATTTTCGATACCTAAAGTTTGCTTCTATCATAACCTCACACAACCTCCGCAAGAATGGCTTCTTGTTCGCTTTCATATTTCTATGTTTGACTTTTTCTGCTTCGTTGCAAATAAAATTGTGGTCTTCTCTAGGCCAAATGTGATTTTAATGCGGGTCTAAAGAGGAAATACCAACAAAATGTCTGTAAAATGTAGTTTTTTTGCTGATGGTTATTTCATCGATTTCCCACCTCAAAAAAAGAAAAATAATAATAAAATAAATATAAGTTCAAGAACTTTTAAAATGCCATACTCGAGGGAACGTTATTTGTGGTATATTTCTATTTCCATATGTTTTTTTTTTATCGTGTTGTGACTCGCTCTCTCAAATGATCAGATTTATTGAGATCTGGAAATCTCTTGGGTTTCCATCTACTTAACATCGGCTCGCATTAATTTTTGGCTGGTTGGTCGTTGAGATTCACATATTTATTTGTCTTTCTTGTTTATTCAATGGTATTTTCCTTCTTTTCCTGGTCAGCGAACTTTCCATTATGATTCCAATTATTGGAGCAACATGTTAGAATATAACCTTCCTGGAGGAGAGACTGGGTTTGACCAAATGGAGACCAAGTTACCGACTTACTGGAACACATCATTCTCCAAGATCTGTCTTGGTATGAAGATCGACCAACAGCTCAGGTTCATTGTTATCAACAAGCGAGCAGATTCCCTGTACTCGCTGATCGCTGACGGACAATACCGTCCGACTAATTTGGGTCGTGACGCATGGAGGTCATTGATTGGCCCAAATGCGTCCTCGCAGCTTTACTGCAACAGAGAGGGGTTCAATCTTTACTCACTGAACCCTTTTTGGGAGTTTAAGGCTTCTAAAGCAAGGATCGGTTTTGTAACCAACAATGTAAATAACTGCCATGATGTTGATACCAGAATCGGGTTTGGTACAGGAGGGCCACACGATGACACCAACACGTGTGGAATCGTTGCAGACAGAGCCAATCTTGATAATGGTTCGAAGTTCATTAAAGCCATGGGGCACATTTTGGTACAGTAATTGGCGAGAAGTGGAGATGCACTGGTGAATAGTATTACCGTCGCAACCTTCACCAACAAAATATGAAGGCACACATCAATACCCCTTAGCTGTCTGTATAGAGTATCAAACACACTAATACACTGACACGTCCAATTGTGTAAAGCAATATTCAGAGGATGCACTTACTTGAAATGAGAATATCAGGATGCGACTAGATGTGTACATGTAAATAACTAGTCTGATTTGCTAAACAGAGCGAGGTTATGAGCTTCAAGCTCATAATCTAGCTGTGACATTTGAGGTCGATGAATTTGTCAGCGAATTCAAATAAACATTTCTGTGAGCGAGCCGTGAAGCTATAGTGGACAATATTATTTTGCCTGAGAGCTTACAAGTGAAGATTTAACACAACAACAAAATAAAATTAGACTTCCTTATCACCAAAAGAAGCCAATAAATTCGTTATGAAGGTAATGAGGATAAGATATGACAATTGAAGAACTTAATTATTGCCTGAAATATTTTTATACCTCCGAGCGAAAACAAGATGGCACATGTTGCGAAACAGCCTCGCCCAAATCGATCCGATCAACTATTGACCGCTTTCTTCACTTGGTTCGCGTATGTAAACACAAACTCAGAGAGGTTTCTCATTTTACAGGTTGTTAAAAAAAAATTCATGATAAACATTTATTGAAGTCGGTTTTCGCTTGATACCATGAATAATCAAATCCTATGTCTATGTTATGCACCTCATTCTTCGGCTTCGGCACATAACTCGGACCACATTTTTTATTCCATGATATCTAGCCCAAACGCATCCAATAATTGCTTAATAAAGTGATGAATCTCATATATCTCAGAAAGAATTATAAAAAAAAAGAGAGGCACTGAGACGATTACGAAATCCTTTTGCTTCACGGCAATACAACACGAGACGAGGTTTTGTGTTTGATATTTGTGCAATCAATTGATTCTGATTTGGTGGAGAGAAGGAAAACGATTAGGTGGACAATTCAGGGTAGGTTAAAAACTTATAATCTCTAAAAGAAACACGAAATTCATCCAGAAAAGCCAATCTAACGAGTCATATGCTGAAAATAATGGGAGCGAAGTCTATCCACCTGCAACTAAAAGTTGCCAAAATCAGCAAAATGAGTCGGGGAAAAAAGTTAAGAAAACATCTTAAAGTCCTTAGTTTAACTGGGATAAGTACTATTCAAAACTACGTAAATCGGGCTGTATTCTGAAGATTATTTTAGAATTAGAAGTGTTGATAAATAATGATTAAAACGTTCTTCTTGGTGCGATTAGAGTTCGCATCTCACTTGCACTATCATCCCATGGTAAAAGGACCAAGTGCAGTCTATTTCGATCTGTAATCATACGAGTGATTGCGAAGCGGGAGTCCGATCTGTTAATCAAAAGTATGATTATAGACTAAATTGGACTTCTTCGAATCACGTCTATGATTGGTGGAGAGTATAATTAGTATGATTGGCAGCATTAATCGTCCGATTACGGCCAATTATTCCATTACACTTTCCGACTGGTCAAACAAGAAAAAATGTTTGTCTTTTTAAAAATGATGGCAGTTGCAGGCTGTTTTAAGAATCGAGGTATCTTTAGAGTATTCCAAAGTATTGGAGCGTAGAAAGAAAACCTTTTGATTATAGTTGGCTGCTGGGATCGTTTCAACTTGAAAAAATAGGCCATCAGAAGAGCGAGGAGAGTGAACTGACTCACGGCGATAGAAGAGCAAAGTCTACAGAGAGCAACGAGTTTTAGAACCAATAGTACACTGTATCTTTGGACTATAAGCAATTGTACTAACTGTTAATTTTTTACGATGATAAAAAGGTGCTTTTGCTGTTTAAACTTTCTATAACTCTCTGCATGGAGAAATCATGACTCAAGTGGTTGTAGCATTTGGATAAATTATGAACTGGTTCTGGTACTAAAGATGTTAAAATTAGTTTTCACACTTTATAGTATTGTTTTGTAGATACATCTATGATAAAGGCGAGGTAAATGACGAGTGTGCTGTATTTACAGGTTAGAAGACCACCTCGAGGTTTAAAAAAAGAATCAAACATATTCTTGATCAATAACAGCGCAGTTTTCGCATACGAAATAGTATAAGGAAGCTTGGCGCATCGATTTATCAGAAAATTAGCGTTAAAACAGCAAAAACGTTTTCAACTTTAGAAAAGCACATGAACATTTTCATTGTAACAATCTTTTTTTATGTTCCCTTTCGTAATCTCATTTTTCTACGGTTTCCACGTCGATCGCTAGAGAGTAGTTATATACGATTTAGAAGATATATATATTTTTTAATCATTTCCGTAAAACATGTAAAGCGATAAGTGAACACGGTCTTAACTCCTAGAACGTTTTTATTTTAAATAGAGTTTCCCTTCCGTAACCTTATTCTGATTAGTTTCCACCGCGATCACTAAAGCGTAATTATGGACGATATAGGGGATCCATTTTTTATTAATATGGGATTTTCCTCATTGCTTTGGTTAAAAATTTTAATGTTTTCCTTGACGTGAGCTTACAGCTCTCAACAATGGTGTTCTACACGGAAAATGATTCTCCAGAGATAGTTGCGATTAGGTTGAACAAAAATTACCTAGTTACCCCTTCGACGTAAGGTTCTTTAGTTCACAGAAACTTTACACAAACTTGGATCAACAAACATAAAGTAACTTCAACGCCTCAATTCCCCAGGGGGAAATTGAAGTTCTTATTTCCCTTTTTTATTTTTAATCTTTTTTTCATCATTTAGAATTTATGCCCTCAGAAGAAGACACCTGGACGTTTTTCTCGGGAGAAACTAGACTCAGTTGATTGACATCGACAGAAGTTGAAGTGTGCTACGTTCACTGTGAAAAGGCTTTCAGTATCTAAAAGTTCAAAGCAGTTCTGCATACAGTGACTAGGGATGATGTATTCCTCTCTCCCCTGTTTTATTTCACCACTTCTATGTTCTGTGCTGAATAAAACTCTCATTCATTGTGAAAAGCAAATATTTGTCAGCTCCAAGATTAATTTCTTTCCGTATGTCAGAAAACATATTTGGAAAAGTTAGGATTGTGGATATATGTAAATCATATATGTGCACTGCGGTGAAGAAACGAATATAAGAGATTCTCGCAGCTATGAACACTACTGAACAAGGGGTTGAAAATAAGACCTGAAAATAAATTATGCAGGCTCGTATGAGATTTGAACCCATGACCTCTGCGAAACCGGTGCAGTGCTCTACCAAATGAGCTAAGAAGCCAACTGGTCATTATGTTGGGTTGGTGTTCATAGCTGCGATCTCTTATATACGTATTTGGAGGTGAAACATTGAATACTTTGTTTGTTTCTTTTAAATCGTTCTTCAACCCTGCTAAAGCAATTGAAGATCAACGCTTAAGGAACCATCTGTTTCGATTTCATGACTCCCAGGAGAGAAAATTTTGTGAGGTGCTTTGTTTCATGAAACCAAACTGTGTCAGTTGTAATCTTAAAGAAAAAGATTTGGAAATGATGGGACATTTATTTGAGAACTGAATAATGTTACTCCCGATCACGAAGGGAACAAAGATAACCTGGTTGAGGATCAAAATTACATCTATAGTGGAGCTGAGACAGGTGCAAATTGTATCCTCTCTAGTTGCTTCGAACTGTCACCTTTTTTTATAAACATTTCTCGATTCCTTGTTGCCTATCGCCACAAATAACCCATCGCAAATGTGTTTCAAATCCTGTTGTGAAGCAGTTATCGTTTTCTATTTACATCTTCTTCTTCGCCTTCGTCGTCTTAGTCGTCTTATTGTCCTTGTTCTTGTTCTTCTCTTTCTTTTCCTTATCCTCTTCTTCTTTGTATTTTTCTTCTCCTCTTAATTCTTCTTCTTCTTAGGCGTTATGATAGTTGTAATTATCATTATCATGTTCTTTTTCTAATTTTCATGTCACAGTAACTGTACAAAAAATTCATGCAAAGACAATGCAAATCGCGAAAGCGGCTTTATCGACAAAGATTATCGCTGTTTGTGTACTGCTGGCTTAAGATATAGGTAACGCTATTAAATAAAAACGTGGATTTCGCACTTTTGAAATCTATTTGTATCCATAAACAATACAGAAAGACTGGTTGCATTAAAAAAATAGTATAATTATAATTAAACGTCTATATGTTGCATTTCCAGATATTGACAAATGTGTGACAGGAGGGTACAGCTGCAGTGCAGCAGTGCTATGTAAATGGCTCCTAAAACAGTGAATGTACAACCGGAAATTCTTGCGTTGCATCGACCTGCGCTGATTGTGCACAGAAATTTCTCCTGTTACATATCGAGCATATGGTGTTGTCATGTTTTATATTACCAGTTCAATGAGATCAAATGCTATCGACATCCTACCACGATTTAATGCATGATCTACATATAAAGACATCGATAAGTGTTACACGTAACTGCAGTGCTGATGCTGTGCGCAACAATTACAAAGGATCATGCAACTGCACATGTTAAACCAGGATTTCCGCAGATGGACAAATGCGCACAGGTTAATTTTGCTATATCCTTAATCATTCAGGTTAAGGTGTTTCTGACGAAATCAGAGAGGATTCACAAATACATCTGAGTTATGATTTCAATGATTATTAGAACTGCGCCATACTGGGTTCATCGGAGACGTCCAGTTACGTGCCCCGCACGGTTATTTATTTATTTTTTTACTCGGGAGCGGGGATATATGATGGAGGGTAATTCTGCGTTTTGTTTTGTTTTGTTTTTTTTGTTTTTTCGTTATTTTTTTTCGTTTTAATCGAAAAAATGTCTAGCTAGCAAATCAAGATACATGTACTTTTTTATGGCAAATCGACTACTAGCTCTCAGACCCACGACCAAACAGACATCAATATTTACATCTTACCATGGTGCACGTGTAAGGGGACGGGAGGGGAGGGAGGGGGGAGGATGTTATCAACGATGGCCTTCTAAAAAATTTCGTTTGCGCGTATACGCTCTGGAATCAAATTTTGTCTCGGCTTAATAAATTAAAATCCCCTTCTATAATCGATCTACATGTCAAAAAAATTAATCCACATTAGTTGTGATCAAAAAACAAATTATTTACTCCGATAAAGTTCTGAAGATCTCGAAGATATTTGAATTGACTCTGACTATTAAGCATTCGGTTGTTCCAAGACACCTGAGCTCTTCAAAACTAAAGAATTGCATCAAGAATTGAACAAGGCCTGTTAACAAATTAATGCAACAAATGTTCTAGTTGATGGTGTCAATACTGAAGAATAATTAATTTGTAGATATTTTACAACTCAAGAGATGAACCATTGCTTTGATTGTGATATACTTAGACACTCGCTCTATTTTCAATTATGTTTCAGTTATACTATCGCTTTGCAGCTTCATTTACGTTTCATTTACACGAAATCAAATAGCAAAAATTGATAAATATATCAAAATTTTATCTCCGACTTCGAAAGATTTGATAAAGTTCCACAGTTCCCATAATCTTCCTTTCTTTTTTCTGCAGTTGCAGTTTCGAGCTTTAAGGAACCTTATAGCAGACAAAGTTTAGTGCTATATTTGGAAATAAACGACAAAGTTCATCTCGCATCGAGCGTTAAAGATTCAAGGAAAAATAAAAAGGAAAAAAATTCTTCTAGTTTAAGTCAGCTGTTGTCTTACTGATTCAGGCACTGATTTCTTATTTTTTTTTTAATGGTTTATCCGTTTTGATAGACTGAGTGTGAGTGGCATCGTTACGCTACATATTAAATCAACACCAACTACTGTCTTCTGTCACGGGGAGGATGTAGGATTTAAGAATAGAACATGGACCCCTGTTATGAAGATTGATGACAACAAGGTCTTTTAAAAGTTATTTTAAAGAAGCTATTGAAATAAGTAGGGTAACATGAGGGAGTTTTGAAAAGTCTAGGCTTTGAGGTAGCAAGTTCGTAATATACCTTTCGTTTACATCTCTCCAACCTCAACCGCGCCTTTTCCTTGCTGGGTTTTCAGCCATCGCATTTGTTTTGTTTTGTTTTTTCTTTTGTACCTTATCATAATTAAATATATGTTTGGTATTCTCCTTCAATCTGCAGATAAATTTGAAAGCCATGCACATGAAAAAACAAAAGAAGAAGTATTCCTTTCAAGTTATTTATTTTTTTATGGAAATCGAAGGGAGTTATTATTTTCACGTAACTGCCACCAAAAATCAATGTTAAGCAATTTTTTTTCCAAATGAACAATTTTTTTTGGTAGTCCTTTTTTCGACAGGATTTGGTGGCTGTTTAATAATTTTGCATCATGTGGAAAATAGTTTTGTGGGGTTATGAACTGCAGGGAATGGAGATAGCTTCTTTCTTTTCACTTTTTAATTTTTTTTAATAGAACATTTACATTTTCAGAAAATGATATTCAACGGTTATAGATATGAATTTCATCGAGTCCCAGATTTTTCTCATATGCTTGAACGAAAAATAGCATCACCGGTAATCATAACTTTTTCGATTATAATGTAAACAATATCATATCGTTTTCAATCAACTTTGAACTAAATTTCAATTGTAAAAATGTATGAGTATTATCAATTTTCACAACAGACTTTACATCTTCAAAATAAATTGTTATAAATACTTTTGAAACAAATCTATTACCATTTTCTTCATTAAGCCGTTGTTAAGAATTAATGCCTTTTGAGTAAGACGATGTAAAACACGATGCGAGTACGCGGTCTAGTGTTAGTTTCGGTTTAGCGGGGAGCTTTGGATAAACATTTTTTAATTATTTCTACAGAATGAACTTTGTGACAAAAATATTGAATTTTTTTAGTCGAATGATTGAAACCTCCCAAAGGCAAGTTTTCCGACTTTCTGATGGCTGGTGTGTCAAAACTACCGCGTAACTGCCACCAAAAAAATCAGTATTCAGCAATTTTTTCTTGCCTTTGTTTCTCTTTTGCGTATAATTTCAGCATGGGGGCATGGGAAAAATGTCTTCAAGAGCACGCTGAAGTTAATTTTAGTTTGGCTATCACAAGGCTACTGTTAGGGGTTTTGTTATTTAGCTGATTGATTAGCCGTGTGGGCCTATCTTGCCCGCTTGGGAAAAAGTGCGTAAAGCGAACTAACAAAGTTCGTAACTTTTGATCAATGTCGGCGATGAAAAAAAGCGGCAGAAGACAATCAAAAAAAAAACAACATAGAAGACACCCGTGGGTTTATTGTGGTACACACACAAATAGCATTCTTTCCCGGCTCTCGAAATGCAAAAAGAAAACTGTCATTCTTGATTCTTATGAACGCGACATCTGTTTGCCATATGATAAGCCATATATTGACTAAGGTTGTTCGGTTAATATTTCTTCGTTGTTTCCTTGCGCTTTTATAAACTGAGACGAAGTCGAGTTCCATAAAACGCAAAAAAAGAACTCGGCCAATATCCAGCCATCTCGACCTAACGCTTGCTGCCATCAGAAAACAAATATCCTTCCTCTTTGAGAAGCTTTCGGATGTATGATGAAATAGCCTTGAACTGTTTGAGGAGAATTGCATATTTCGTTTGCCACTCCTTCGCAAAAATAAAAAACAACAACAACAACACAAAAAAATTAATGAAAAAAATCTCTTTATATGACTACAATTTGCTATTTTCATGTTTCTGTTCACACACACAATCCTTGCAACATTGCTACCTGCTGACAATATGCAGAACATTTGACTATGATATGAGACCTTTCATGGCCTGACTTTTAAGTAAATTGTTTCTTGAGTGTTGTTAGGGTACGGTCTTAAAGGGGACTTTTTATCTTTTAATCTGATCCAAAAGTTGAATATTGATATGTAGAGAGCGCTGAGCCAGTATCTCTTTTCTGTGCTTTACAATACTCCAAGTCAAATTATTATGACTCCATATCTTTGTCATCCTTTTTATTACTCGGCGGTTATCATCTTCTCTCACAAAGTAATAAGAAATATCATTTTGACCCAGAAAACTGCCGTTATTTGGAATTCAAGCCCACCAAAGCATTTGACGGTCAACGCCTGATAAATCATGTAATTTAAATTGATGACGTCAATGATAAAGTACTATGTAAGATACGGTGTTTCATGGAGCCAGATTGTGTCAGTTATAATCTCGAAAAGCAACCGAGTGGGGACAATGGAACATATAAATGTGAGTTGAATGATGCTACTCACGAAGGAAACGAAGACGACCTTGTTGGGGAGTACGATTACTTTTACCATGGATCAGAGGCAAGTGTCACTTACAAACTTCTTCCAGCCACGATTTGAGAATAACGAGGTTTCCAGTAGCATGCATGTTTTTACTTACCAATCCTGCTGGTTTAGAGTATGGAGAAAAACTATTTCATGATATGATTCTCTAGGTGTCATGTCTAACGACATTTTGTTAGATGTTTTGGCTAATTTCTGTTGTTTCCCTTTTTTTTGTTTTGTTTGTTGTTGTTGGTTTTTTTTGCGTTGATTTTTTATTTTTGTTTTGTTGTTTGTTTTTTTCTTTCATGTCAGAGTAACTGTATAGCAAACCCTTGCAAGAACAACGCGACTTGCCAAAGCGGTTTTACCGACAAAGGTTATCGCTGTTTGTGTTCAGCTGGATTCAAGGGTCAGATTTGCGATGAAGATAATGCCATTTTCTAAACGAGTAATTCCCCCTAAGACTTAACTCATAATTGAAACTAATGTAAAATTGAAGACAGCTTCAATGATTATTGAAATCAATATGATCTGATTTCAGATACCGACGAATGTGCTACAAAAAAGCAAAACTGCAGTGCCGATGCTGTTTGCAAAAATACCAAAGTATCGTACAACTGTACATGTAAACCTGGATATTCCGGAAATGGAAGGGATTGCAGAGGCAGATTTTCTTTTTGGTTACTTTGTACAGTGAATATGTTTCTAGCTTGATAAGAGAAGGCTCACGAGAAGTTTGGAATTAAAGGGGCGGATTTCAATCCTTCTTGCACAAGTGCATGGCCTTGTTGCCTTACTTTCAATATTAAAGTTGAACGTTTTTCGTGTTAATTGATGTCTTCTTTTGTTTTAGAAATTCAGATGATTTCCTCGGCTAGTCTGCTTACAGTTTAAATCAAATAATTTAAACCAGAGATTATTTGCTTTCCCAAAACTCTGACAACATTTTGACAGTTTTATGGTAATCAAACCAAATATGTTACAACTTCAGATATTAACGAATGCGCTACAGAAGAGCAGAGCTACAGTGCTGATGCTGTGTGTAACAATAGCGAAGGATCCTATGACTGTGAATGTAAACCTGGATTTTCAGGGGATGGATGGACCCGCAAAGGTAACACAATGAAATATTTCGGGCTTAATTCAGTGCCAGATGGATTTTTAGATTGCGCATAATGAGTACACTATCTACGAGAACGGATGCTATTGTAACTATAAAAGATCCTATGACATGCGTACCCAGATATCACAAATGATAAAAGTGGTTCAGAAGCGCACAGCTGCATTGCTGATGCTGTTTTTTGGAAGACTAAACCTGCACAGGTAGTGCAATCAAATACTGCATGCTGAATTTGTTGTTATATAAATTGTTGTATTCTATAATTTAGTATCAGTACAATGTTAAATAAAAAATGCTATTAACGATATAACAGACCAAATACAAACATGCATATTTAGATATTGACGAATGTGGTATAGAAGAGCACAGCTGCAGTGCTGATGCTGTGTGCAATAATGCCGAGGGTTCATACAACTGTTCATGTAAACCTGGATACTCTGGGGACGGATGGTCTCGCAAAGGTAGTAAAATGAAATAGTGTATGTTGAATTTAGGGCCACATAAGCTGTGGTACTCTGTATTACTGATGCAATGTTAAGAAAACAAAATTAATGCTACAGATACCACAACAGATCCATTAATCATGTCTATTTAAATACTGACGAATGTGCCACCCAAGGTCACGGTTGCAATGTTCATGCTGTGTGCAGAAATACCGAGGGCAACTGCACATGTAAACCTGGATATTCTGGAGATGGAAGGATTTGCCAAGGTAATGTAATGATTTATTGCCCATCAAATTTAGAACCACATGGATTGTTTTCTAGGTTACCGATGCAATGTTAAAAAAACAAATGCAATAAGCCACATTAAAGGCCCTTTTATCATTGGCATATTCAGATATCGACGAGTGTGCTACAGGAACACGCAGCTGCAGTGCTGATGCTGAGTGCAAAAATATCAAGGGATCGCACAACTGTCAATGTAAATCTGGATATTCTGGGAACGGACGCACCTGTACAGGTAATTCAATGGAATATTGCATCTTAGATTTACAGCCAAATGGATTTTATATGCTAATATATATCTGATCAGCATTATCGAGAGCGACATGCTACTGATTTTGTAAAAGATCGATTGATGATTTGCTTATTCAGATTCCGACGAGTGTCTTACAGGAACACATAACTGCAGCGCTGATGCTGTATGCAACAATACCAAAGGCTCGCACAACTGCACATGTAAACCTGGATATTCTAGTAATGGACAGATATGTAAAGCTAACATTGGCTGTTTCCTTCCTTGTAGATGTAAATGCTTTCTTCATTAAATTAGTGAGGGGTCATAAGTAGATTTAGACAGGGCTTCAAAAGAAGTTTTGAACCACAAAATTTAAATGAACATAACTATCGACCCATACGTTTTAGTTTCCTTGCAGTGTCCTACTGGTTGGTACTTTGGACTCTGGGTGCTTAGTTCTGGATGTGAGCGCTGCTAGTTTATTTTGCTATGTTTGTGGGCTATTAGAAGACCCCTTTCCGTCTTATTAGGGCGAGTTAAAATTAAGAAGTTCGCCAACGTAGTGGTGGAAAACTATGCATTACTCGAAAACCCCATCATGCTACAAATAGAACCAAGATAGCTAAGTTCTAATGTGTTTTAATTATAATATCCTTTCGTCTGCCTCGCTCTCAATTTGCGCAAAGTGATTTTTAAGGATAAATGACTACATTACACATTTTACCGCGTCATGTTGCAGACTCTAACGAGGCATGTCCACACTTGCGGATCTTTTTATCATTATTTATTTATTCATTTATCTGCTTTATCATAAGTAGATTTTCTTTGTTATTTTTTGCAGCCGTCATGTTTTCAAGCTGCAAAGAAGCTTATGACGCGAAATTGTAAGTACGATTAAAGATAAAAGAATGAAAACGATATCAAACCAAATACAAACATGCATGTTTAGATATTGACGAATGTGGTACAGGAGAGCACAGCTGCAGTGCTAATGCTGTGTGCAACAATGCCAAGGGTTCATACAACTGTTCAAGTAAACCTGGATACTCTGGGGACGGATGGTCTTGCAAAGGTAGTAAAATGAAATGGTGCCATTGGATTTAGGGCCACATAAGCTGTGGTACTCTGTATTATCGATGCAATGTTAAGAAAACAAAACTAATGCAACAGATGCTACAACAGATCCATTAATTATGGCTATTTAGATATCGACGAATGTGCTACCCAAGATCACGGCTGCAGTATTTATGCTTTGTGCAGAATTACCAGAGGATCCTTCAACTGCACATGTAAACCTGGATATTCTGGGGATGGACGGACTTGCCAAGGTGTTGTAATAAATCAAATTTAGAACCACGTTGTTTTTTTCTACATTACCGATGCAATGTTAAAAAAGCAAATGCAAAAAGCCATATCAAAGGCCCTTTTATCATTGGCGTATTCAGATATCGACGAGTGTGCTACAGGAACCCTCAGCTGCAGTTTTGATGCTGAGTGCCACAATATCAAGGGATTGCACAATTGTCAATGTAAATCTGGATATTCTGGGAACGGACACACCTTTACAGGTAATTCAATGGAATATTGCATCTTAGATTTACAGCCAAATGGATTTTTACATGTTAATATATATATCTGATCAGCATTATCGAGAGCGACATGCTACTGATTTTGTAAAAGATCGATTGATGATTTGCTTATTCAGATTCCGACGAGTGTCTTACAGGAACACATAACTGCAGCGCTGATGCTGTATGCAACAATACCAAAGGGTCGCACAACTGCACATGTAAACCTGGATATTCTGGTAATGAACAGATATGCAAAGGTAACATTGGCTGTTTCCTTCCTTGAATATTTAAATGCTTTCCTCATTAAATCAGTGAGGGGTCACAAACAGATTTAGACAGGGCTTCAAAAGACGTTTTGAACCACAAATTTAATTGATCATAACTACCGAATTATACGTTTTAGTTTCCTTGCAGTGTCCTACTGGTTGGCGATCTGGACTCCGGGTGCTTAGTTCTGGACGCAAGCGCTACTAGTTTATTTTGCTATGTTTGTCTTATTAGGGCGAGTTAACGTTAAGAAGCTCGCCAATGTACTGGTGAAAAACTATGCATTGCTCTAAAATCCCATCATGCTACAAATAGAACCAAGATTGGTAGATTACGAAAAAACTATTAAAAACATAAGAAAAAACAAACAAACAAACAAATAAACACAAAAGAAACAAACTCTCGCCTTTACCCGTTTTATATGGGTAATATTTCGCTTTACTTTGCTTTGTCGTAATTTGTCTTTGCTTTAGCTGTAACTCCATGTTAGTAAAATCCCAAAGCTATTTTTAACGATTTTAATCGTTTTTTGGCACATAAAGAATGAAAAGCATCGAAACAACTAAGAATTTACAATAAATGAAATTGTAATAAATAGTAAATAGTTTCTCGGAGTTTCTATTTGAAATTAAGATGTCACAAACAATTTACTTTCAAAACTATTTAAGAACTTAAAAATGTCTGTTTATTTATTTTTGTTTTTTGTATTGTTTTTTTTAGAAATGGCAACTCTGCATAAGACAGAAAAAGCATGAGCGTTTCAGTCATTACCAAGCGTAGAGCATGCAATTACCTCTAACGTACTCGTAAAAGGAAATGCGTCTCTGTATACATGATTCAATTTCATTTAATCGCAGGAGAAGTCTCGTTTTTCTCACTGCCACCTAGGCAATCGTTTAGTTCTAATGTGTTTCGATTTTCCACGTGATCTTGCAAACTCCAACGAAGTATGTCCACACTGTCAACCAAAGTGGTTTGAGTGAGAGAAAAGAGAGGATTCATAAGTTATTTATCGGTTTGAGGTAGTGACCGACTTGTTTGCTTAAAAATACTGCCCAGCCGGAAAAAAGAGATATATTTATGAAAAATGGGAACGAAACTTAGGATGTACTCGGCGATTCACGAAAGCGTTACCGTGGCCCGTGGGCAGAGAAAGGAAAATACTGACCGGGTAAAGGACCAATCAGATTGCAGGATTCGTTACCGTGCCCTCTTAAAAAAAAATACATACATTAGCATCGATGTATACAAGTAAAACCGAAAAGAAGATTCCCTAATTTTATAGATCATAGCTTCGTTAGGAAGACAGTTGTAACTAAACAAAACAGATGCGTTGCATGATTTAGGAAGCAAGTTAACAGCGACAGTTGAGATGCGTGTTATTTGTATTAATGGTTGTCTCAAAAATATCCTCTGTTTGTCTTCGTCGCCTAGTTATTTCAGTCCTTTTCGGGACAGAGGAGTTTACATTATAAGTCCGGGCACTCAGTAAATGTCTATAAATGCCTCCGTTATAAAGATCAAGTGGAAAAATACAGTAAAATGGGAAGTTTAACATTTGTCAATATTTTTGTTTTTGTTTCATTTATTTATTTATTTATTTTTTGTAGCTATTACACAATGTTCAGAGAAATGCACGCGCCGTGATTTGTCAGATCGAGTTCATTATATTTCCATAAAGCACGCGCCTTAAGTCACAAAAGTGCACTGTTGAGATATAATGCACGAAGCTTACGTCATCGGTCCGAGCGCGCGCAATTCACGATACATTTTATTAAAAGAAATAAATAAAACTTGTGCCTCGAGCATTGTTGAGTTATATAAGCACTTGAGAATTTTTAAGAACACTCGAGGGGTGCGAGGGGTGCTTCTCGGCACTTCCCTCGTGTTCTTGAAAATTCCCGCCTGCTTATAGAACTCAACAATGCACTCGGCGCGTTTTTTATTTCTTTGATAACATATACAGATATCGATGAGTGTTTCACTGGAACACATAACTGCAGTGCTGATTCTGCGTGCAACAATACCAAAGGATCGTGCAACTGCATTTAGGTTAAGGTATTTCTGACGAAATCAGAGAGTTCACAAATACAATTTGACAGGCCTACGAGAAAAGTTCTGAGTTATGGAGTGTCAATGACTGTTAGCACAACGTCACAGTGGATTCCTCGGAGATGTCCGATTACGTGCCGCGCCGGCTATTTTTTTCCCTCAATATTTAAATCCCTACCATGGTATAAAGGGTGGGGAGAGGGGGGAGTGGAGAGTGGATTAAACCCATGATTTAGTACACTTCGAACTCAGAGGTTCTAAGGTGTTATCAAAGATGACGGTCTAAAAAAAACTTCGTTTGCACGTCTACGCTCTAGAATCAAATTTTGTCTCGAATTAATAAAATCCTATTTTGTAATAGATCTACATGTTCAAAAGTCATATTCATTGCTCATTTTAACCATTTTTTAAAGAAAAAGCTTCTCAAAAATCCGGAATGATGAAAAGATATTTACTCCGCTCAAGTTCGGAAGATTTTAAGATATTTAAGTTGACTCTGAACATTTGGCATTCTGTTGTTCCTAGACATTTGAGCTCTTCAAAACTAAAGAACTGCATTGAGAATTGAACAAGGCATGTCATCAAATTAATGCAACAAATGTTCCTGTTGATGGTGTCAATACTGAAAAACAATGAGTTTGTAGATATTTTGCAACTTAAGAGATGTGTCGTTGCTTTAATTGTAATATACTTAGACACTCGCTTTATATCAATTGCTTTGTTATCATTTTACAGTTTCATTTAGGTTTTGATAACACGAAATCAAATAGCAAAAATTGATAAATACATCAGACTTTTAACTGGATCTTCGAAAACTTTGATAGAGTTCCACAGTTCCCGTAATCTTTTTTTCTTTTTCTTTTTTCTGCAGTTGTGATTTCGAGCTTTAAGGGAGCTTATGACAGACAAATGCAAGTGCTATATTATGAAATACACGACAAAGTTCATCTCGCATCGAGCGTTAAAGATTTCAAGGAAAAAAAAAAAGAGGAGAGAAAATTCTCCTAGTTTAATTCAGCTGTTGTCTTAGTGATTTAGCGATTGATTTCTTATTTTTTTTTAATTGTTTATCTTTGATAGACTGAGCGTGAGTGGCATCGTTACGCTCCATATAGACTCAATACCAATTTCTGGGACCTGGGGGATGTAGGATGTGGGAGTGGAATATGGACCTCTGTTATGAAGATTGATAGCAACAAGGTATTTCTTAAGTTTCTTTTGTTACAGAAGCTATTAAAATAAGTAGGTTAATATGAGGGAGTTTTGAAGAGTTCAGGCTTAAAGGTAGCAAGTTCGTAATATGCCTTTCGTTTATATCTCCCCAACCTCAAACGCGCCTTTACCTCGCTGGGTTTTCATCCTTTGCATTTGTTTCGTTTTTCTTTTCTTTCTTAATTATTTTATAATTAAATATTCATTTAGTTGTCTCCCTCAAACTGGAGATAGAATTAAAAGCCATGTACAAAAGAAAAAAAAAGAAGGAGAATTGAAATTATCTATTTTTTATGGAAATCTAAGGGAGCTATTATTTTCACGTAATTGCCACCCAAAAAAATCAATATTAGGCAATTTTTTTCCAAATAAACATTTTTTGGTTAGTCTTTTATTCGACGAGATTTGGTCGCTTGTTAATGTTTTGCATCATGCGGAAAATAATTTTGCGGGGTTTATGAATTGCAGGGAACAGAAATAGCTTCTTTCTTTTCACTTTTTAATGTTTTTTTTAATAGAAAATGATATTCAACAGTTATAGATATGGATTTCAACGAGTCCCAGATTATTCTCATATGCTTGAACGAAGAATAGAATCACCAGTATTTATAACTTTTTCGATTATAATGTAAACAATATCATATCGTTTTCAATCAACTTTGAACTAAATTTCAATTGTAATGCTTTTGAACAAATCTATTACCATTTTTCTTTATTAAGCCGTTGTTAAGAATTAATGCCTTTTGAGTGAGACATCTGGAACTTGAGTTAGCTTAAGAACGCTAAGAAGTAAACATCATAGATCCAAGTTCAAGACCAGAGGGCTACATCTACAGTGTATTGCTCCCAGTTTCTAAAACGCCGGATAAAATCTGTCAATGGCTTTATGACATGAATTTCCTTTTGATCTGTGTTATTTTTCTGCTCCTCTGTGCTGTGGTGCTCGACGCCGTCTTCTCAGAAGGTTAGTAGCGTTTGTCTAACTCAGATGCCCCGAAACTATGAAAAATGTTTACTGTTTTTTTTTTTTTTAAGCGTTATCATTTGATTAGTTCTGGTTCTGGAACTAAAATGCGATGCGAGTAAGCGGTCTAGTGTTAGTTTCGGTTTAGCGGGGAGCTTTGGATAAACATTTTTTAATTATTTCTACACGATGAACTTTGTGAAAAAAATTGAAATTTTTTCAGTCGAATGATTGAAACCTCCCAAAAGAAACTTTTCCGACTTTCTGATTGCTGGTGTGCCAAAACTACCACATAACTGCCACCAAAAAAATGAATGTTAAGCAATTTTTTTGCCTTTGTTTCTCGCTTGCGTATAATTTTTTAAGTTCCCATTAAATAATTTCGGCATGGGGGCATGGGAAAAAATCGCTTCAAGAACACGCTAAAGTTAATATTACTTTGGCTATTACAAGACTAAAAAAAAGGACCAGTAGGGGTTTTTATTATTTAGCCGGCAGCGCCTGTGGGCAATAGGAAGCGAATGCTGTGTTCTGATTGATTACCCGAGTGGGCCTATCTTGCCCGCTTGGGAAAAAGTGCGTGGAGCGGAATAACAAAGTTCGAAACTTTTGGACAATGTCGGCGATGAAAAAAAGCGGCAGAAGACAATCAAAACAAAGAAAATATAGAAGACAACAGTGGGTTTATTGTGGTACAAACACAAATGGCATTCTTTCCCGGCTCTCGAAATATAAAAAAAAAACTGTCCTTCTTGATTCTTATGAAAGCGAAATCTGTTTGCTATATGATAAATTCTGTATTGACTAAGGTTGTTCGGTTAATATGGCCTCTTTGTTTTCTTGCACTTTTATAAACTGAGACGAAGTCAAGTTCCATAAAACGCAAAAAAAGAACTCGGCCAATATCCAGCCATCTCGACCTCACGCTTGCTACCATTAGAAAACAAATATCCTTTCTCCTTGAGAAGCTTTCCGATGTGTGATGAAATAGCCTTGAACTGTTTGCGGAGAATTGCATATTTCCTCCGCCACTCCTTCGCAAAAAAAAAAAAACAACAACAACAACAAAAAAAAAAATGAAAAAATCTCTTTATATGACTAGAATTTGCTATTTTCATGTTTCTGTTCACACATACAATCCTTGCAACATTGCTACCTGCTGACAACATGCAGAACATTTGACCATGATATGAGACCTGTCATGGCCTGACTTCTAAGTAAATTGTTTCTGGAGTGTTGTTAGGGTACGGTCTTAAAGGGGACTTTTTATCTTTTAATCTGATCCAAAAGTTTAATATTGATATATAGAGAGCGCTGAGCCAGTATCTCTTTTCTGTGCTTTACAATACTCCAAGTCAAATTATTATGACTCCATATCTTTGTCTCCCTTTTTATTACTCGGCGGGTATCATCTTCTCTCACAAAGTAATAAGAAATATCATTTTGACCCAGAAAACTGCCGTTATTTGGAATTCAAGCCCACCAAAGCATTTGACGGTCAACGCCTGATAAATCACGTAATTCAAATTGATGACGTCAAGGATAAAGTATTATGTAAGATACGGTGTTTCATGGAGCCAGATTGTGTCAGTTATAATCTCGAAAAGCAACCGAGTGGGGACAATGGAACATATAAATGTGAGTTGAATGATGCTACTCACGAAGGAAACGAAGACGACCTTGTTGGGGAGTACGATTACTTTTACCATGGATCAGAGGCAAGTGTCACTTCCAAACTTCTTCCAGCCACGATTTGAGAATAACGAGGTTTCCAGTAGCATGCATGTTTTTACTTACCAATCCTGCTTGTTTAGAGTATGGAGAAAAACTATTTCATGATATGATTCTCTAGATGTCATGTCTAACGACATTTTGTTAGATGTTTTGGCTAATTTTTGTTGTTTCCCTTTCTTTTGTTTTGTTTGTTGTGGTTTTTTTTTTTTTTGCTTTGATTTTTTATTTTTGTTTTGTTGTTTGTTTTTTTCTTTCATGTCAGAGTAACTGTATCGCAAACCCTTGCAAGAACGACGCGACTTGCCAAAGCGGTTTTACCGACAAAGGTTATCGCTGTTTGTGTTCAGCTGGATTCAAGGGTCAGATTTGCGATGAAGGTAATGCCATTTTCTAAACGAGTAATTCCCTCTAAGACTTTACTCATAATTGAAACTAATGTAAAATTGAAACCAGCTTCATTGAAATCAATATGATCTGATTTCAGATACTGACGAATGTGCTACAGAAAAGCAAAACTGCAGTGCCGATGTTGTTTGCAGAAATACCAAAGTGTTGTACAACTGTACATGTAAACCTGGATATTCCGGAGATGGAAGGGATTGCAGAGGCAGATTTTGCTTTTTGGTTACTTTGTACAGTGAATATGTTTCCAGCTTGATAAGAGAAGGCTCACGAGAAGTTTGGAATTAAAGGGATGGATTTCAATCCTTCTTGCACAAGTGCATGGCCTTGTTGCCTTACTTTTAATATTAAAGCTGAACGTTTTTCGTGTTAATTGATGTCTTCTTTTGTTTAAGAAGTTCAGATGATTTCTTCGGCTAGTCTGCTTACAGTTTAAAATCAAATAATTTAAACGAGAGATTATTTGCTCTTCCAAACTATGACAATATTTTGACAGTTTATGGTAATCAAACCAAATATGTTGCAACTCCAGATATTAACGAATGTGCTACAGAAGAGCAGAACTGCAGTGCTGATGCTGTGTGCAACAATACCGAAGGATCCTATGACTGTGAATGTAAACCTGGATTTTCAGGGGATGGATGGACCTGCAAAGGTAAAGCAATGAAATATTTCGGGCTTAATTCAGTGCCAGATAGATTTTTAGATTGCGCATAATGAGTACACTATCTACGAGAACGGATACTATTGAAACTATAAAAGATCCTACGGTATGCGTACCCAGATATCACAAATGATAAAAGTGGTTCAGAAGCGCACGGCTGCATTGCTGATGCTGTTTTTTGGGAAGACTAAACCTGCACGGGTAGTGCAATCAAATACTGCTTGCTGAATTTGTTGTTATATAAATTGTTGTATTCTATAATTTAGTATCAGTGCAATGTTAAGTAAATAAATGCTATTAACAATATAACAGACCAAATACAAACATGCATATTTAGATATTGACGAATGTGGTACAGAAGAGCACAGCTGCAGTGCTAATGCTGTGTGCAACAATACCGAGGGTTCATACAACTGTTCATGTAAACCTGGATACTCTGGGGACGGATGGTCTTGCAAAGGTAGTAAAATGAAATAGTGTATGTTAAATTTAGGGCCACATAGGCAGTGGTACTCTGTATTATCGATGCAATGTTAAGAAAACAAAATTAATGCTACATATACCACAACAGATCCATTAATCATGTCTATTTAGATATTGACGAATGTGCCACCCAAGATCACGGCTGCAGTATTCATGCTGTGTGCAGAAATACCGAGGGATCCCACAACTGCACATGTAAACCGGGATATTCTTGGGATGGAAGGACTTGCCAAGGTAATGTAATGATTTATTGCCCATCAACTAATGATGATGCACTGTTATAAAAACAAATGCAAAAAGCCATATCAAAGGCCCTTTTTTCATTGGCATATTTAGATATCGACGAGTGTTCTACAGGAACCCACAGCTGCAGTGCTGATGCTGAGTGCAACAATATCAAGGGATCGCACAACTGTCAATGTAAATCTGGATATTCTGGGAACGGACGCACCTGTACAGGTAATCCAATGGAATATTGCATGTTAGATTTACAGCCAAATAGATTTTACATGCTAATATATATCTGATCAGCATTTTCGAGAGCGACATGCTACTGATTTTGTAAAAGATCGATTGATGATTTGCTTATTCAGATTCCGACGAGTGTGTTACAGGAACACATAACTGCAGCGGTGATGCTGTATGCAACAATACCAAAGGCTCGCACAACTGCACATGTAAACCTGGATATTCTGGTAATGGACAGATATGTAAAGGTAACATTGCCTGTTTCTTTCCTTGTAGATGTGAATGCTTTCTTCATTTAATCAGTGGGGGGTCACAAATAAATTTAGACAGGGCTTCAAAAGAAGTTTTGAACCACAAAATTTTATTGAACATAACTATCGACCCATACGTTTTAGTTTCCTTGCAGTGTCCTACTGGTCGGCACTTTGGACTCTGGGTGCTTAGTTCTGGATGTGAGCGCTGCTAGTTTATTTTGCTATGTTTGTGGGCTGTTAGAAGGCCCCTTTCCGTCTTATTAGGGCGAGTTTAAGTTAAGAAGTTCGCCAATGTAGTGGTGGAAAACTATGCATTACTCGAAAACCCCATCATGCTACAAATAGAACCAAGATAGTCAATATCTAATGTGTTTAATTACACTATCCTTTTTAAGGATAAATGACTACATTACACATTTTACCGCGTCATGTTGCAGACTCTAACGAAGTATGTCCACACTTGCAGATCTTTTTTTCATTATTTATTTATTCATTTATCTGCTATATCATAAGTAGATTTTTTCTGTTATTTTTTGCAGCCGTCATGTTTTCAAGCTGCAAAGAAGCTTATGACGCGAAATTGTGAGTACGATTAAAGATAAAAGAATGAAAACGATAGACTTGATCTCCTTGATCTCGCAGGGAGATTTATAAATGCCTAGAAAAGAGCAAGTAGCTATCCTGTCATTTCTTATTCTTTTAATACGCCCGTTAAATTTAGTTTTCCCGAGAGTTTATAATCTCGTGGTATTCCAAAACGGTGGATGCATACCATAAGTTTCACTCCTTTAATTAATTTTCTTAAATCCTATTTTTTATAGACTGATTGTAAGTAACGTCGTCACGCTTCGTATCGACTCAAGGCCAATTTCCGTTTTCTGTCAGGTGGGGGATGTAGGATGTGGAGATGGAATATGGACCTCTGTCATGAAGATTGATGGCAACAAGGTATCTATCTCTTCATTTATTTGTATTATTCGACAGTTTTGTAACAGATTTTTATTTGGGTTTGTGATGAATTTAAAAAGACCTTTTTTGATACTGAAAGTTTGCTTCTATTATAACCTCACCCAACCTCCGCAAGTATGACTCCTTGTTCGCTTTCATATTACCATGTTTAACCTTTTCTGCCTCATTGCAAATAAAATTGTGGTCTTCTCTTGGCCAAAGGTGATTTTAATGCGGGTCACATGGGGAAATACCAACAAAATGTTTGCATAATGCAGTTTTCTGTTGATGGCTATTTCATTGATTTCTAACCGAAAAAAAAAAAAAAAAATAATGGAAAGCCGTTTGTGGTATATTTCTATCGTAATGCGAGTCACTGTCTTAACTGATTAGATTTAACTAAATCTGTCGGGTTTCTATCGAGTGCATATCGGCTCGCATCAGTTTTGGCTGTTTGGTCGTCGGGATTGATATATTTATTTGTCTTTCTTTTTTATTCAATGGTATTTTCCTTCTTTTCCTGGTCAGCGAACTTTTCATTATGATTCCAATTATTGGAGCAACATGTTAGAATATAACCTTCCTGGAGGAGAGACTGGGTTTGACCAAATGGAGACCAAATTACCGACTTACTGGAACACATCATTCTCCAAGATCTGTCTCGGTATGAAGATCGGCCAACAGCTCAGGTTCATTGTCCTCAACAAGCGAGCAGTACTCACTGATCGCCGACGGACAATACCGTCCGACCAATTTGGGTCGTGACGCATGGAGGTCCTTGATTGGCCCAAATGCGTCCACGCAGATTTATTGCAACAAAGAGGGGTTTAATCTTTACTCATTGGTAGCTTATTGGAAGTCTAGGACTCCAAAAGCAAGGGTCGGTTTTCTCACCAACAATAGAGATAACTGCCGTGATGTTGATGTCAGAATCGGGTTTGGTACAGGAGGGCCACACGATGACACCAACACGTGCGGAATCGTTGCAGACAAAGCCGGTCTTGATAATGGGTCGCAGTTCATTAAAGTCATGGGATACATCTTAATACAGTAATAGGCGAAAAGTACACATGCAATAATAAACAGAATCATCATCACTACCTTCACCAACAAAAATAATGGCGATGGCCAAAATATGGAAGCGTACATTGATACACACTGGTTATCTGTACAAAGTATTAAACACTAATTCAACACTTTCAGTTGTGTAAAGCAATATTCACAAGATGCTGTTACTTGCAATAAGAATATCACCATAATACTAGCATATGTAAATACCAATAACTAGTACTAGTAACAACTGGAGCAAGATTATTGAATTTCCAGCCTTCTGATTGGCTGAGCGGAGCGTCGTTGTGAGCTTGTAACATAGCTCCGAGCTCATTATCTAACTCCAACAAATATGGTGGATTGATTCGTCAGCGAATTCAAATAAGAGTTTTTGTAGGCGAGCCGTGAAGCAATGGCGGAAAATATATTTTTCCCCGAGAGCTTACAGTTGGAGAAATAACGTAACAACAACAGCGACTCACTTATCGCCAAAAAAGGCAACAGATTGGATATGAAAAAAAATGTCAACGTTTTTCTCGGCCAAATGCGTAATTTTTATTGCGAAAAGCAATTGGCATTATTTAATGCCCTAAAAGTTCTTATGAGGGTAAATTAACCATGTAAGATATGACAAATAAAGAACTGAATTCTTGCCTGAATCCTTGTCCATTCTGGTGAAGATAAGATAGCATATTTTGCGAAAGAGTCTCGTTCAAATCGATCCAAGCAGTCATTGACCGCTTTCCTCGCTTGCTTCCCCTATGTAAAGAAAAACTCAGAGAGAAGTGTTTTCTTTGGCAAGTTGTTGGACAAATTTATTACTAAAACAACTGAAATCGTAAATTTCGGTTTTTTCTTTCGTATTTGGTTTTCGCCCCCTTCTAAGAAAGTTTGAACGTCACTGTCTGTCAGCGACAAGGTGTCAGTGTTTTAGCAGCCATTATCCGAGAGAGATCGACAAACTAAAATGGATTGAGAATGATGGAGGCTTTGCCATTCACTTATCAACCTGACCTTGGGACAGGCCTATATATATATATATATATAAATCTTGATTATAGTCTAGCCTTGCGGTATTGTGCTCGATGCGTTCGCAGAGCGTGGTATATCTGAAAATTGGACAAATCTCTAAGACATAAATTTTCTGTGACTCTGAGTTTTACGCTTACGCGATCATCAGACATATTTTAAGAACGAGTATATTTCACTTAGTTTAAATATATATATATATACACAGTAGATAGTTAATTAGTAAGTCTATTGTAATCTGGTATCGATGTTCACCAGGGGGTATTTGTTCTCATGGCGGCATTTGGAAATAGAAATCATGACTCAGTAGTAGTGCTTTTTGAATAAATTATTGAGTACAATGTTCTTCTACTTTAAGTGTTGTAAAGGATTTTGAAAATTTATCGTATTGTTCTGTAAATACATGTATTTCTTCTTTTAAAAAAAAATTAATAAATAAAGTTGGGATGAATGAGAAGTGTGCTGTAAAGAAAACGAACAAACAATAGTAAACACAAACAAACAACAGGAACCGAAGAACCAAAAACTCATAGAAAAAGAGTTGAGACCACTTCTTCACAAGTTTAAAAAAGGATCAAACATATTTTGATCAATAACTGCGCACTTTTTGCATGGGAATAGTAAGGAAGCTTAGCACATCGATTTATAGCGTTAAAACAGCGAAAATGTTTTCAACTTTGGAAAAGTACGAGAACGTTTTAACAATTTTTGATAACCTCGATTAGCCACGATTTCCACCTCGATGGGTAGATAGTTGTTATTGACGATTGGGGTGATATATATATATATATATATATATCACCCCGGGATTATTTTCGTAAAACATGTAGAACGATAAGTGAACACGGTTTTAACTCTAGAAAAGCACGAGATAATTTTTGTTTTAAAAGGCTGGTGAATTTCCCTTTCATAACATTATTCTGCTTGGTTTCCGCCTTGATCACCAGAGCGTTATGGCCAATAGAGGAGAGCCTTTTTTATTGTTTTAGTAGAACATGTAGTTATTATCCCTTATATCACAATTATCCTCATTTATTTAGTTTAAAATTGTAATGTTTTCCTTAACGTACGCTTGAAGCTCTTGACAGCGGTGTTCTAGAAGGAAAATGATTCTCTAGAAATAGTCGCGATAAGGATTGAACAAAGAATCACCTACCTCTTCATCCATTGTGCGTGGCATTTTTAAGCAAAGTGTGTTTAAAATGACGTTTTTTATTGAAAAATATGGTCGTTTATAATGAGTAACTTCTCTACAAGGTTCATTAGCTCACAACAGCTTTTCACCAACTTGCATCAACAAAACTGCCACGATAATGACTTCAGTACTTCAATTCCCTAGGGGGAAATTGAAGTTTACTTTTCCTTTTTTTTCTAGTTTTTGATCCTTTTTTCGATTATTAAGAATTTATGCCCCCAGAAGAAGACACCTGGACGTTTTTTTTTTGAGAGAAACTAGACTCAGTTAATTAACATCGACATAAGTTGAAGTGTGCTACGTTCACCGTGAAAAGGCTTTCAGTTTCCGAAAGTTCAAAGCAGTTCTGCAAACAGTGATTAGGGGTGATGCATTCCCCTCGCCTCCGTTTTATTTTACCACTTCTATGTTCTATGCTGAATGTTTCAGTTACCTTAGAAGGTAAGTAACTTTAATTTGATACAAAACCCGAATTTACATCTTGCTACGTGTTATAATTTAATGAGCAATATGATACAGATAACATGGTGTAATATCAGGTTTAGTTTAGCAGCGTGTTATCCAAAGATTTCTTCTGTTTAAAAGTGAATCTCACAGAAAAAAGTTCCTAATTCTTCATTGAATAAAATATTTGGAGGATACTGATATTTTAAACAAGTAATTTCTTTAAAAAAATTAAAGAAAGCCCTGAAGGAACAACCCAAAATAAATCATCTGTCTTTCAGTTCTCTTTCACACGAATTGTCATAGAATCAACATAAGTAAAGATTATGGCATTTTTTTTTTAACAGGTCTTCGTTATTTCACTGTGTAGAGAACAGTGGTGCATCTTGCATGCCAATTCCTCTCATGAGCATTTCGTCTTTCACTGTAAAAGCTGAACCGGACTCAACAGGCTCATTTGACATAAGTTATAGTACGGTCCGGTAAGGAGAGTAGGAGGAGAATATGTCACTGGCATTTTTTAAGACGACATGTACTTTATTTAGCACCAGTTTTGAAGCACGCGAGAAAGGAAAAAATCTGCATGAATGCAAACAATAAATAAATTCCGGTAATTTTAAAAACTCAGGGCTGAGCATAATGCTGCCTTTATGAAATAGATCACCAATAATGTATCTTTAACGTTTCCTGAATGACCATAAACCAAAAGAGCTTGAGATCATATCCTTTACAGCCGTCTGTCTAACACTAATTATAAACGGACGCATACCGACAGACTGCTTGACGAATAATCCTACAACCCGACTTCCCACAAAGCTACGATTATCAAGACATTGACAAGACGAGCGCAACTTGTTTGCAACACATCGGACAGTTTATCTGACGAAAACAAGTACCTTGACCGTGTTTTTGACAAAAACAACTACAACACTGACTTCATTAGACGAAACACTCACAGGGCGACCGACACTTCAGGAACCAACAGGGACTCCACATCTGTTACGACTACAGCTACTATACCCTACATCAAAGGCAGTTCTGAGGCTATCGCGCGGATCCTACAACCTTACAACATTCGCGTGGCTCACACGCCTATTACTACTTTACGACATTTACTGACCAACGTTAAAGACAAAGACGAACCCAACAACAGACAGGGAGCGATTTATAAGATCGAATGCTCCGACTGCCAGGCCTCCTACATTGGTGAGACTGGTAGAAACCTTAACACGCGACTAACTGAACACAAACGAGCAACTAGAAATGGTGATGTAAACAATCACATTTCTGAACATCACCGACAAACTAATCACAGAATCGACTGGGACTCTGCTAAATGCTTAACCTACAGTACAAACTATTTTCAACGACTGACTTTGGAAAGCTGGTTTACCAACTTAGAACAGACGCCTCTCAACAGATGTCAACAACTACCAGCACCTTACAAACGACTCATTAACGACGTGAACAAACCGACAAACAGACCGACAAACAACAGACGGATCGAAACCGACCAATGACTGTTAACAAACTCTACACGAGTCTTCCAGCCAATCACATCTCGGCTAAACAGACCAATCACGTTCAACAGACCAGACTTTATAACATCATCGACTGACAACTACTCTTCACTTGACTCTGAAGATGACTTCCGCACAGGTTGTCGAAACGTCAGTCACCAACAACAGTTCTTTTCAGAACTACACTCACCCGGACGATATAAAACAACGTTAATCTTTCAAAATTTCGAAGCAACCCTTTTCAATGAATATTTTATAAATATTCTGGTTTGACCTCCACTGTTTTATTTACTGTCCTTCGTTTTCTGTGTGCACACACAAATTTTTCTATTGACAATTAGTATTCAATTCCTCCTGAGGAAGGCTACCACTCTTTTTATTTTCTTTTTCAATCACGTACTCGAGACGAAACAAATAGAAAACTTTTGAACGCTAGTAGGCCTCGTAAAGAAAATCTTCAAAGTTGATAAATATTGCATGGCTTTAGTCTTAGAAAGGCGATGCATAGTAATTCATTCCCTTTATAAATTTATATCATTTTTAATTGCTCCGACTCAGATAAAGTCCGCTAGAGCATTTGATGATCACCGCCTCAGAAATCATGTGTTCTAGTTGACGACGTCAAGAACAATGAATTTTGTGGTATTCTTTTGTTACATGGAGCCAAACTGCGTCAGTTATAATCTCGAAAAGCAACCTAGTGGAAATGATGGAGCACATAAATGTGAACTGAATGATGCTACTCATAAAGAAAACAAAGTAAACCTTATTGCGGACCGAAATTACATTTACCGAGGAGCAGAGGCAAGTACCATTAATAATCATAGATAATTTTTTTGACTTACCAATTTCGCAGAGTGACAAGAATAACCATTTAAGGGTTGCAAGAAATGGTATTATTATGCACGGCATGCAAATTGCATACCCCTATCGAAGTATTTATAATCATCATAATCTTCTATCATCGTCATCTTGAATTACATCATCAACTTTAGTAAAAACTGAATTGAATTTAATGTATCATCGTGATTATCTTTATCATCATTATTAGCATTGTTACAATTATTCTAATTTATTATACATTCAACTCAGTGCTATGTCTTTTCTGATTGCCCTAGGGCGTACATTGAATTTTTAAAATCATTGACTAGGACGTCAAATAGCTGCAGATTATACAATAATCAAGACAAGGACACCCAAGGCCACGGGTAATCTGTCATGTATGACCGCGGTGCATGATTTCTTCGAGTAATCATGTCGAGTTCGGGAGCTTTGCTGAGCTTGTTGTCTGTAAAGAAGCAAAAACATTTTTCCTTGGTAAGGGTTATGAACCTCAGTCTTCGGCTTCGTCTGATAACCCCTGCCTCGACCTTGGCTATTCTGGATATGACAAAAAAAAACTCATCCAGTGATTATTTAATATCGTTATTTCGATTACTGCTTTTGTATGTCAGAGTGCTTGTATCAGGAATCCTAGCAAGAACAACGCCAAATGTCGAAGCGGTTTTACTGACAAGGGTTACCGCTGTATGTGTTCTGATGGATACCAGGGTCAGGCTTGTGATGAAGGTAACACTGTTTACACGAATAGGTCGATTCACAACTTTTAAAACTTATGTGAAAATTCTGAGACCACTGAAACACAATGGCTGAACTGAAAACCAAAAAAAAAAACTCTGGCGTATTTTTAGATATTGACGAATGTGATACAGAAGAGCACAGTTGCAGTGCTGATGCTGTGTGTAACAATACCAGGGGATCGTACAATTGCGATTGTAAACCTGGATATTCTGGGGATGGGAACTTGCCAAGGTGAATTTAGCGATATCCTTAGTCATAATCCATAATTTTTTTTAGTTCATTCTTAACGCATCACGTGTTTGAATATGCCCCAGCTGAAAAAACTAGCTGTGGCCTACTCATTGGAAATTTGTCTCCGGTTTAAGTTCTTTGCTTACGACCTGGCAGGCCTTTGTTGCTGTGTTCTAAGGGAAGACTCTTACTATAATAATTCGAGGGCCCTCTCCATCCATCTCTCCATACGAGAGAACCGGGTACACAACGGTCTAACTTTTACGCATGGGTTAACTTTGTAAAAGCTAGGTACCATGATTTGAGGCTGTCACAACCAAGTTGTTTAACAGGACTTGTAGTAAATCAGGCAATCCAGTAAGTCACGGCGTTTTAGAATCTTATAACTCTTTTGATTAGGCTCAAAACAAATTAGTGATTAATCACAAGAATAACCGCTATTAAATAAGGTGTTCGAAAAGTCTTGAGTTCTCTTTACAGATTTCCAAAAGCGATTGCATTCTTCAGCCCATATTTTCCGTGATAGTACTTGTATTCTCTTTTGAGCGGTAAATTGGTGCGCGGCCGGTTAAAGTTGATCTCTGTGCGCATGCCCAACTTGAAATGGCGCATTGGTACCAGCGAGGTACAAAGGGATCCAGGCAAAACGCTGGAATATTTATATTTGACTAGAATCCAGTCATTATACGGAGACTAGGTAAGCCCCTGTAGATGTAAGCCACTCGGCCTTTTAAAGGCTTAATCTAGAACTGTTTGAATTAATTTAGCAAGATATGATGCTATCAAATTCAACATAAGCGTAGCATTCTTATAAACAATTTCGAAGAGCCTCAAATATTTCCCATGTTCTCCAACATCCTTTGGAGTCTCTTATGCTTGTAAACCGAAAGAATGTGCTGTGTATTGCCTATTTAGTTTTATCTGCTTCAACTTTACACGTAGTGAAAGTAAGAGTTCAAACAAGCGTAATAACTTTTCTTTATGATCCCATAAACTTTAATGGTGTTAGATAGTTCTTATGACTTTCTTTTTTCCTCAGCTACAGTTTCAAGCTGCAAAGAAGCCTATGAGAACAAAATGTAAGTACGGTATTAGGAAGTTAATAATTAACTTAATCTTGGAGCGAGAGTTGCAAATACCCAAGAGGAGATCGTCACTTATCCTAACTTAAATAATGTCGTTGTTGCCTATGTTCTTTTTAGTAATTGAAAATAGTATTCCAAACTGATAGATGCAAAATACGGGATGATTTTAAATCACATTTTATTTATTATAATCTGATTCATCTTTGATAGACTAAGCGAGAGTGGCATCGTTACGCTCCATATCGACTCAAAACCAACTTCTATTTTCTGTCACGTGGATGATATGATGTGGAAGTGGAGCATGGACCCCTGTCATGAAGATCGATGACAGCAAGGTTTTATAAATGATCGTCATTTTTGTGTTTTAACTATTGCTCTTTTTGGTAAGGACAATAAGAAGATACAATCAGAATATTTATGTCACAATTCTGTTTATTTAAAAAATCTAGGTTTTAGGATTGCGACGCCCGTTTCTTTTTCTCTTTTTTTTTTTTCTTTTTTTTTTTTGACTTGGGGGATGTAAAATGTGAAATGGTTCATAGCCCGTTGTTGGGAAAATTGTTGGTTGTGAGATATTCTCACACTAACACGATTATTACTCAGTAGATTATTACTTATTATAACAATCTATGAATCAAGCTGGATGAAAATTTGAGGGTAAATTATTGATATCATAAAGAAGCACTTGTGATGTGATCTTGAGTGTGACTGCTAACGTTTCCTATGCCCATTCAGATTTGATTTAGAACCGTTGTTTCCATTGAGTTTTTTTCAGCTTAAAGTTTCTTTGTTCGGGTTGTCCATTGTGCGAATTGTGCGACTTCTTTATTCATCCTGTATCATGTCTGTTAAATGATAATTTTGTTCTATTTAGAATCAGCGAACTTTTCATTATGATTCCAATTACTGGAGCAGCAAGGAAGAATACAATCTTCCTGGAGGAGAGACTGGGTTTGACCAATTGGAGACAAAGTTACCGACTTACTGGAACTCATCCTTCTCCAAGATCTGTCTCGGTATGAAGATTGACCAACAGCTCAGGTTCATTGTCATCCACAAGCAGGCTGACTCTCTGTACTCACTTATCGCTGATGGGCAATACCGAAACACGTCGCTGGGACGTGACACATGGAGATCCTTAACTGGTCCAAAGGCCTCCTCGCAGATTTACTGTAACAGAGAGGGGTTCGATCTTTATCCATTGACAGCTTATTTGGAGTTTAAGGCTGCCAAAGCAAGGATCGGTTTTATCACCAACAATGCAAATAACTGCAATGATGTTGATACCAGAATTGGATTTGGTACAGGAGGGCCACATGATGACAACAACGCGTGTAGAATCTTTGCAGATGAAAGCGGTCTTGATAATGGGTCGAAGTTCATGAAAGCCATGGGGTACATCTTGGTGCAGTGACGAGCGAAAATTGTACATATAGTGATAAACAACGTCAACATCTCCACCCTCATCAACAACAATAGCGAAAAATTAAATGCATACCTAAATACACGCTATCTATCTTTACAGAGTATCATACACACCGACGTAACACTATCATTTATGCAAAGCAATATTCAAAAGATGTATTCACGGGAGATGAGAACATGTATTCTAAGCGAGCGTAGATATGAAATTTCTCTCCTCATGTTCAACTCGATATCTAGCTCTTCCGCAGCCCTCACTCCTGAGATATCAAGTTGAAGGCGAGATCTACAAGCAGTCATGTTGATTGAATGCTAAACATAGACTATAACGAAGAGAAATGAGAAAAAACAGCTTTTTTCACCAAGATGCGCTTTCTTTGTTTCAGTCGCTACCGCATTTCCAGCTATATGCAAGACGCAAGAGGTGAAAAAAACAATAAATATATTTTAATGCCTTCATACATATATCATTTCCATGAAGAACTCAGGGAAAGGGTACAGTGTATGCTTTAATTTTTACCCCTAGTGTTACTTGAATTCCTTCATGGGACCAATTTTTGGTTGAACAAATAACAGTTATCCCGACGAATTCAAAGCCAAAAACATATATAGACCTTTGTCAAACTTTAAGATTTAAATTCAAGAAAAATAACATTTTTTGACTTAGGCATTCAAGGGCTAAAGGTGAAAATATAAATGTCAAAATTGATATAAAAATATAAAACCGAAATGAATTCGAAGATTCTGTACTCAGTTTTATAAACAAACGCTTAGCTAGGAGACAATTATAACAAACAAGCAAATTAACGGCGGAAGTTTAGGTGCGTTTTATTTGTGTTTATGGATATCTCAAAAATACTCTGCTTGTTTTTCTCGTCTCGTTATTTTGATTATTTTTAAAACAGAGAGTTTTATTTTAAGTCCATGCACTCAGTAAATGTCTATAAATGCCTCTGTTGCACAGATCTAGTGGGAAAATACAGCGAAAGGGTTGTTTGACTTTTGTTGTTTGATTGTTGTAGCTAATAACGTTATTTTGTAAACCATTTTGGGGAATAAAATAAGAGGCATAAACAATAGTTTTTGGGGCAGCACTAAAGCCGTTGTGGTTTTTGATGTTGTAACTATTACTTTTTTAATATTATTATCATAATTATCGCCATTATCATCAATATTACGTGTCAGAGTGTTAGGCCTACTGTTGACTTGACTTGGCAATTCTTGAAAGTGGTTTTCAACTTGACAGATAATTCTTCGGCATCAATTAAGATTAAGAATTAAGGGGGAAGAAAGATCTGCTCAACGTTTTGCCATGTAATTGGAATTTCGTAGCAATACCTGGGGTTATTAAAGAGGTTAATACTCTTGAAGACGTGTGTTCTTGTATTATAATTTACTACTTAGAAAGGTTTATTTGATCCCAGCAGGTCGACGCCAATTAAAATGAATAAAAATAATTGGGGTACTCAACGGTTTAAGTTCTTGTGTTAAAAATAATTCATCCTTGATAATTATCTAAGAGGTCAATTCGTTAAAAGGTGTTGGGTAGACATGCTGTATTCAAATTCAATGATTATTTGTACTTTCGCACAATGGAAAGTTCAATGTCTGACAACAGCTTATAAGTCTTGTTTTAACCGAGAGTTTTCAATTTTAAAAGGAAAGTTATTTTGTTTAACATCATTAAGAATTCATGCCCAAAGAGGTAAACACCTGTATATTTTTCAACTCAGAAAATCATTCATGACATATAGTTGCAGTGTGTTTCGTTCACTGTGAAGTGCCTTCCAACATCTTAAACATCAAGATAGTCCTGCTTGCATTTTTATGTTTATGTCATGTTTGTCTTTCGCATCTGTTCTATTTTGCTACTTTTTCGTTCTGTACTAACTGGATCCGTCTTGTTAGAAGGTTAGTATCTTGATTTTTTACCCATATCCCGACTTCATTTATACATATGTTTTTTGTTAAGTGCCATATTTTCGAAGGTGATGAAATAACGAATAGGATGCAAATAGCTTGATCGGTCGAATACCAGTTTGGTTTAGGGGCAAGATTCTCGACGATTTACACAGAAAATTTAAATGCGAAGTCGAGCATACGCTTTACAGGCTCCTCCTCTTACGAATTGGAAATATGCATATTCTTCTCTTTTTATCAGATGGTGTTCTTTCTTCAATGACTTCTCCGAGGGAAAAACATTATACAACTACCTGCCTTTAAGCTCTCTTTTACACAGTTGGCGTTAAAAGTCTTAGGTTTAGCGAATTAGTTACCAAAATAAGATCATTCTGTGTTGTTTTTGTGGTTGTTTTATTGTCTTTTTTGACTTTTTTTATCGTCTTGGATGATTTCGTATCATAACACAGACAGAGGCTTTTCTCAGTGATTCTGTTTAAGGTGGAAAGTGTTTTCAAAAAAAACCAAAGATATTTGACAGCGGCGGCCCGACGAATATTTAGCTCCATGCTAAAGGCTGAAACTTCTGAGAAGAGTAACTAACTACATGCCTACTTGAAAAATAGAATGGTAATAGAATAGTAACCTTTCTTATATTTAAATTTTTGCGCGCACAATGCTTTAGATTGCTGCTCTTGGAAGATGCTGAGTTCCACAACCACACTGGATTCTGTTTTCTTGATAATTTTTTTTTAATTTTTAAAAAAATTTTTATCCCAGGCTCTGAACCAAATGAATGATCAACTTTCTATAAATCTTTCATCCCTTGTCATAGACGAATATTTGTCAGCCTTAGGATTCATTTCTTTCGTTTTGCTATAAAACGTATTTGGAAGTGAAATATTGATTTATTTGTTTCTTTCTTTTAAATCATTCTGTCCCAGAATCATGCCGCCATTTGGTATTCAACCCCGGTAATACTATTGAAGGTCAACGCTTAAGAAACCATCTGATTCGAGTTCATGGTGTTCAGGACAGAGAATTGTGTGAACTGCTTTGTTACATGGAACCAAACTGTGTCAGTTATAATCTTGGAAACCAAAGAAGTGGAACATATATTTGTGAACTGAATAATGTCACTCACGATCACACAGGAAACAAAGACCACCTGGTTGAAGATCAAAGTTACATTTACAGTGGGGCCAAGGCAAGTGAAATTTGTGTCCTCTCTAGTTGATTTAAACTGTTTACCACTTATGCACCTTTTTAATAAACATTTGTGGATTTCGTATTGCTTAGCGACATACATAACAAATCGCGAAATGTTGCCATCAAATAAATTTCAAATCCTGTTGTCAAGCCAGTATCATTAACTATCTTCATACCGTAAACGGATCTTCGTTTGTTTTGTAATCGTTCATTTTTCTGTATCTTCGTCTTCGCCCTCCTTCTTCTTCTTCTTCCTCTTCTTCTTCTTCTTCTTCTTCTTCTTTTTCTTCATCTTCTTCTTCCTCTTCCTCTTCCTCTTCCTCTTCCTCTTCCTCTTCCTCTTCCTCTTCCTCTTCCTCTTCTTCTTCCTCTTCTTCTTCTTCTTCTTCTTTTTATTATTATTATTATTCTATCAACCGTCACCGCTGTTCTTTTCTTTGTTGTTATTATTTTTGCAAATATATATATTTTTAATTTTCATGTCAGAGTAATTGTAAAAAAACTCCATGCAAAAACAACGCAACTTGTCAAAGCGGTTTCACCAAAAAAGGTTATCGCTGTTTGTGTACTGCTGGATACAAGGGTCAGACTTGTGATGAAGGTAAAACTATTCAATAAATACGTGGACTTCCCACTTTTGAAATTTATTTGTACATATAAACGCCACAGAAAAACAGTGGTTGCTTTAAAAACAGTATAATTGTAATCAAACGTCTATGTGTTGCATTCCTGATATTGACGAATGTGTGACAGGAGGGTACAGCTGCGGTGCTGATGCAATATTTAAATTTAAATTTTTCACTGAGACTTCTTAAACTTTATAAAGTTTAAAAATTCAAATCCTTTTTTACTGCAGCGGTTGCGGTTTCAAGCTGCAAGGAAGCCTATGACAGGCAGATGTAAGTGCTAAATTTGAAAATAAACGACAAAGTTCATCTCACATAGAGTGGTAAAGATTTTAAGGCAAGAAAAAAAGAAAAAATATGGTGATTTTTTTCTAGTTTTTTCCAGCTGTTGTGTTACTGATTTAGCCACTGATTACTATTACTATACATATATATATGTATATAAATATACATATACAAAAAAAATATATATATATGTATATATATGTATATACATGTATATTTTAAATTGTTTATCTTTGATAGACTTAGCGAGAGTGGCATCGTTACGCTCCATATCGACTCAAAACCAACTCCCGTTTTCTGTCACGTGGGGGATGTAGGATGTGGTAATGGAATATGGACCCCTGTTATGAAGATTGATGGCAACAAGGTCTGTCCTAAGTTTCTGTTAAGAAGCTATTAAACTAACTGGGTCAGATTTTGGAGTTTTGAAAAATTAAGCCTTAAAGATAACATGTTCATAATATGCCTTTCGTTTACATCTCCCCAACCACACAGCGCCTTCTCCTTGCTGGGTTTTCGTCCGTCGGATGTTATGGTCTGTTATTTATTTATTTATTTATTTATTTTTACCACATTGTGTTAAAATGTTTAATTTCGTGGTCTCTTTCAAACTAAAGATAAATTTGGACGTCATGGACAAAAGAAAACAAAAGAAGGAGTATTCGTTTCAAATTATGGATATTTTTTTTTAAGGAAATCTTAGAGTTATTTTTTTTAATATAGATAATTTGATCATCCTTGATTTATTGAAATAGCATTTAGGACTCATTTCAAATGTAAAAAGATTTGCTTCTAGGAAAGTTCAAACACACATAAAAATTTATTAATGACGTATTTGGACGCAAGGCAATATAAAATTTTAGAAGAATACAATTCTGAAGGATCATTTATTTTTATCAAGTGTCAAATCTTATTCAAAATTAAAATGATTTAAAACTCTCATCACCCTTTCGGCTTATCAGACTCGAGGAAAATTATTGAGTTTCTACTGAGTTCATTTTGATCCTACTGACTGGTTGCTGTAGCTTCATGGTTTCTTTATCCTTACCTTTTACTTAAAGATAATTCTCTTTTACTTGTGATCAGCAAACGTTTCATTACGATTCTGATTTTTGGAGAGACAAGTCAGAATATAACCTTCCTGCGGGAAACACTGGATTTGACACAGCGGAGACCAAATTACCGACTTACTGGAACACTTCATTCTCCAAGATCTGTCTCGGTATGAAGATCAACCAAGAGCTCAGGTTCATCCTCATCAACACGAAGGCTGACTCTCTGTACTCACTGATCGCTGACGGGCAGTACCGCCCCACTTCATTAGGTCGTGATACGTGGAAGTCGCTGATTGGTGCACAGGGCTCCCTACAGCGTTACTGTAACAAAGAAGGATTCAATCTTGAACCGGAAAGTGCATTTTGGAAGAGTAGAGCTTCTAAAGCAAGAATCGGTATTTTCGCTAACAACCAAAATAATTGCCGTGATGTTGACTCCAGGATCGGATTTGGAACAGGAGGGCCGCATGATGATACCAACACATGTGGAATCCATGCTTCCGGGCATACACTAGATAATGGGCAGAGAAGCATCAAAGCTATGGGATACATCTTGGTACAGTAACGGGAAAGAAAAACTATATACATATGGTGACGAACGTTGTCACCGGCACCACTTTTATGTACAAGAAAAACTACCATAGTCTCCTGACATCAACAAAACAATGAAAATGATAATTTCATACACCTGAACTATCCTTACTGAGTGTTACACACAATAACTTAGGTTTGTAATTTTTTATAACGATATTCAGAAGACAACTCTTCAGGAGCCGAGAATATCTTGATGCCATTTAAATATTTTCATTGCAGTAACCAAAGATAAATTAATTTACCAAAACATTGTGTGAAACACTGCTATTTTTTTAGTCTAAAAGAGGTTCTTTTCACTCTTTATTTTTTATTAATCAGTGAATTTCTTAACGTCAGGCGGATAGGGCTAAGTTTTTTTGTTCATCTTTACAAAACTTCAAACATAGTGATGAGAATTTATAATATTTACGGAAGGGAATGCTTCTAATACCTGACCTCGTTACCCCATATTAACCAGAGGTAACTTTTTACCCCTCTCATTCGGCATTTTGAATGATATTTTGGAATTTTTATCGGAATTTGTAGAAGTTACAGATGTTGATCTCATCGAATATCAGCTCCTTGTATTATGACTAACTTTGAGATGTTTATCAGTCAGCAGCAAGTTGATGCCAATCCGAATGAATATTAATAACAACACTCTCAATTATTATGTAAACTATTTCAACATTTGAATTTCAAATGGAAGAAAAATTTATATAAATATATGGGGATAGAGCTTTTCATAACAGGCATGCGGTGTTCAAAGTTAATTGACCTGGACGCTTTTAAGAAAAAAAAAATTTTCTATTGTCCATCTCCATTAAGAATTGATGATTTGAGAGAAAGACACGTAATATTTTATTCGGACGTAAAACACTCAGCAAATTAGTATTGATCCGATTATCAGTATGTTAGTACGTTGGGTTTAGCGTGTAAAGAACTCCATTACATCTAGAATTATGGAGCAGTTCTCAAAATTACTTCTTTTTATGCATTCCCTCCGCATCTGTGTTATTTTACCTCTCCTTTGCTCTCTGATGTTCAGTGCCGCGTTCTCAGAAGGTTAGTATCAAATGTAATTCAAAAAGAGTTTAACCTTGTGTAGTCTTCTGGTTTAGACAGATGATGAAATAAAGAAAATGCGGTGCAAGTACGTGGTGCAGTGCCAGTTTCATTTAAGCAGCAGGCTTTTTATTTTCTTTGATGTCTACAAAAAAAATAACCTCAATTGCATTAGTTAAGCCTCTCAAACACAAATTTAAGTTCTTGCTGTCGGCAGATGCACTGAAATTATTGACGTAACTGCCTCTATAGAAACGAACCAAAACAGTTTCTTGCTTTGGTTCTCTTTCAGTTATAATTTCATCTGCATCAAAGTTGTAAAACATATGAATATATGAACAAAGTTACAGGCCTCAACCCCATTTTAGTTTCTGATGTTTAGTTCAAAGAGCTGGAAAATGTATGGTGCCAGGTCTAGTAAGGATGGCTAAATCTTACCGACATGCTTTCGCTGTGTCGTGGAATATTTAGCTCTAGTTGTGGAGTGTTTGCAATAGAATCCCCGTAACTAAAACCTGAAATTGAGTTTTTGGTGATTTTATTGCACATCTGAAATAAAGCATAGTTTCTTTCTCTCGATGAGATTGAAGTGTGATATGTTAAGGCCTCCATTGTTTGCCTGTCTCACTACTACACGACTTAGTCCTTATATAAGTATTCTATAACGTTAAGGAAGCCTACAACACAACTGGTTTGGTAGTATTACATCATAAACCTATTACAACGTTCTCGAAATTTCTCAAAATTTCTAGAAATCTATTTTGAAGTTATCATACAAATAGTATTTGCGTTAAGCGCTTTACTAAATTACTCGTCAAGTTACTAAAACTATATATCTTTTCCTGACGCTGGCATAGTAAATATTTGTCTTTTCTAGCTCAATGCTTAAAGATAAGATTTATTGAATTTAAAAAAAAGTCACAAAGCAATAGAGAAATTTCCCTCTGACCCAGAAAAATGCCGCTATTTGGAATTCAAGAACTCAAGAATGTTAGACGGTCAACGCCTGGTGAACCATGTGATTCAAGTTAATGACGTCAAGGATAGAGAGTTATGCGCGATACGATGTTTCATGGAACCAAACTGTGTCAGTTATAATATCGAAATAAAACCGAAAGGAAATGATGGAACACACAGATGTGAGTTAAATGACGTCACTCACGTAGGAAACAGCAACGACCTGGTCGAGGATCAAAGATACATTTACCGAGGAATAGAGGCAAGTGCCACTTAAACCCTGCTTTAAAAGTTTGTAAACAGGTGTTCGATAGGACAGCGGTGAGGATTTGCGTTGAGCATTTACAACTGTTTAACAACATCGCAATGTACTTAAGAAGTTCTCAACTTCACATTCAATAGTAGATCGGAATTTGAGAATAACATGCTACCTGTTGTAAAGCTGGCAAAACTATATGATGGAAATAAGTTGGATATCATTGAAAGCATGATTTTCTAAACGATATGCCTGTCGGCATCTTTCTTTATGTTTTTTTTTCTTTTATGTCAGAATATCTGTGTAACAAATCCTTGCAAGAATAACGCCACTTGTCACAGCGGTTACGCTGACAAAGGTTATCGCTGTTTGTGTACTGCTGGATTCAAGGGTCAGATCTGTGATGAAGGTAAATTATTTTCTCGATACGTAAATCACCGTCTTTGAGATTAAAGTGTAACTTTGCGCAGGCAAAATCAACAGCAGCTGCGATTATAATTGAGATCAATAATATAGTCAGAGCTGTATTGAGCGGCACTGTGTTAAGTGGTCACCCTGTGGTACGTGGTCGGTTATAAAGGTCTCAGACTTTTTCCTCATACTTATTGTAGTTTTCTTCTCTATAAAGTGGTGGTCGTCAGCTTTAACTGAGTTACAACGGCCTATTTGTATTCTTCCACCTGTATGAAAGGGTCTCTTTAACCCGAAACAACTCACATAAAAATAAAAATCTTAAGTAAAATATACTTCATGTTTATCTCCCGATGTCAGTATCAGTAGTATATTTGAGCGATTAGTTATACATCAAGTGGTCAAATTATGAGATGAAATGAAGTTCAGTCTTTTTAAATACAACCACCTTATTATGTGGACCCTGCATTAAGCGTGGATAAGCACTGATTACTGGTTCGACCATATACATACAAATACAACCACCTTATTATGTGGACCCTGCATTAAGCGTGGATAAGCACTGATTACTGGTTCGACCATATACATACAAATAGTAGTATTTTTAGTATTTTTGAGCGATTAATATAAAAATGAAATGAAGTTCAGATATTGACCCTGCATTAAGCGTGGATAAGCACTGATTACTGGTTCGACCATATACATGCAAATATATATAAAAATACAGATATTGACGAATGTGCTACAGAAAAGAATAAGGTGCAGTGCCAATGCTATTTGCAACAATATCAAAGGATCTTATAACTGCAAATGTAAACCTGGATATTCTGGAGACGGACGGACTTGTAAAGGTATTTGTGCCATGATATAGGTCAGCCTAAACCCATCTTCAGTGTATGTTTCTGGACGACATCTACGCAAAACATTTCCTCTCAATCTTTTGCAAGCTTTAATATAGTATCACAGTTTCTCAATTTTTTTCTTGCTCTTTCTTTTTCTTTTGTTTGACTCGCTTTTTTTTTCAGGGGTTACTGTTTCCAGCTGCAGAGAAGCTTATGAAAAGAAATTGTAAGTTCATCATGAAACTGTCTTTCTAGTTGATACCATAATGAAAGTTGTCGAATTAAAGAGAAGTGCAAGTTGATAAAAATAATTGTTTTACCTCGCTTTGGCTAATTTTAAATTTACTATTACAGTAGAAACAATAATTTCGCTTTAAGTGTAATATTCCAAAAAATGATTACAGAAGTCTTTTTACTACAGTCTTTTTTTATTATATTCTCGTCCTCTCTTTCTCCTTTTTTCTTTTCTTTTTTTTTCACAGAATAAACGCTAGTGGTGTGGCCACGCTTCTTATCGACTCAATTCAAACTTCTGTTTTCTGTCACGTGGGCGATTTTGGATGTGGAGGTGGAGTTTGGACCCCTGTTATGAAAATTGATGGGAACAAGGTCATTTTTTAAAATCAATTTCTTTCTTTAGCTAAGCCGAAAACAAGAGATCGAAAGATTTAATTCACGGCTTGAGCGCTTAAAAAAAAGTCTAGGCCACTAAAGATTTCCAGTCTGCTGTAATTTACCCCAACTCAAGCTACACCGGTTCCCTGTAAGTTCTACACTTCTGAGATTGAGACAAAACAATTATATATTGATGAGGCTCATGTTTGCGATATGACTTTAATTGTGAATTGTTATTTCTTGATTCTTAAAATAGTATTTATAGTCCCCTCCAGGAATTCTCTTTCATTGTTTTACGTTAAAATGTCAAAGGTTATCAATGATCGATCGGTTTGTGTTAAACGTTATCTATGATCGGTTTAACACCGCTGTCTTTCCAATGAGTTTATGCTGGCTCAGATTTTCTTTGACACTGGTGGGACGTTTTGAACAGCTTAAGGTCCGAACGCACTGGACTGACAGAATTTGTCTGGCCCTACCAAAAATCTCGACAAAATTTGTCTCTGCCAAATCTGTCTCTGCGCACTGAGACACAGCAAAATATTTGTTAATCACACGTGTCAATCACATGAGACAAGAGCCTCCATCGCAACGTTCGAAGAACTTTCGGATCTACCAAACATAGCAGGCGCCGTCGATGGGACACATAAAAAAATAAGGCTCCAAAAGAAAGTGCTGTCGACTACTTTAGCCGATATAAATTGAACAGTACTTGGCCCTGGAGATGCAGCTGGAACATGGACTTGGGAACCGTAATAGTTTTATTCTGAGTAAGGATCATTATGTAGCATATCGAGGTACGAATCTGCCATCTTCACCGTTTGATTGCCGCACACCAAAGAAATAATTTCGGTGGGCTTCGGATTGAAATACTCTGACTAAAAATAGAGATAAAATTTTCTTGAATAACATGTTCCTTCAAATCATGGCTTGTAAATTGAAAAATCTGTCAGATTTCATGCCTGACAAAAATTTGTCCTGCTCGGAGGCAGGACGACCGCTTCTTTGAATTTTGGTAAGCCTCGACAAAATTTGGTAGATCTAAAAATCACCGGGCGCACTTGTATCAGGGAACTGATGACAGATTTTTTCGCAAAATAAACAAAACTTTGCCCAGTGCGTCCGGGCCCTTATTTACTTGTATTTCATGTCTACTCAAAGATGATTCTCTCCTATTCCTAATCAGCAAACTTTTCATTATGATTCCAATTTTTGGGGAAACAAGAAAGAATACAACCTTCCTGGAGGAGAGACTGGGTTTGACCAAGAGGAAACCAAGTTACCGACCTACTGGAACACTTCGTTCGCCAAAATTTGTCTTGGTATGAAAGTCGACCAACAGCTCAGGTTCGTTGTCATCAGCATGCAGGCTGACTCGCTGCACTCACTGATTTCTGACGGACACTACCGCTCTACCTCATTGGGTCGTGACACGTGGAAGTCGCTGATTGGTCCACAAGGCTCCTTACAGCCTAAATGTAACAAAGAAGGGTTCAATGTCGAACCGGAGATTCCTTCCTGGAAGCATAAAGCTTCCCGAGCAAGAATTGGCATTGTCGCCAACAACAATAATAATTGCCTTGATGTTGATTCAAGAATCGGTTTTGGTACAGGAGGGCCACACGATAACGAAAACACGTGTGGAATCGATGCACGCATGAAACTTCTTGATAATGGAGAAAGACACATTAAAGCCATGGGATACATCTTTGTGCAATGAGGAGAGAGAAGAGTTTATACCATGTTACATGATATCACCATTTATTAGCATCAATAAGCACGATTATCAACACAAGAATACATACTTCGCTACACACCATATGGCTATTTGTGCTCTGTATGATAAGCACTAACATATCTTTCAAAGTCTAAAAAACATTGTTCTAGGGATAACTAACACAAAACAGTATTTACAAATGGAGCTAAGACTGTCATGATGACAGCTTAAATTACAAATTGAAATAACCAGAGATAAATCCAGTTACGGTGGGCATCATTGTTATAACGAAACTCTCCATGTACACATGCTGACGCTTGGCATAGGTCCGAGGAGCAAAATTTTATACCACCACCAGAGACAACATACAAATCATTTTAAAATCGCACTATCAGAACCGTTAGATAAATTTAGCATCTCATGGATAATTCTTTTTTAAGAGATGAACGAGATTTAAGCTAAGATAGATAAAACCTTGAACAGCCCGAGCGCGAAATTAAAACGTTTCAAAGGTAAGGATTTTGAGGAAGAGTGCATCAGCCTTTACGCTAAGAAGTATTTTAGAGGTATAGGTATTCAAACCCACGATACACGGCAACTTTGGATTAGACAATGTTTGGGCAGTGGTATTAGTATTTGCTATGTTGCATGGATGTGTGAGTAATCATAGGTACTTTTGCTAAGGTACCTTTTTGCAAGGGTACCCAATATCAACTCAGAACGCAAACGCAGATTCATGATCAGAGGTATGGTGACTGAAGGTAACGTTTCAGAAGTAAGTGTATTAAAAGCAGTCTTAACACATCCAAATGTTGTTTTGTAAATACATACATTACCTCTCAAAAATAAAGGAAAGGTTTTAATGAAAAACATAGCAGGGCAAAAGATATGAAACAACCGTCGAGCCTATTATTAAAGAAAATAACAAAGAAAGTTGCAACTCTTTAAGCAAATGCTTTTCCTTCGTTTCATCAGGGAATTACAGCTGAAACATGATTGAAAGAAAAAAAAAAAAAGCCTATCGATGTCCGCCAATTGCGCATGCAAAATCGACTTCCCCCAAGTTACATGTTTTGCTCATTAATTTGGCTTCTTCAACGGCCTGGAAGCGTTGATACCTCTACAGATTACCTAGATTTCCTTCAGATTTTCAAAATGTGTGACAACTGTGGTCGTCCCATCGACCAATTGCTTAGTCATTAACATTATTGAGATGGGGAATGGTTAAAGTGGAGAAAAGGAATAAGAAAACTTTGGTCAATAAGCTATATGATTAGATTACGTTGTTATACTCATGCACAGTTTAGGCAAGAAAAACAATTTTCTGTTTCAGTTACCACCTATTTTTAAGGCTCTAAGAATTAGTCTGTTTCAGTTACCACCTCTAAGAAATACTCTTTTTAAAGTACGACTATTAAAAACAGCTCAGGTATACGATAGTAGATATAACGGTTTTCTACAAGACTGAGAGATACGTGGATGATGTTGCACAAATTGTGTCAACCTCGTAGTATTGTGTTTGATTAGCTAAGTTAACTACGCCAGGGGAGTTTTCTCGAGAGGGTTCAATCAATTTCTGTTAATAGTCATTTTCTTCTCCCGTATTTAAGTATGAACCTGTATTGCGGATTTGAGTACATAAAAGTACTGAAATTCTTGGTAACTTAATATAACGGTGAAAACGGATTTCACATGCTTTGGGTATAAACTTTAATTGGTACAATAGGGATTTATTTCTTTGAAGACTGTATCGCTGATGAAAAACAAGTTAACTCTCACAATAGCCAAACAGGTTTCCAATTAAGTTACATAAACAGAAAAAATGTGCCAGTGTGTTTCACTCCGGGGCCTTTTTTTTACCACAACAATGTGTTTAATTAGCTAAGAACACAAAGCTCGCATGCAAAATAGGTTCTTTCTTTACAATTCTACGTTTCGTAAACCTTCTGCAAACAAGGTTTATTAAATATGCGTGGTCTTCATAGAGGATCCTCAGGGCTCTAACACCGTTCAGCTGCTTTTTTCAGTCATCAAAAAGGCTCTCTTGATTTGCATCATTTTTTTATGCAACGGAAGGTGGAACACCTAAGTAAAAGCAAGTTGCAAAGGCATTAGCTACGTTAAGTCAGAACTCCGACATTTTTTTAAATTCTAAAGGAGCGAATCCTCCGCACCATCAGCCATTTTTTCGTTTTGATCTGTTTATTACTGGGAAGTCGAAATGCTATCTATTCACATAGTTAGTCCTTGTTAATTAGTCCAAGTCCTCGTTTTAAACGTAAGGAGTGCCGCTGATTCTTTTCTACTCATAAGATATGGAGAGGTCTCGACTAACGGAAATACTTACTCTTTCTTTTATCGTATCAGGGATATAATTAAATTTCATCTTCTGAATTCTGTAAAGCGATCAAATGAACTCTCATCGATGGTCTCCACACTCTTCCCCGGAGCAACAGTTGTGAGAGTTTGTTAAAGGTCTCTATATCGAATCACTGGCGATCTATTCCTTAGTTCTTATAATATTTACTTGATAATGTAAGTTTTATTTTCGCGTTTTTGTGCTTGAACACGGATGATTTGTTGTTTTTTTAAATGTTCTTTTACCCGGTCGTGTGTGTGTCGGTCGGTGCTGCCGACATAGAATTGCTGGCGTCTGTCGCATGTGATCTTGTAGATGGTGTTTCTACAAAAGCAAACTGTCTGTGTGCGACAGGGCAGTTGGTGTGTTTGCATTGTGGTTCGTTTCTCCTGGTGGATAAGGCGTTTCTTAGAGTGTAGACTCTATGGGTTATTCGGGCATCAATGTTTTCTTTTCTGAAGATTTTAGTGATCTTTCTGTCTAATCTGTCGGAAATAAATAGGATTTCGAAGTAAAGCCAATCTTTATTGGAGTGTTGTTGTTGTGGTTGATGTCGGCGTCTGCGGGGTCGTTTGGTTTTGAGTATAACGTTTTCAGGATAGCCGTTGGTGAGTAAGATATTGTCCAAGGCGTGGTCGTGTTTCCGCGATGTCGTCGGTGTTGAACACCTGTATGCGTTGTCGTTCATTGCGCAGAAAGTTGATTTTGGAGTTCCTGGGTAGAGCTGAGGCGTGGTGGGAAAAGAGTGCTTTTTTTTTTTTTTTTTTTTCATTTATTTATTCATTTTTTTGTAAAAATATATATGGACTCTGGAAATTCCAGCAACGACACCTTATATATTTCTAGGCGTTTTCAACCTTAAAAAGGCTGAAGCGACATCCGCGGCGCGTTTGGTCGCTTCGAGACGACCTCGAAAGGAATGTAAAGAACAGAGTGAATCACTGCGTAGAGGGTACAAAATTTGGTCGGCCAAAAGAAAACTTAACTACGAAGACCGTTGCAAAGAAAATAAATCACCTCCAAAACGTGCTCTCAGGCACTAAGGTCATCTCAGGTGAGGAATCTACAGTTTTCAGGATATTTTCCGTCCTCGGAAAAAAGCCTGTTTAATCTTGCCTAAACTGCGAAAAACAAGTGTAGAACGGCAGCTTTGATTTGTTTAGCTATGAGTAACATCCAATTGATGTGTAAACAATATAAAGTTCATCGGCTCCCGAGTGACACCCGCCATGAGAATTGTATCTGCCATAGTGCAACATTCGATGATGTTTGCAAAGATTCCTCGAAATAACTAGCATAAAGGTATGTACCTTATTACCTTGCACGGAGCAACCATAGCCACGACCACTTTGGTCGACGATTAATAATTTCGAAAGTCCGAACAGAACATATGAAATGGAATGAACATTTGTGGTCCGCGATTCGAAAGTTTACGCATGCCCACATACCAATCTTGGCAAAGTTCTTTTCAATTGCTTAATGTTTTGCGACAGAGAAATTAGGGATCTTTCGAATAAGATTATCGAGTTTTCTGCGGTGGAATTTCCTAAGTTTTGCTGAAACGTTAAACATATTTGTGTCCTTCCTATTGCCTGTTGATGGGAAAAAAATTAATAGGACCAAATTTGAGATAGAGGAAGAAAACACAAAATTGCAAATAGCGAAGAAACCGCCTTGGTATCCCATACTTTTCCGGCTTTTAAATGATCGGCAGGAAAAATTTATCAAATTTTGAAAATCTCGAGGGATTTCACGGAAGCAAAATGAAGAAAATCAAAGGCCTGGCCGAATTATCACTGGGTGTGTCTCCCTTTTTTTGTGGAGCCTTAGCCTTATTGCGAAAGCTGATATTTGCTGTTATTTCCTACAGCAAACGATAGTCCGAACCTAGCTCAGCGCCTTTTGACGGTTTTTTTTTTTACCTTGAAAAGCATAACAAATTTTTTCTAGAAAAACGTTACACTGGCGCGTGCCCCAACATCCAGCAAAAACCCTGTGCTTAAATCAGTGAATAAAATAAAATTAAAAAAGTAGACTGATACATAGGCATTACCCCACGCAATTCAACAAAACTTTAAGAATGGATCTATGAAGATATTAAACAGGCTAAATAAGGTGTTTGTGTTTAGGAAAAAGCGAAGCCAAGAGAGCATACCCACATTTTTGATTATTACTTAATTTTTTTTTGGCAATGTTGTTGCTGTAACTCTTATAACTAATATTTGAATCTATATAAACTCCAGGGTATCGAATTGAAGTTTCTTGGACTAATGATTAATATTTTGCATTCAAATAGCACAAATTTGTGCTATTTGAATTTGTTTATGAACTGGGTGACAAATAACAAAATTTGACTCTTCAATAATTGATGAGAGCTTGTTTTCAGATAGCCAAATATGGAGTTTATCAAGTTCATGGTTAATTTCACTTTCAAGTATAAAGTTGTATCCTCTGCATGCGTATAAGTGAAAATCCAATCGCTTTGAGCAATTATAAAAATCATCTATATGATTAATTAAGGCTTATTTTTTTACTTTTATCAAATGTCAGCTGCGTGTATGATCAACTTTCAGAGGTTTCTCTATCATCAATAAGGTGACACCACTCGCGGGAATAACAAATTAAATGCAATACCAGTCTTACGAGCCACAGACCCTAAATAAACCACAGACAGTTGCAAAACTTCGTTATTAATTTTATTATTTCTTAAGGACCCTTTTGAAGAACTTTTTTTGAAAAATTTTATCAAAAAGTTCTATGACACCTTGCTTCACGATATTTATAATCAGGGGCCCTCAAAAACACATTTAGCTATTACGTGAGAATTATTTCACCAGTTTGAATTGACTAAACAATAAATTCCAGTTTTAAAGAAAGCGTGGGGATAAGCATTTTCATAACAGACACACAATTTTCAAAATAATTAATCTGAATGCTTTTAAATTCTTAAACGTTGTTGAACAAGGTTAGCTACACATGAAATATTGTGATAATTTCCTCTAGCCAAGTTAACAACGCCAGGGATCTTTTGTAAAGTTAAAATACTTTTCTTGCTTTTTAATAAGGTTACAAAAAAAGTCGCACAAACAAATAATTCTACCCCAGTGATTCACTCCGGGGGCTAACCTTGCATTATCAATGTGTTTGACTCGTTACGCTAGCAACACTCACATGCAAAGTAGGTTCTTTCACCAGAAAGAAAAACTACGTTTTGTTTACGGTCGGGAAGCAAGGTTTATGAACTGTGCATGAGTAACATAAAAGGTTCTGAGGGTTCTAATATCCTTCTGCTGCTTTTTTTCAGTCATCAGAGGACGCTGTTGGTTTGCATCATTTTGTTTACGCGAAAAATTGTAAATTCTTTATTGAAACACAGAGCTGACGAGCGCTAACAGTTGCTTAAAGAATTCAAGAGACTAAATTTTATTGAAACTCCAAAGAAGTAAATATTTATTATTTACTTTAAGGCATGTCCTTCGCCTTGATCTACTTTTCAGCGGGGCTTTGTTCAGTGATATTCGGGGCTGTCTGTTCACAAGGTAAGTAAAGTCCTCATCTCATGATATCAAGGGTGACGCTGATTATTTCCCTATTCGTAAGATATGAAGATGCCTCGACAGATGGAAATACATAGTGTTTGCATTCACTGCATCATTATTGCCTTCGTTTTCTCTTTTGGTTCATGAACCCGTCCTATAAGGGAAGGATATAGATCAAACTAATCATAAATACAGAGAGCTGAAAATTGCGGGAGTGTATTATGATTATTAAGAAAGCATTTAATTGTTATTCAACTAGATTGTACCCTCGTACCAGAGCATGAAAGTTTCACCATGGTTGAAGATGACATTAAAACGAGTAAATGAATGAATCGGAAATATGTCGAGCCTATTCAATAGTCTCCAAACAAGTAAAAAAACTCGTTTGATTTTGAGGGCGCTGATAGGTTGAAATGCTTAAGGTTGAAAAGAATAAGTAACGTATTTAAAGCTTTCTTGTCTTTATCTTTAAACTTTTTGCTATTACTTATAACAATAACTCAAAAGTATGACTCAAAGAATGCTGGATATTCCTTAGCATACTATTGAACATGGAAGCCACTGTTTTAAAGCAATGCCTTATTTTGTTTATTCATAGTTTTCGAATTCAACTTGCGCTTTCGATATAGTCTCGTTTTATTTTACCGGCGTGCATTATAGGAATATGTTTAAAAGCGCTGGACTAGGTTGATGAAATAATTCCTTTATTCTGTTACTTTTCTATTGTTCTCTGGCGGTTTTCCCCAGCTTTTCTCTTTTTGTGCGTGTGTGTGTGAGTGGGCGAGTTGTTGAGTTGTTTGCTTTTGTTTGTTCGCTATACAGGCTATATACCTTTTTTCATTTACACATAACACATTAACACATTTAATACGTTATTTTGACCCGACAGAATCAGTGAATTCCAGAGACGGTCTACTTTCATTGGACAAGTTTCATTATCTGGATGTGCCTCAAATTGACGTCCTCATGGTATACGACGACCTTGAATGCATTTTTAATTGCGTCGATAATCCTCTCTGTATGTCTGTAAACCTGGCCGCTGAAGAAAAGCTGTGGTGTGAGTTACTTTCTTCAGATAAGGAGAACAACACAAAGAAGTATTACCAAAACGAGAGTTCACATCACTACTACTTCCCAGTAAGAAAGTACCGCCAAAATTAGTCTCGTTCGTTCTTTTTTTCTTGTTCTTTTTTTTTTCTTTTCATTAACAAAATGTTTATTTCATTTTGTTTAAATCATCATCTTAGTGTATTTTTTTTTTTACCGATAGACGCTGCCTTGTTCTTCTACGCCATGTTACAACGAGGGAACTTGTTTTCGAACGAAGCGAAATTACAAATTGTTTGAATGCCTCTGTGAAAACGGTTTCTCTGGAGAATATTGTGAAAAAGGTAGGTTGGAATTCCAACATCGTAGATGAAGTTATCAAACATTTTAGTTTCTAAAAAGTTTTTGCCTATTTGCTTTGGTTATCAAGTTCCTTGTTGAAATATGTAGTTATTCAGTAAATGACAGGCATATTAGGAGAAAAAGATCTGCGGGTGCTCACAATAGAAGTGGAAACTACAAACATTTGTTCACTATTTCGGATGCTCTATTACTGAACTATAGGAGACTGGCGGCAGGCTGGGCAGTCAAACTAGGTCCATGGCGAGAAAATTCTTCCACGCTGCCAGGATAGGAATGTCGAATGAGATGCTTTTGCGCATCTTTATTTTATTATTTTGTTATGATTTCCCACCGTTCTTAACATAATAATTCCGGTCTATGTCATGATTATATGATTGTATATTATGGAGAAGATTGAATCTGCACAATGTGTAAACAGTTTTGTTTTGTTTTGTGATTTTAACTACCTATGAACGTTCAGATATTGATGAATGTAGCACCAACGGACATACTTGTGACGTGAATGCCAGGTGTCAAAACACATATGGTTCCTATAATTGTTCTTGTAAGAAGGGATACAGAGGAGACGGACGCTCGTGTTCAGGTACATTCGGGTTATTTTTGAAATTAACACGAGGATCAGACTTCGTGCTCAATTTACTCATGTGTATCACTTGTTTGAGTAGATTAAGCTTCGTCTTTACATAATTATTCACTCAATGTCTGCGTTTCTGAGCAAATTAGAAAAATTAAGCCGTGCATTGCTCTCTTAATGCGATATGCTTCCCAGAGGACATTCTTAAGGATACGGTGTAATGGCATCTCCGGCTAAGAATGCGTGCAATGTGGCTTCTTAGTTTGATTGTAAACAAGAACATTTAACTTATAATGACAACAATAATAATGTTAACTATTAATTAATTAATAAATTATAATTAACTAATTAAAAAATACTCAGAAAGGTATATTCCCGTGGTGAAGTACTTCGATATAAACATTTCAAAGCACTAAGAATGGTTATTGACTTAACGCTACAAAACTATGAATTTCGAAACATCCTTAAATTGTTTGTCTCGCAATGAAAAATAATGTTGATTTCACTCTGAGTGTATTTAGAAATTCCTTAAAATCCTTTTCTGTTACTAGTTTTATAGTTTTACATGAAATACTGATGTTTTCGGTTTTAAGCAAAATAACCAGTGCGAGTAAATACGAGCACATTTGTCTTCCTTGCTTTATGACAAATTTTTTAAAAGCAAATATGATGTGTTTTCAGATATTGATGAGTGTGCTAGGGAAAAGCACGACTGTAGCACTGATGCTGTATGCAACAATACTAAGGGATCGTACAACTGTACATGTAGAGCTGGATACTCAGGAGATGGAAAAATTTGCAAAGGTGGAAATTAATTCATGACTCTTGATTTAAAAAATGTCGTCACAGTTTGACAGCTATTATGTGCTTTATTTTGTTTTGATTGTTATTTTCAGAGAATTCGATTTGCAAAGAAGCTCACAACAAAAAACTGTAAGTTCAAGATAAGAAATACATTTTCCCTATATTTCAAACGACGGATCCCTCAGTTCAAATAATATATTTGCCTTAACATTATTCAACAGATTTAACGAGAGTGGCATGGTTACATTTCATATTGGTTCGATACCAACTTCCGTTTTCTGTCACGTGGGAGATTTTGGATGTGGAGATGGAGCTTGGACCTCTGTTTTGAAGATTGATGGCAACAAGGTTTATATTTATCTGTTTATTAAAATAATTGGTCGACTTCCATCATTGCCTATAGTAACAAAAATGTATTTCTTAAGTATCTACGCTAATGTTTTCCTACACTTAGATAATAGTTTCGAGTTCACAAATCAATGATCATTGCGTTCGTTACGGCTCACACTATCTTTTAAGCTATTTGACTAGTCGGAATGGGACTAATTTACTTGCTTTTATTGCCTATTTAACAATAATTGTCCTCTACTTCTCCCGATCAGCGAACTTTTCATTATGATTCCAATTATTGGAGCAACAAGGTAGAGTATAATCTTCCTGGAGGAGAGACTGGGTTTGACTCGGTGGAAACCAAGTTACCGACCTACTGGAACACATCATTCACCAAGATCTGTCTTGGTATGAAGATTGACGAAGTCCTCAGGTTCATTGTCATCAACAAGCCAGCCGATTCCTTGTACTCACTGATCGCTGATGGGCAATACCGCAACACCTCCTTGGGTCCTGAAAAGTGGAAGTCATTGATTGGTTCACAGGGTTACTTACAGCGTTACTGTAACAAAGAAGGGTTTAATCTGGAACCGGAGGGGGCTTTTTGGAAAAATAGAGCATGCAAAGCAAGAATTGGTATTTTCGCCAATAACAATAATGGATGCGGGGATGTTGATTCCAGAATCGGGTTTGGAACAGGAGGGCCAAAGGATGACAACAACACCTGTGGAAACGATGGTCGCCCCACACACATCAAAGCCATGGGGTACATCTTGGTACAGTGAAGAACGAAAAAAAGAAACAAACAAAAGAAAACATACAGTACTGTAATAAACAAAACTAACACCTTCTTCAACGACAACAGTCACATTTACGAACACAAGAATACTTAACTTTCTGTACAGAATATAACACGCAATGATATAGCACTAACATTTGAGTAAAGCAATTGTAGCAGCAATCGCTGATTTCGAGGTCCAGCTGACTCAAGTATCCAAATTTTCCACGTTTCGTTTTACTTTAAACATAAACTGAATTACAATTACTACAAACAAAGAAAAAGCTAATTTAGGCGAAAAAAGATAGTAATTTGGTCTAATATTCATATCCATTGAGTCAATTGAGTCAACATAAACGTGTAAAGTGTAATTTGGCTTATTACAACAGCAATCCACAAACACATATATATCTTCTAACAACTCTACAAGTTAATATTTCGATCGATTTAGACGCTAATATAAGATAATGAAACTGTACTTTCATAACCGTCCCGAGCTACCGGAGAAAGATAATTTGCTTCATTTAGCGTCGAGAAATGGTGAGAAAGCTTTCGAACAACAATGGGGCGAGCGGAGTCGATTCCTTTCGAATTACGGGCTAATCAATACATCTGACTGCTATAGAGAGACACGAGAATGCTTATATTTTAACAATTGATGAGCTTCCCTTTTATAACATTTTTACATCCTCATTGTGGCTCTGGCTTCTCGATGAGACAGAATTCCATTCATCTTTTATCTTAGAAGCAATTTTTTGTAATGTTTCGGTAATATTCACAAAGAAAAAACTTCCTTTTCCTTTTTAATTGTAATTTTAGATGATACATGAATATTGTTAGGAAAAAAAGTGTAATGGTTATAGAATTTGATTTTATCGAACCTCAGATTTTTCTCATATTCAAGAATTCCTCATAAAGTTAAACAGTTTAAATTTCAATTGTACAAAAAATGTACAAGGATTGAAATTTGCGTAACACACATAGCATATTCAAACTATTCTGCTCTAAATGCTCTTAGCACCTGATTCTCATCAGTTTTTCTACATCAAGCTCTACGGTTAAGAATTAAAGCCCCCTAGATGAAAACTTTTCGAACTTGCGTTGGCTGAAAAACACTCAGTGGTGTTACACGTATCATGCGTCATGTATTAGAGTGTTACACGTATCATGTATAGGTCGCAGTTTCTACAACTTTAGACAGAATCTACTAATAAATTGGTGTTATGCACTCCGTTCGCGTCTGTGTTATTTTCGCGTTCATCTGTCTCGAAAGTCGTCTTCTCAGAAAGTAAGTAGGATTTATTTAACCCAAAGGCGCCATTTATTTGAAATGTTGGACCCTTTTAAATAGTTACACTTGTCAATTGGAGTCTGTCTCTCCTCGATGAAATTCGATCATTAATCAAAATTAGAATTATGAACTGGTCTCTGTAAGAATCCAACAACTTGGGAAGGCAAATTTTCAAACCCTTTCAAATTTTCTATGCTTTTAGGCACTCAAGGGGATGCACTCCCTTAAGATGTAGACAATTTTTAGTTGTTCGTGCACAATTTAAACGTGAAATGGATTTTTCCTTGTTTTGGGAATCACCTTTATTGATGCGATGCATTTTTTCCCCAGGACTCAGTCACTGATTAAAAATACTCCCAAAATAGTCGAACAGGTTCCAATTAAATTCACACAAACAGGGGGTTATCCTTGCAATAAAAATGTGTTTAACAACACTCGTGTGCAAATTAAGTTCTTTCATGAGGGAGTAAAATTGTGTTTTGTTTACTGATCTTCTGTAAAAGAGGTCTCTTGAATGTAACTGTATGCAAAACAATGTAGAGGGCTGGAAGGGCTCTCATATACTTCAGCTGCTTTTTTCAGTCAAAACAAGATGCTACTGGTTTGCATCATTTTTTGTGTGCGGAGATCGCATTAGTCGCTGGTAAAAGCAAATCAAATGGTTGTTGCTCCATAAAACGTGCAGAACCAGCAACCACTATGAGTTGCCTATCGAATTCAAGACACCCATACTCCTGAAGGAAATATTCTGAAGGAGCAAACGTGGAGATATTTCTTATATTCTGAAGAAGAATAATTCTGTAGCCGTGTCTTTCGTTTGGGTCTGTTTATTTCTACTGCTGTGTTCAGTGATACTGAAGGGTATCTGTTCATATGGTTGGTGAAAGAGCCCATAACAAAATATTAGAAATGACGCTGATTCTTTCCTTCTCGTAAGATATGATAATGCCTCTAGTGATGGAAATTCTTTTTCTAGCATTTTTTGTATCACAGATGCAATCAAACTTTATCTTTTAACCCTCTAAGCTCCGAAAAGCGATTAATTAAATAAACTCTCCTAACTGGTCTCTAATCGCTTCTTGGATCAACAGTTGCGAGGGCTTGTTGAAGATTGCCGTAAGTAAGATTTGGCAATCTGTTTCTTGATTCTTATGCTTTTTACTAGTAATGATGTGCTGATACTATGAGGAGAAATGTGCTACTCATCACTTTGAGAACTTAAATTACGTGTGAGGAGACTGTCAATTATTTCATGGCTACGAGAGACACTATTCAGTATCCTTCCTCTCAGCATTCTTCTACTATGCTCGGTTTTTCTTTCTCTGTCCATAAGCCGGTCGTGAAGGGAAAGGGCATGGATCATATTAATCTCAAATCAAATTAGGGAAAGAGCCTTGGAGCATACTATAATTGTCAAGACTTTAGATCACACCTTCGCGCCGCACAAAAGTTTGCCCCACTGAAGAAAAAAATTAAAATAGAAATAAATAATTGGATAAATTTAAATTCATGGTCCACGCATGAGACGAAGGAGTTTCATAAAAAAACTACATATATAGAAATTTTACCTTTTATTGGGATACCTGAGAAATATTGGAAATCCTTGCATGCGCTACTCGTTTTAAAACTTATGGTCAGAAAATCAATGATGCAAATCAGTGGAAATTCATGGAAAAAAAAAGGGAAAAATACAAACAAGGCAAAGACAGAGAGAAGAAAGCGTAGATATAGTATTAGCAGGACAAGATTTACGTCAGTAAGAATGAATTTTAAAGGGTATTTTAGAAGTATATGTATTGTAACCCAGTGCACTCTGTCGCTATGGATTTTATGCAGTGGCAATGTTATACCGTTATTGATTATTAAAGGAAGATTTACTGCGACATTTTTTTGTGAACGCTGCCAGAACGCAATCGTTACCCATGTGGCATTTTCAGTTGTTTTAATCTATTGTTTTTTCAGCGATGTAAATGTTGAAAATGTTACAATCAAATTCCTTCGTAAACAAATAAAAGTCGCTTTGAATGACAAGTGAGGAGTAAACAAACAAACAATTCAAGTTACAATAAACCGTCGAGAGCACTCTCAGAGAAATTTCAAATGGTCGTCACGACTCTTTGAGTATGTGACATTTTTTCCTTCCCGATGAGAAAGCGAACTCCGTCGATCCATCTGGAATTAGCGTTGAAAAGTAGCAAGAAAGCTTTCCAACAACAGCGGGCAAGGGAAGTCGACCTCTTCGAATTATGGTTCATTTTAGTATATTTGGCTGCTATAGAAAACTATGAAAACCACCACATATTAAAAGATTGGTGAGCTTCGCTTTTTTCCCATTTCACACCTAGTTTGTGGCTCTTTATCACGCTTTTAGATAAGAAAGGAATCAAGATTCCCAGTAGACAATTAAATTATGTTATTATAGCGTGTGCACATATTCCTGCTCAATACATTCAATAGCGTCGGATTGCCAGTGAAATGTTACTTTCTTTCCGTACCTCTCCTCCATTCTTTTAATTCTAATTCCTCATTCGTAACACTGTTTTTCTAAATTTTATTTCCCTTAAGACACTTCCTTGGTATAAGCAAAGTTCTACATTCTCGCTGATTTTACTGAATCTTGTTTTTGTCTGTTTATTTGTTTGTTTGTCTTTTTGTTAGTATTTCAACGGTCTAGGTGATGGGCAGCATTTCATGTTTTTCTACTGACCCACTAACAACAACATTCTTAGCGCAGATGGTGTATTTGACCCAAAAATAGCTTCTTTTCTGTGAGAGAATCCTTACAAAGTTAACCAGCAAGGTATCGCCATTCAATTTAAATGAAATTGAGTTAACAATAGGAATAGCTTAATCAATTGCCGTGTAAACAACATCTTTTGGTTTTCAATTAACTTCGAACTAAATTTTAATTGAAATGAGTGTTAAAAATTTGCATAACAGTTAACCAAGATAAATTGCTCTAAGTCCATTTAAGAAAAAGTTATTGTAAACTTTATACAATAAGCCCTTGTTAAGAATTAGTACCTCAAGAGAAAGGCATCTTGAATTTGAGATAGCCAAAGAAACATGTGTTAGTGAATATTGATCCAATCTACAAATCAGACTGTTTCATTTAAGTTGTAGAGCTCTCAGTTTCTATAACTTTAGATAAGATCTACGAATGATGTTGTTGTTCATGCGATCCCCTTGGACCTGTGTTATTTCGGCGTTCCTCTGTTCTGTAATGCACAATGCCGTCTTCTCAGAAGGTTAGTAACATTTATCTAGCCCTAAGGTCACACGATTATTAAACACAATACGAATACACGGTCCACTGTAAGTTTCGGTTTAGCGGCTAGCATTAGGAATATTATTTGAAATTTCTCCAGTGGACTGAATGAAATTTTCCAAAGACAGTTTTTCGTATTTGTTGACGGTTGCCTGGTATACATTTTCCGTGTTAAGTGCCCTAAAAAAAACGACGTGAAACAATTTATTAGCTTTATTTCTGGTTAGCGTAAAATCTGGTTTCGTTTCGTTTCGTTTCGATTACGTAAATCCAGTAATGTGGCTTGTGAAAAAGTTTATCTCAAAGGATAAGTTCAAACTAATTTTAGTTTACACCCCAGTAGATTCAAGCTTGTCAAAAAAAACAAAAAAAAGGGGGTAAAACACACATCTCACAATTTTTTTAGCTTCCATTATATTTTTCCTTCCGGAAAAAATAAAGAATGCCTTGTAACGCTAAATGGCTTATGGATCTGTGGAAAAAATTGCCGTTCAATATGTGCGGAAAGCTTGATAAATTCTTCGTTACTCTCTCGCAGTTTTATGGATAACAAATGTCTTAATTCAGTCATTGCGCTTAAAATCTACCGGCTTTATTCTTCTCTTTTCGCATACGACCCTTTCAACGTTGCCGCCTCTCGACATTATGTAACGTGTTCGGCGCATCAGTAACACCCTGACTTGTCAATTCATTTTCTGTTGAACATTGCCCATTGGCGAATGATCGGACCCCGAAATCCGCAGGTCTGGGTTCAATGTTAAAGATAAAGCTTAAATTTTCATCTTAAGATTTTCAGCTTAATTACAAAGTTAATTGTCAAATTTTTAATAATTCATATCTTTTTCTCGCGCCTTGTGACTCGGTGAAAATAAAATTTATCTTCTGCAATGTTTACAGATTAGGTTTAGTTATTGAAAAAGGTGTCACAATGTAATAAGTAAATATCAATTTGACCCAGATTTTTGCCGCTCTCTGGAATTCAAGCCCGCTAAAGCATTTGACGGTCAACGCCTGATAAACCACGTGATTCGAATTGATGACATCAAGGATAGAGTATTGTGTAAGATACGATGTTTTAAGGAGCCAAACTGTGTCAGTTATAATTTCGAAAAACAACCGAGCGGGAACAATGGAACGCATAAATGTGAGTTGAATGATGTCACTCACGAAGAAAACGAAGACGACTTAGTTCGGGATTACAATTATTTCTACCGAGGAGCAGAGGCAAGTGTCAATTACAGTCTTTTTAATTACTTAACTAGATGGTAAACAGGTCTTCAACTAGTCAGAACCAAGGATTTGAGTTAATTGGTTTTATTATTATTGGACCTTTATACATCGTATTCAAGGAATGTTTCACTTCACAGTTGCTATTCACAAAAATAATCGTCCGCTACATGAGAATTTAGGGTTTACGGTAACATGTACGTTTTTACGTTTCAATCTTGGTCTAGGCTATCGGATGAAAAGCTGGATATTGTTGCAAGATATGAATCTTTGGATAGCATCCCTTGCGAGATTTTTTTAAGATGTCATTTTTTTCATTTGATTTAGAATACCTGTTTGGCAAATCCTTGCAAGAACAACGCTACTTGCCAAAGTGGTTTTACCGAAAAAGGTTATCGATGTTGGTGTACTGCTGGTTTCAAGGGCCAGACTTGTGATGAAGGTATTGCCATTAACTGAGCTTTAAATTTACTATCTATGAAACTTTAAGCACATTCGAAATTCGTGCTAAATAAAAGGTAGCTTTATTTATAATGGTAACTGAACTGAGTGGAGTGCAATTTGTATATGTAATCACATGAGGCCAAGTACTATTAAGGATTAATTGCACGAGAGTTTTCAAAATTTTCCAAAATTGCCCGAGTCGCGAAGCGACGAGAGCAATTTGGAAAATTTTGAAAACTCAAGTGCAATTAATCCTTAATAGTACGAGGTCTCATGGGATTACTTGTTTATCAATAAAGGGCAAAATTTATACGAAGGAAAATCACGCGCGCAGTCTATTTTTATCTGAGAAGCCTGCTTAGCGCTACGGCAAATCATCAATCAAATTGAACTGACCAATCGATTCAATGAAATTTTATTCTCCAAAACTGTGTCGTGATACACTGCCAAAAGTCTAGAAAACAAAGCTCATTTCAACAGAGCGTTTCTGCCAACAGAAAAACAACAAAGTGCTTTTAACTGAACAAGGTAATCATGCCCTCTCTTGATTACTAAAAATGCCTTCGATTAAGAAAAAATGCCCTCTCTCTCAACCAATCAGCGCTCAGTAATTTTGCCCTTTATTGATAAGGGCTGAAATCATACGCGTGATTTCAAAATCGAACGAGCGCGCAGTGCGAGTTCGATTTGAAATCACAAGTATGATTTCAGCCCAAAATTGCACGACACGAGGTTCAATTACCACTTTATTACATCCATTTTGAAATCACCCAAATACAGGACTTAGTCAATTCGAATATTTTATTGATGCAGTACTGAGCCGGTTTTTAAATAAAAAGCGGAACCGGAAATGCAAAACAGAAAGACTTTGACGTCATGTGTCAAATACTCAGTCAAGCGTATCAAAAGAAAGACAACTTTCATTCAAGAAATTCGAGAAGTCCTTAATAACTCAGAAAAATAGTGAAGCGTTAAAGTTCAGTCCTCGTCGTCTGACTCAATGATGTAAGCTCTTCGTTTCTTCTGTGGTTGGGGTGGAAAATTCTGGCTGTCTCTAGAGAAGAAATTGAAGGTGCAGCCTGTGTAATTCTGCGATGGAACGGGAGCAGCACAACTGAAGGCTTCCATGCGGTACTGAGACTGCAACGGAAAACGTGGTGGAAATCCTGAAAATTCAGCCGGCTGAAAACCAGGATTGGAGCCCATGGCCTGATGCATTTGGCCTTGTTGTTGGACGTGATAAATAGGAACCAGAGGTGTTCGTTTATGTTGGACTGCAATCTCTTGATTTGAGGCTTCATTTGCAGTGTTTTGGCGGGAGACTTCGTTTGCTTGATTTTCGTTTGACACTTCTTTATATCCACTGATAATGTGAGACAGTTCTTTCCTGTGATTCTCGTCTATTTCATCGTAGTCGTCTAACGAAGATTCACGTGCATGGCCTGTTATTTCACAGATAACATTGCGCGGTTGACCAGACTTCTTCAGTTTTGATACCAATGTTTTCCTCATGCTGTGGTTCGTCAGCTTCCTATTCGTCCTGAGACAGGAGGCCATGGATTTCATTAAATTGCCGATGGTGTTTTGTCCCATTCGAACTTTGGTGTACCAAACATGTGCTGATTTAGGACGATTTAAGATAGAGTGGCCCTGTGTTCTTCATTCCTTCGGGTCGCTTGGACAACCAAAGCTTGAATAGCCGCACTGGATCGCTTTTTCCGCCATCGGTGCTGAACATTGCCTGTGGTGTTGTTCTTCGCCTGATGGTGAGACCACCGCTCCGCGTTTTAGTGGGACCTTCCCTGAACTCAACAACTTCAGTTCCATCTTCTCGCTGTCTTATAATTACGTCTTCCACGTATGCATTGTAGTGTTCTTGGCGACCACGAAATCCCAGTTGTTCTGTCAAATTTTTGAAGTTGACATTGGTCAAGACCTTTCCATTAAAATCACCCAACTGACCTTTTTCCCATAGGGCTGACTCTTCTTCAGGTGTGATTGGCTGAGCTTTGTTGGGTCTCTTTCCCTTTCCTTGTTGACGTAGGGAAATTGCTTTCGCATTGAGGATTTCTTGTGAGGAGTGAAACTCTCTCGATCGCACGATGCTCAATGGATAGTTCTTCTCCTTTAGATACCGTTCAATGGCACTCTGCATGATTTTAAGGGATTCTGGCTCGTAGTCATCTCCGTCCTTTTTTTTCACCTCGGCGTAAAACTTACTCAAGACCTTGTCAAGTTTTTCAGGCGCCATTGTTTCGATGGAGACATATTCAAGATGGCGGCATTGTCACCAGCTTCTGAAAACATTCATCCATTGTTTTGTGGAGCGGGACGTATTTTTATTCGAAGCGACAGACTTAAGCTCCTGTATTTCATCGCTAGAAATGATAGGAAATCTTGAAACATCTAACTCTTGTGGTGGCTTTTGATTTTCTTCGTTTGTTGCTGACTCGGTGGACTCGGGATTGTGCGGATTTTGAGCTTGAGAGGGTAGAAAATCGTCAAAATATTCACCAAAATGTACACGAAAAGTGGGAAAGTCCCTGGAATGTTGGTCTTCAGCCTGAAGGATCTCATTGTCATCATTCAAAAACTGGAAAAAATTAAATTCATCCATTTTTGGGGGGGAAAAATAAGAGTTATGGAAACAAAAGTTGCAAAATTTGCGAAATGATACTCTTTGTCTTTCATTTTCCTGCAATTTGATTGGTTACTTTAAACAAGCCTTGAAATCTGATTGGTTGTTTTGTTTTAAGTGTAACTTCCTCATTGGCTGGAAAAAAGATGCGATTTAGAGCAAAAAATGGTGCGATTCGTGAATAAATCGCACCAATTAGAGCCAATCAGATCACAGGGACCACCAGTGATTTCAAAATGAATGTAATAAATGATAGAAACCAATATGATCAAGGATCACACAACTGTGAATGTAAACCTGGATATTCAGGACACGAAGGGACCTGCACAGGTAATGAAATGATGTCTTACAGGTGAAAATGTAGGCTGAGATCGATTGCTATATTCTATGGTATCAATGCAATGTTATAAAAATGCAACTGACATTTTAACAAGTAAATAAATAATGTGCATACTTAGATATTGACGAGTGTGCTGCAGGAACACACAGCTGCAGTGCTGATGCTGAGTGCAACAATATCAAGGGATCGTACAACTGCACATGCAAACCTGGATATTCTGGGGACGGAAGGACCTGTACTGGTAATGCCATGGAATATGGAAGGTTAAATTCAGAGGCAAAAATATTCAATATCGTTGATGCAATGTTGCAAAACACATAAATTGTTGCATTCTAAATTATCAATGTCACGTTATGCAAATAAATGCAATTGACATCATAAAAGATCAAGTTATGATATGCATATTTAGATATTGAGAAATGCTCTACTAAAGAGCACAGCTACAGTGCTGCTGCCGTTTGCAACAATACTGAGGGTAAAGATGGACCTCTAAGTGAAATGTAGAGCACACAGTTTGTTTTATTGTATATTAGCAGTGCAATGTCATGAAAACAAATGTTACCGATATTATAACAGATCAAATAATAATGTTTTTTAAGATGTTAATGAATGTGCTACAGAAGAGCCCAGTTGCAACCCTGATGCTGTTTGCAACAATACAAAGGGATCGTACAACTGTGAATGCAAACCTGGATACTCTGGAGATGGATGGAGCTGCGAAGGTAATGCAGTGAGATATTGCGAATTAATTGTGGGGCCACAGAGATAGTCGCACTCTATACTATTAATACTATACTAAGAGAGAAAAATTAATGGTACAGGATTTATTCAAGATGAAATAATGATATGCTTATTCTGATATTGATGATGTTGCAAAGACCTGCACGGCTGTGGTGCTGATGCTTATACAAAACATTTCGGGGAATCAAATGTACAAATTTACAAGTACATGAAGACTAAAAAATATTATGGGGACAGATTAACCTCAACGCGTATTTCAATGAAATGTTGCATGTTGAATTTGGAGACACATACTGGTATTCTATATTATCGATTCAATGAAACGAAAACAAATGCTACTGACATCATAACAGTGCAAGTTCTTAATTATTTACATATTTAGATATCGACGAGTGTGCTACAAGAACACACAGCTGCCGTGTTGATGCGGTATGCAACAATACAAAGGGATCGCACAACTGTGAATGTAAACCTGGATATTTTGGGAACGGATTGACCTGCACAGGTAGTGCTATGCAATATGGTATAACGAGTAGAGCCACATGGATGCTCGCATTTTGTTCAGACGAGCAATATTTTGCGAGGAAATTTTTTTATACGATGTTAAAAGGATCGATCGATGATTTTCGTTTTTAGATTTCGACGAGTGTGTTACAGGAACACATAACTGCAGTACTTATGCGGTATGCAACAACACAAAAGGATCGCACAACTGCAAATGTAAACCTGGATATTCTGGAAATGGGCAGATATGCAAAGGTGACTTTAGTTGTGTCCTTGTTGTATTGGTTGATGTATTCTTAATTAAACCAGCAAGGAGTTACTGATAAATTTAAGTAATGCTTCAATTATCCTATTTTCACCAAGTTTGCAGCAAATATGTCTCCAAGATAAACAAAAGGTGCTGAAGTGGACAGTTGCCCTGTTAGCCCTGCTAAAATCCCCTTGATAACTTTAAAAAAGACAAAAACAAAAACAGGATAGGGAGGGTCACCACCCCTTATACGTCTAAGTTAATATGTGACTACTTCCTTTTGCGGGAATGCATGGCCTGGTTTCCTGACTTTCAATATTAAAGTTTAACTTAAAAGAACGTTTTTCGTTTTATTGTTTTCTTCTTTGGTTTAAGAAATTCAAATGATTTATTCAGCTAATCTGCTTTCAGTTTGACGTAAAATAACAGAAACGGGAGGTTAGAGAGATAGAGATAAATCGTTTATTAAAAAAGAAACACCTCGCAGTCCGAAGTCTGAATTACGTGTATAATATACAAGTTATAATTAAAATGGATTTAAAAAACCATAACAACAGAAATGTACAATCTAATAAGAACATTTCACATAGGATAACCTTGTGTTAGGAAAATATACATACTTAAACAAATTCATTTACATACTTAGGCTATGACGAACAATAAAAGATTTTTTAAGACGATCAGTCTTGCACACTGGCACGTAAAACTTTCTATTGCTGCGCAACTGCCTATGGTGCTCAGCATAATATATTGTTTGACAATTGACAATGACATAACAATTGTTTGACCGTTTAATGGTAATTAAACCAAATATGGTGCAACTTCAGATATTAACGAATGTACTACAGAAGAGCAGAGCTGCAGTGTTGATGCTGTGTGCAACAATACCAAAGGATCCTATGACTGTGAATGTAAACCTGGATTTTCAGGGGATGGATGGACCTGCAAAGGTGACATAATGTAATATCGCAAGCTGAATTCAGTGCCAGATAGATTTTTGGATTGTGCATCATTGGCGCAATGTCTATGAGAACGGATGCTATTGAAACTATAAAAGATGACCAATGATATGCATACTCAGATATCACAAATGATAAAAGTGGTTCAGAAGAGCACAGCTGCATTGCTAATGCTGTTTTTTGGGAAGACTAAACCTGCACAGGTAGTGCAATAAAAAGCTGCATGTTAAATTTGTTGTTATATAAATTGTTGTATTCTATAATTTAGTATCAGTGCAATGTTATGAAAATAAATGCTATTAACGATATAACAGAACAAAGACAAACATGCATATTTAGATATTGACGAATGTAGTACAGAAGAGCACAGCTGCAGTGCTGATGCTGTGTGCTAAAATGCCGAGGGTTCGTACAACTGTTCATGCAAACCTGGATACTCTGGGGACGGATGGTATTGCAAAGGTAGTGAAATGAAAAAGTGCATGTTGAAATTAGGGCTACATAAGCTGTGGTACTCTGTATTATCGATGCAATGTTAAGAAAACAAAATTAATGCTACAGATACCACAACAGATCCATTAATCATGTCTATTTAGATATTGACGAATGTGCTACACAAGATCACGGCTGCAGTATTCATGCTGTGTGCAGAAATACCGAGGGATCCCACAACTGCACATGTAAACCTGGATATTCTGGGGATGGAAGGACTTGCCAAGGTAATGTAATGATTTATTACCCATCAAATTTAGAACCACATAGATTGTTTTCTATATTACCGATGCACTGTTATAAAAACAAATGCAAAAAGCCATATCAAAGGCCCTTTTATCATTGGCATATTTAGATATCGACGAGTGTGCTACAGGAACCCACAGCTGCAGTGCTGATGCTGAGTGCAACAATATCAAGGGATCGCACAACTGTCAATGTAAATCTGGATATTCTGGGAACGGACACACCTGTACAGGTAATTCAATGGAATATTGCATGTTAGATTTACAGCCAAATGGATTGTTACATGCTAATATATATCTGATCAGCATTTTCGAGAGCGACATGCTACTGATTTTGTAAAAGATCGATTGATGATTTGCTTATTCAGATTCCGACGAGTGTCTTACAGGAACACATAACTGCAGCGCTGATGCTCTATGCAACAATACTAAAGGGTCGCACACCTGCACATGTAAACCTGGATATTCTGGTAATGGACAGATATGCAAAGGTAACATTGGCTGTTTCCTTCCTTGTAGATGTAAATGCTTTCCTCATCAAATCAGTGAGGGGTCACAAACAGATTTAGACAGGGCTACAAAAGAAGTTTTGAATCACAAAATTTAAATGATTATAACTACCAAACCATACGTTTTAGTTTCCTTGCAGTGTCCCACTGGTTGGCGTATTGAACTCTGGATGCTTAATTCTGGATGCAAGAGCTGTTGATTTATTTTGCTATGTTTGTGGGTTATTAGAAGGCCCCTTTCTAACTTATGAGAGCGAGTTAACATTTAGAGGCTCGCCCATGTACTGGTGGAAATTGATCGAAAATCCCATTATGCTACAAATAGAACCAAGATAGGCAGATTAGGAAAAGAATCGAAAAAAAAATTGTTAGAAACAGAAGGAAAAACAAACGATCAAACAAACAAAAAAACAAAAAGAAAACAAACTCTCGGAGTTGTACTCCTTTTAAATGGGTGGTATTTCGCTTTACTTTGCTTTGTCACAATTTGTCTTTGCTTCAGCTGTAACTCCATATTAATAAAATTCCAAAGCTATTTTCAATTATTTCAATCGTTCTTTGGCACACAATTAATGAAAAGCATTGAAAAAACTAATAATTTACAATAAATGAAATTACGATTAGTAGTAAATAGTTTCTCGGAGTTTCTATTTGAAATTAAGATGTCACAAAAGATTTGCTTCAAAACCATTCAAGAGCTTAACGTCATCAATAAAAAAAGAGAAATTTTTTTAGTTGTATGTTTCTTTATTTTGTTTGTTTCTTGTTTTGTTTTTTTGGAAATGGCAACTCTGCATAAGACGGAAAAAGCATGAGCTTTTACGTCATTACCAAGCATAGAGTATGCAACTACCTCTAACGTACGCGTACAAGGACGGAGATTGTTGTTTACTATATTGCCGATACAATGTAATTTTAAAAAATGCTAACAGCCATATCAAAGGTCAATTTGTCATTGGCATATTTAGATATCGACGAGTGTGCTACAGGAACTCACAGCTGCAGTGCTGATGCTGAGTGCAACAATATCAAGGGATCGCACAACTGTCAATGTAAATCTGGATATTCTGGGAACGGACACACCTGTACAGGTAATTCAATGGAATATTGCATGTTAGATTTACAGCCAAATGGATTGTTACATGCTAATATATATCTGATCAGCATTTACGAGAGCGACATGCTACTGATTTTGTAAAAGATCGATTGATGATTTGCTTATTCAGATTCCGACGAGTGTCTTACAGGAACACATAACTGCAGCGCTGATGCTCTATGCAACAATACTAAAGGGTCGCACACCTGCACATGTAAACCTGGATATTCTGGTAATGGACAGATATGCAAAGGTAACATTGGCTGTTTCCTTCCTTGTAGATGTAAATGCTTTCCTCATTAAATCAGGGCTTCAAAAGAAGTTTTGAACCACAAAATTTAAATGATCATAACTAACGAACCATACGTTTTAGTCTCCTCGCAGTGTCCCACTGGTTGGCACTCTGGACTCTGGGTGCTTAGTTCTGGATGCAAGCGCTACTAGTTTATTTTGCTATGTTTGTCTTATTAGGGCGAGTTAACGTTAAGAAGCTCGCCAGTGTACTGGTGAAAAACTATGCATTGCTCTAAAAACCCCATAATTCTACAAATAGAACCAAGATGGGTAGATTACGAAAAAACTATTAAAACACAAGAAAAAACAAACAAACAAACAAACACAAAGGAAACAAACTTTCGGTGTTTTACCCGTTTTATATGGGTAATATTTCGCTTTACTTTGCTTTGTCGTAATTTGTCTTTGCTTTAGCTGTTACTCCATGTTAGTAAAATCCCAAAGCTATTTTTAACGATTTTAATCGTTTTTTGGCTCATAAGTAATGAAAAGCATCGAAACAACTAAGAATTTACAATAAATGAAATTATAATAAATAGTAAATAGTTTCTCGGAGTTTCTACTAGAAATTATTATTTGCTTTCAAAACTATTTAAGAACTTAAAAATGTCTGTTAATTTATTTTTTTGTTTTTTGTATTGTTTTTTTTTAGAAATGACAACTCTGCATAAGACAGAAAAAAGTATGAGCGTTTAAGTCATTACCAAGCGTAGAGCATGCAATTACCTCTAACCTACTCGTAAAAGGAAATGCTTCTCTGTATACATGATTCAATTTCATTTAATCGCAGGAGAAGTCTCACTTTTTCTCACTGCCACCTAGGCAATCTTTAGTTCTAATGTGTTTCGATTTTCCACGTGATCTTGCAGACTTCAACGAAGTATGTCCACACTTTCGGATTTTTTTAATCATTATTTATTTATTCATTTATCTGTTTTATCATTTGTAGTTTTTTTATTATTATTATTATTTTGCAGCCGTCGTGTTTTCAAGCTGCAAAGAAGCTTATGACGGGAAATTGTAAGTACGATTAAAGATAAAAGAATGAAAACGATAGACTTGATCTTCTTGATCTCGCAGTAAGACTAATAAAGGCCAAAGAATAGAGCGGGTAGCTATGCAGTCATCCCTTCTTTTTTGATACGCCTGTTAAATTTGGTATTCCTGAGAGTTTATAATCAAATGGTATTCCAAAATGGTGTATGCATACCACAAGCTCAACTCCTTTACTTAATTTTATTCAATCCGATTTTTTTTTCCAGGCTAAACGTAAGTAACGTCGTTACTCTTCGTATCGACTCGAAGCCAATTTCCGTTTTCTGTCACGTGGGGAATGTAGGATGTGGAGATGGAACATGGACACTTGTTATGAAGATCAATGGCAGCATGGTATTTATCTCTACGTATACTTCATTTATTCGATTGATTTTCAGAAGATTTGGGTTTTGGTTTCTGATGAATTTAAGAAAATACTTTCGATACCAAAATTTTGATTCTTTATAACCTCACCCAACCTGCACAATAAAGGTTCCTGGTTCGCCTTCATATCACTATGTTTGACCTTTTCCATCTCTTTGTCATTAAATTTGTGGCCTTCTTCAAGCCAATGTGTTTTTCAGGCGGGTCGCAAGAGAAAATACCAACAAGAATGTTTGGAAAAAGTTTTTTTTTTTTGCCGATGATCGATTTCCAACAGCTTAGTTTTGAAAAGTCAACGCAATGGAAAGCCATTTGTGGTATATTTCTATCGTGATGTGAGTCACTCTCTCAATTTATTCAGATTTAATGAAATCTGTTGGGTTTCCATCGACTTTACATTGGCTCTCATATCTTTTGTGCTGGAGGCCGTTAAGATCGACTTAATAATTTGTCTTTCGTGTTTATTCCATGGTATTTTCCTTCTTTTTCTGATCAGCAAACTTTTCATTATGATTCCGATTATTGGAGAAACAAGATAGAATACAATCTTCCTGGAGGAGAGACAGGGTTTGACACAGTGGAGACCAAGTTACCAACCTACTGGAGCACATCATTCTCCAAGATCTGTCTCGGTATGAAGATCGACCAAGAGCTCAGATTCATTGTTATTAATATGGAAGCCGACTCTCTGTACTCACTGATCGCTGACGGAAAATACCGCCCGACAGTTTTGGGTCGTGAGACATGGAGGTCTCTGATTGGTCCAAAGGCTTCTTCGCAGATTTACTGCAACAGAGAGGGGTTCAATCTTTACCCATTGACAGCTTATTGGGAATTTAGGGCTCCTAAAGCAAGGATCGGTTTTGTCACCAACAATGCAGATAACTGCAACGATGTTAATACCAGAATCGGGTTTGGTACTGGAGGGCCACATGATGACAGCAACACGTGTGGAATCGTCGCTGACAGAAGCGGTCTTGACAATGGGAAGCAGTTCATTAAAGCCATGGGGTACATCTTAGTGCAGTGACGAGCGAAAACTGTAATAATAGTGAGAAACAACGTCAACGTCACCAAAAAAAATTTAAAAAAAGGAATGCATAACGCAATACACGCGTACGCTAACTATCCTTACAGAGTATGATATACAGTGATACATCACTATCTTTTATGCGCAGCAATACTCAAAAGCTGTATCCACAAGAAATGAGGGTATATGTTCACAAAGAATAATATTTGGGCGCACGTAGATATGGAATTTCTCTCCTCGTGTCGTGGAATATCGAGTTGAATGCGAGATCTAGTAGCAGCCATGTATTATTTCAATCTATTAAATAAACGCCGGAGGCCTTTACTGACAAGAAAAGTCGCCGACTTTTTTAATAAAGGGTGGTGGAAAAAAAAAGTCACAATCTGCAGAGTGGTTTAAGGGGCAAGTGACTTGTTAAAAAAAATAGCGAGTGACGAGTTAAAAGTCTTCCCTACCGGACAGAGTCAGTTTGAACCTTTCTATTGATTGAATGCTAAAAATAAAGCATAACGACGGAGGAGAAATGACACAAAACAGCCTTTTGCACGAGATTCGTCTCCTTTTTTTCAGTCGCCTTTGTATTTCTAGCCATAGAAAGACGGAAGAAAGCGTACTTCGAGGTGAAACAAACAATGAATATGTTTGAATGCCCGTATATATATGATTTCCTTCAAGAGCTCGGGGAAAGGGTACAGTGTATATTAAACATTTTACTTCATAGTGTTACTCTAATTCCTTCGTAAGACCCTCTTTGGCTAAACAAACACTTGTCAAGCCGACGAATTCAAAGCCATAAACACATATAGACCTTTGTTAAACATTAAGATTCAAATTAAAGAAAAATAACATTTTTGACTGACGTATAAAAAGGGCTAAAGGTGAAAAGAAATATATATATTAGCATCGATGTATACAAGTAAAACCGAAACGAAGATTCCCTAATTTTTATAGACCATAGCTTCATTAGGAAGACAGTTGTAACTAAACAAAACAGATGCGTTGCATGATTTAGGAAGCAAGTTAACGGCGAAAGTTGAGATGCGTGTTATTTGTATTAATGGTTGTCTCAAAAATATCCTCTGTTTGTCTTTGTCGTCTAGTTATTTCAATCCTTTTCGAGACAGAGGGGTTTACGTTATAAGTCCGGGCACTCAGTAAATGTCTATAAATGCCTCTGTTATAAAGATCGAGTGGAAAAGTACGGTAAAATGGGAAGTTTAACATTTGTCAATGTTTTTGTTTTATTTATGTATTTATTTATTTTTGTAGCTATTATAAAATGTTCAGAGAAATGCATGCGCCGTGATTGGTCAGATCGAGTTAATTATATTTCCATAAAGCACGCGCCTTAAGTCACAAGAGTGCACTGTTGAGATAGAATGCACGAAGCTTACGTCATCGGTCTGAGAGCGCGCAATTCACGATATATTTTATTAAAAGAAATAAAAAAAACTTGTTCCTCGAGCATTGTTGAGTTCTATAAGCACTTGAGAATTTTTAAGAACACTCGAGGGGTGCGAGGGGTGCTTCTCGGCGCTTCCCTCGTGTTCTTAAAAATTCCCGCGTGCTTATAGAACTCAACAATGCACTCGGCGCGTTTTTTATCTCTTTGATAACGTTGTTTTGAAAACGATTTTGGCGAAAAAATAAAAGGCACAAACAGCAATTTTGGAGACAGTGCTGAAATCGAAGAAATATGTTATTCGCCAGCCGGGATGTCCTCCGCCTACGGCCTCGGGCGGTACTCAAGACATCGGGCAAAGTTTTTCCCAATACGGACCAACTTAGGCTGGTGAATAATATTTTTTTTTCTTTAGGTAGTGACCGACGTCTCTGCTAAAAATACTGCCCAGCCGGAAAAACGAGAGATTTTTTTTATGAAAATGGCAGCGAAGGTAGGGACTTACTCGGCGACTCATGAAAGCATTACCGTTGCCCTTGGGCAGAGATAGGAAAATACGGACCGCGCTAAGAACCAATCAGATTGCACGATTCGTTATCATGCCCTCTCAGAAAAAAATAATTTTTATCATCATCATCGTGGTTTTTGATGTTGTAACTATTACTATCATGATTATCACGATTATCATCAATATTATGTGTCTGTGTAGAGTTGACGAGAGAAATTTCTCCTGTTAAATTATACGGTCATATAGTGTTGTAATATTTCATATTCCTAGTTCAATGTTCAGGAGGTCAAATGCTATCGACATCCTTCCACGATGTAATGAATAATCTACATATACAGATATCGATGAGTGTTTCATTGGAACACATAACTGCAGTGCTGATTCTGCGTGCAACAATACCAAAGGATCGTGCAACTGCATTTAGGTTAAGGTATTTTTGACGATTTATTTTTTGCCCATGAAAAGGGTTTTGAATCTCCCGAGATTCAGTGTATGGAACCGGATGAACTAACCCTCCTTTTCCGTCATTAATGATGTTACGCTCTTATGAACCACAACGGTTTTGAGTGACAAAGTCGACATTTCCTTGCGACCATCAAATCAACTGGACAAACCCAGCTTGATGTATTGCGTGACGTCATTGTGCAAACTTTCCTCTTTGTCATACGACCTGTTTCGCAGGTTCTACAAGTTGGAACCAAAATTAGTTAATACAACGAATTAGAATCGAAAGTTATTCAAATGGCTGAAGAATTTCACATTTTAATGAGAATTTTATCGTTTAAATGTTTACTTGATTCGTGGAAAGCAAAGATTGGAGTAGCTTCGGGTATTTCGGCCCTGATTTGGAAAAAATAAAACAGTTTGTGGTATGTTCTAAACACCAGAACACCCGAAAGGACCACGGAAATGTAATAAAGTATTTTTTTGCATCTAGAGAAAAAAAAAGAAGGTGAGGCAGTGAAAGGAGACTGAGTTTTCAACGCCATTTGTCGTAAAAGCTGCCACTAGCTTGTTGAACTAAAATTTACCTGGAAGGCATTAACTTTCTTTTGTCGCGAAACTCGTGGATTTTAAAACTTTGAAACGACGTACGATGAATCCTGAAACTGGAGTTTCAGTCCATTGGTAAACTATGCCTGCTGGTCTCACGAGCAGATCAAGCTCTGACGAAATTTGACAGTTTTGAAGTTTTAAGCGGATGCAAAAATCGAGACAAAAATTCGTCATGACACAGTTTGTCCTTTGATTTTGTCAAGAGAATTCTGGTTTTGTCTGCTATTGCAGATAGCCCAGACAGGCACTTACGAACCGATTTTTAGTTAAATAATAGCTTTCACTCTCGAGAAATTGCAAATATATTACCCATGTGATCTGACTACAACTTTAATTCCGAATACTTCAAAAACATCTCCAGTCAGTCTGGCTTTCTTTTACTGCCTCACATTTTCCCTTGTGCTGTGGCTGTTAACAAGTACTTTCACCGCATTTCCAATGTTTCTTAAAGTGTTCGGATGTTTAGAACATACCAATAACTGTAAAATTTTTTCCATATCGTGGTCAAAATGGCCGGAACGAAACAAAATTAACTTGTAATCGAGGATTTCGCTGGATAGCTGGTAGTACTTCAAATAACTCGATACGTCGTCCCGGTGTTACAGCGGATATGGACCCCCCCCTTCGCAGATTTGGACTCCCCTACCAAACTTTCCTTTTAAGTATCGTTTGTATCATATTTGGTAACTAATTCTTTTTGCAAGTATTTTGTCGATGTTCTTTTCAATCTCAACACAACATTCCTCAATAAAGGTAAAAAAAAAACCAAGCCATTTCCAATCGTTCCAATTCTGCCGCATTTATTATAGCGAGTCACATAGTATACGCAAGAATTAGATGTGAACAAACTACTGTATTCGAACTATTGAAATTGTTATAATAAATCTTTGCTTCTTCTGATGCGAATCAACATTGATACGATACATTATAACAATAGTGGAGACTACTGCATCCAGTCACAAAAATAACTCAGTCTGATTTTCTAAAATAATAACATTAAACATTTTCTGAGCCAGAAGGAAGAACCTACTCTTACTACAAATCTTTCGTAAAGCCTATGATAAGTAAAAATGTTTCTATTCTGAACTATTAGAACTCTCAGCTTATTTTCAGATGCAAATCAACATTGACGTCTACGTCGTAACAAAAGTGGAGACTATTTCATCGAACTCAATCTTATTTTCTAATTTTAACGATAATTAACCGTTGAGCAATCCGAAATAACACCTTAACAGTTACGAAGACGTCTAGAGTTTGGCGATCTGCAGACAATGCTGAGCCACCCGCCCTCTGGGGCAGTCTTAAATCCCTCGCAGCTCATAAGTAACCATTCCTCGCACAACTCGCACTGTACCATGTCGTCCCAACACTCGGGCATTGAACAATGACAAAATAAATTAGTGTCACAAGTTTGTTTCTTATTGTATCTAGCAGTATTCGATTATCGCGGAAAAGGTTTAAAAACAACCTTTCTCCAAACATCAAACTAAATGCTTGCCCCTTTTCCCTTGGTCAAAAGAAACATCCGACGGGTCATTTCCAGCTACCAGTTCATATGCATTGACGATACGCATGTTTTAAATTAAAAACACACTTTAGTACGCACTGGAACGTAAAGTATCACTCATTTTTACTAGAACGTTAAGGATGATGTTTTCACTCAGTTTTGTTAGGGGGTCCAAATCCGCGGAGGGAGGTCCAAATCCGCTAGGACACCCGGTATTTCAGGAGAGAAATTAGGGCTTAATACCCAAAGCCACTCCAATCTTTGCTTTCCGGGAATCAAATATACCTTTTTAAAACTTAAAATGCTCATTAAAATGTAATTCAGTCCATTTTAATACTTTTCAATTCTAATTCGTTATACTAACGAACCCGTGTAAACAGGCCATATGGCAAGGGGAAAAATTTGCACAATCACGTCACGCAATATATCAAGCTGGGTTTGTCCAGTTGATTTTGATGGTCGCAGGGAAATGTCGAGTTTGTCACTCAAAACCGTTGTGGTCCATAAGTGGTCCAACATCATTAGTG